ATCTGAACATCATAAAATTGTATTCATCCAGCCCACAATCATGATTTAACTAAGTGTGTTAATATACAACATAAAAAAATAGTAGGTATCCTACGTGCTTATGCATTTCGTGTGATGTCCTTTTCTACTCAATAATGGTACAATAAGGTTTTCCAAACAGTTCATTTCCATATTCTTCTTGAAGTTGTTCATATCAACATCACAGTCTTCAGTATATTTTTGATTCCGCGTCGAAGCCTCCGAAAGTTCCTATCTCACTGATTGAAATCTTGTTTAACCAGTCTATCCCTGTTTTACCGTTTTCTAAAATCCTCACTAGGAATAGGTTAAGGTTATATTGTTTTCTGAGCGACAAACTACATAAGCTTTTACGTATTGGATCCAACCTCTTACCATTTATCATGACTTCGAAGTCACATCCCATTACTTATGAGTTTGATGATTTAATTAATGTATGGGCGATATGGCAAATAACATATCTGACATTTTTTCTCATTCTCAAGCTTACCAATTCAATCAATGTATTCCAGATTTTAGACTTAACGTTTTTGTATTATTCTAAAAGTAAACGATCATGAAGCTTTTTATAAACAATCAATATTGAAAACCAGATAACTATGATACTTATGATGTAAAACAGTAATAGGTCTAAAAATTTATACACAATGATTTCTGAAAAGCGAAAGTATATATTAACAGTTACTTAGTCACACAAAAGCACGCAATTAAAACGATACAGGGAGACCATAAGCTGATTGTAGAATAAGTATTCATTGAAAATTGTTTATGTTTAATCCTATTAGAAAAACCTTGAAGAATGTGTATTCTTGTTCATTCTTCCTATTAACATCACGTAAATGTGTCACAATATCGAACTACTTTGCCTAAAGATACAGCATTACAGTCTGATTATTGTTAACTCTGAATAATCACTGATTACTGTCTAAAGTTTCGTAATATCTTCAGATGACTAATATTCACTTAAGTAATGAATTGGTTTCTCATCGAATTTTTTTCCTTAGCTGCCCAATGTTAATGGTTAGTTTACGAAAGTGATTTCTATCGACTGTTTCCGAAATCCCTTTTTTTATTTGGTCTCTCGGGCCACTTCACCCGTCCCATTGTACTTGTTTGATTTGATATTTATTCTAATCTTGCTACATTTTAGTGTAGACAATTTCAACAAACAGTTCACTGATCGTTTATATGATCTTACTAAATCAATGATTTAATCTCATAATTCTCAAACATATGATTCATCGATTCGAAAAGTTATTTTAATTTTAAACCCTAGTTTAATTGATGTTTATTCATAAAGTAAACTGTACTGTTCATTTAAAATAAATTTATTATTCTACACTTTTGATTCTATTGTATTCACTGATTCACTCTATTGACTTATTGTTATTTTGGTTTCGTAATCACTTTTTTCTACTGTCTTTACTCATCCTACTGATATTTTCGTCACAACTAGATTCATTTTACAATATCAGATTCTTAAATTTACATTGTATTTATCTTGTCAACTTGGATTTAAAATATTTAATATTCAGTAATAAAAATGTCATATATTCAAGAACTGTGATTCATTTGATAATTCATTTTAACTAGATAATTTGTATGGTGATCATTCAATCGATAACTCATATCATTTAAAAGAGTCTTCGGATTCCAATGTCGAGGCAATTGCGATGATAATAATTCTAATTCCTTTAATCACATATTTACAGTTTAATTGTTGAAAGATGCTTTCTTTTCTTTAACTACTGGACCATGTTATTTCATGATTCAATTTTATGTTCATATGACAATTAGCAATATAAAAGTGTTCATCATTCAATTCTTCCTGAACAGTTAGTTACCTAACTGTCTGTCATCTTTTTAATACTTACTTTCATTTTGTTAATATCAGGAATAGTAACTGATGTGCATTTCTTGTTAGATCTAACCTTTATTTTCCATAATAACTGAATTATGTGTATGACTGCGATTACTTTGTCTAATTTATCGTCTAGTTTGATTTCACTACCAAAAGTAATTGTTAAACTATGTATAATGTTATTCTTTCCTTGTTTGCAACTGATTTAGCATTTCTAATTTGTTATTGTTTTTTTCTCGAAAAAAAAACTTTATCTTAGCTCTCGATTCAGATTTACCTGCTCCATGGTGGGATGCATGCTGTGACAAATGTCTACTACTTGGTATTATGAAACATGGATGGGAAAAGTATACAGCAATTCGTTTAGACCCGAAGCTATGCTTCCGTTCTCGTGCTGTTGAAATTGTTCAATCTCAATGTCCAACTGTACTAGAAGGCCTGATGAGGTTAGTTTACTCTCCTATAGTTGTATTTTTGTGTAAATTAGATATTTGCCATGATTAGTGCCATTTAGTCTTTAGTTCATAATATACATTTTTACACATTGACCATATTATTTAAGACATAACCTTCCTACTTAACATAAATAATATTGTAACAAAATTTTGTGATTTTCTCATGGATTACAGTCTAACATTTTCTCCTGTGAAATACCTTTGTCAGTATTTCGATAATCTGAATTGGTCAGTCAGTTACAACGTAGTACTTTATACGTAAGTACATAAGTTCAGGTTGCTATACCACATTAACACAGAGACGCGACTGTCAGTTTAAATACCAATATGGTAGAGAAAGTAGAATTATTAGCGGTAATAGAGAAGATGAGGGCTCGAAAATATTGTTCAAGTAGTAGAATTTAGTGAAATAAACTTAAAAGAAAAAGATAAAGGTTTTAAGGAACTCTGAAGGTTAGGATTTGAGAGAACACAAAAAATAAATGTGCCTGCACCATTGCAAACGGTTTTGAGCCATGTCATTCAAGGTCTCTAACCATCGATTACTATCATCTCGCAGGCCCGAACCAGGTAGTTGACACCTGTCAACATGACTCAGTCCACTTGCCAGTGACTTCGTGTATTTCTGCCATGTTTTGGTCTGGCCGCCCCTATCTTTCTTCTAATCTGTTCCTACATCACAAAATATAGTTTGACGAGGCAATCTGTGGTTAGGCATACGTAACACGTGTCCTAACCCCCTCAACTAATGAAGTTTCAATACTTCGTCTATTGATTTGCCACCCTTACTTAGTACCCGTTTCGGAACAACACCATTGCTTACTCGATTGTCCCGGGATATACGAGCAATGCTTCGAAGACACCGATGATCGAAAACCGGTATCCTATTAATATCCTCTAGTCCACCGGCCATGTTTCGCATCTATATAGCAAACGAATATCTCGCCTACTCCATTAGTGACGGAAGTTGGCAAAAGCCAATCGAGCTTTCTGTATCCGTGCTGAGATTTCGTCGGACGCCAGAACATTAGCACTGACTTGACTCTTAATTAATCTTCATGTTGATTCTGATTAACACTTTTTATCTATCAATAAACAGTAATATTTCTTGTTTAATTTAAAAAAGAGCATATTTCTACTTCGGTAGATATAATACTTATTTCTGGAAAAATCGACAGCATAGAGCTTATATAACTGCCATATTCGTGAAAGGTTTGCGAAACCAATAAACGGAAGTACATTTTATTGTGATGCGAAATACCCTACTTATATAACGGATTAGGATTGTATGATATACATAAACTATTTTATTAAGTACGCATGCATGTTGATAAATAAAAACATGCAATTTTGTACATTTCTATTAAATATTTTCTTACACATGTGTTTTTTTCCTTCATGCTATTATTTTAATGTAAAGGGATGTTTAGTAATTGTTTTCGTTTTGATGAATTATTATTTCTATTCACTACTTCTTTATGGTCACAGAATTCCACAGGACTTACCCACTTGATTTGCGTGTTATTCTTGTCATTTATAGTAATCTTGGCCAATCAGTTGTGACTGCCAAAAGTTCAAACAGTGACCATGAGACTGAAGTAGATTTCACTAAAACTGATGATACAACTGAATGTAAACCAGTAGAAAATGTTCTTTCAACCTCTGATTTTCCTACTTCACTTGTTGTTCCTGAAACGTCTTCAGAGAATACTGAAGAAACTGTGCATGATGTAAAACATTCAGAGAAAAGTGATGATAAATTACTCAACTTAGAAGAGGATGATATTTGCAAACCACTTGAAAAAGTTGTATCACCTGTACCAGTGATGACTTCTCTTAATGATGATGAAAACAATATTTCAGATGATGTTCTACTTGCTGCTCTTCCATTTCCCCAACTTGCTGACTTAAACTCCCGAGCTAGAAAACTTGTCGGGTTTTTCCAACGCATCAGAAATCAACTGGATTCTGATTCAACTCGAGTTAGTTCAATATCTTAACTTTATATTATCTACTCTATTTTTTAATCAGTTTAAGCATTGATACAATTGATGATTACCTTTTTTAGTCATAAATAACAATGAATTTCAGAAACGTGAAATTGAATACGATTTGACAAAAATAAGCATGTTATGAGTTAGTTAGTCCACTTATCCTCATTCCTGTCAATCTGAGAATTCGGGATACTCTCATAGTGATGAGTTGGAAGTTTCTACTTGTTCTGAATGAAATCCTAGTTGATTGATTGTACTAAATACCTTTATCCAACTAAGTTTATTTATTTAATTATGACACCATAACTACTTATATACCATTTTTCACATAGATAAAATGAAATAACACGATTTTGATGAAGTATCATCTTGATGGTTATTGTTGAAAATAATTCAGTTCTATGAAACAAAACAAAACTACTAATAATAACACGATTCAAAAAATGATTTGATCAGTTTGACTGGCAATGAATCATATGGTTTATGGAGAATACATTAAGTAACTACTGTATGATTACCACGGATTTCCATATTAAAACCTTATTTCTTAATGCTTGAAGGCAATCATTTACATAAAATACTGAGTAGTTTCCTGAATGTAGAAATAACAATTTACCAATGGATACTAACTGAATCAATTCTAGACATATACATTTTTATGGTTCTGTATTAAATGATTACTTATTGCTAATTTCTTTATTTACAATTTCGACCGTATGCGTGATTTCATAAAACTACTTTTTGCACACTGAAAATGATTGTTCTGTAGTGCGTGTTATTATTACGCAAAGATGAGTCATCTTATACGCTAATGTACTAAAATCTCAGTGAAATAATCCAGCTAACCATTGAATAATCTTTTAATTGTAGACCGACTTATCAATACCTCAGGTCAGTAATTTTTTGCACCATTACTGTTCAGTAAAGCTTCGTGAACAACAATATTGATTACCAACAATTCATTACAATTTAATCTTTCTTAATTGATTGATTAAATCTGTTATCTGTTGTTTTTTATTCTTGTTTTAGCATGTACCTAAAGTTGAAGTTGAAGAGTCCGTCACATGCTCACCTGTTGTAAAACTTACAGAACCAAAAATCTTGTAAGTTAAGTATTTTATTTGTTTGAGTGTTGTTACTTTCAATGGTCTGAATGTTAACGGACACATTTTGAGCGCATGACAGACATTTTTTTAGACAGAACCATGTATGCAGTTTCTACTTGAAGCTTCAATATATAACTCATGTTAATTTTTAAACTATGCTGGATAAAAAAACATAGACTTAGATTACTTCGTAGAGTTCCCATTTGTCAGCAAAGGCTTACTTACATTTGTTTTAAAGCTTAAATGGAAATATTGTTTGTCTCTTTTTAAAAAAAAATACTTATTCATAAATAACTATAACTATCGAGATATCTCGGATTTGTTAATCTATTGCTCAGAATTCTAAAAACCACTCTCTTTAAATTCATCTTTATGATTTTGGAATTCTATTTGTGATGTCATCTTATATATTGTCACTCTTTTATCTTTGTCCAAAGATTAGGGGTGTACAATTTATCACAGTAGATTAGGAATAACAGAGAGTTGAGAACATGATATGAGTGGATTGTTATGTAAAAAGATTTTAAATGAAAGAACTATTTCTAATAACTGAAAGGAATAACTAGAAAAATGACTGAGAACAAAGTTAGAAACAAGTCAAAGTTTCAATACTCATAATGAAATAAAGAATAGGAGTGTATGAATTGTTGTATTTGGTTTCATACAGTATCTTTCAAAATTTGTATGCAGGTATTTTGATTATTCTACAAATCTTTGTCTCATAAACTACCATGTTATGTCGAAGATTGTATATCTATGCAAATTGAGTACCTAGTTTTTTTGTGAACGATGATATTATGCGATTCAGTACTGTATGTCTTGTTTCACCTTCAACTCAAAATGATGATATTGTGCACATAAATGAATATAAGTGAAAGTTGCACAGCATTACAACTTTCTGCTTCTTGTGATGGGCATTTAGATGTGTAAAAACTTGTAATATTTTTGCCTTTTGCTCCAGTTCATAATTTAAACTCTTCTATTGATGATTTTGAGTTGAGCGCTTGAACTATTGACCTACTTCTGTCAAAAAAAAAACACTACATAGAGGCGATTTCCTTGATGACACACGGTGAAATAAATATAAATTAACACCGGTTCATATCATCAGTTCACACATATAGTAATAGACGTTAAATATTAAATTAATGTCATCTTTCGTAAGTTTATAAGCTCATTAGTGTTTATAGTAAATTGAAGAATTTTTTAAAACTCAACTTAGCATAATTATGTGCATTTATTGTTCAATTTGATTTCTCTCTTTAAATATGTTATTTTCCTAAATTTCCCCACTGTAATTTAGAAAATGGACGCGTAGAGAGGAAGCTGATTTTTACCGTGTAGTATCAAGCTTTGGTGTGGAATTTACTGAAATTCCACCAACAGATAATGATGAATTGCCAAAATCAGACACTACTGATGTTATCGATGAAGAATCAAAGTCATCGCCGAAGCCACCAATTCCAAGAATATATAGTTGGATTAATTTTCGACAACTTGGTAATCTAGGTCGAAAATCCGATCAAGCACTAGTTGAATACTTTCAAGCTTTTTATCGAATGTGTCAACGTGTTTGCAAAAAAGAACTCACTAGTAAGTTTATCTTAATATGTGCATAAAAATGTGTGTATATTTTCTGGTATATAACGTTCTACTATTATTTCTCTATTAGTGCAGATTAATTTGTATTTTATATGGAGCGATATATATTAGCAAATATGAGAGAGAAAAGGATGAGATAAACTGACTATTCATCAAAGTAGTCGAAAACAATGAGAGAAATAGTACCAACATGAGGTTAGGAAAATCTGATAATCGAAACAAGAAGTTGATAGTGTAACTTTTCAACTGCATTATATTACATCATTCCTTACTACCTGGATATAATTGAAATGTTCCAACTATGTTTGCCAACTTTATCACAATATTTTATATACTGATTTTCTGGCCTCGAGCCACTCTTCAGTTACCCACGATCTCCAGTCATCCTGAATGGCAAATCGACGTAAGTCCCCCTAGTCTTAATGAAGTTGAAAAAGCGTTAGGAAATCTGAAGCGAGGACGAGCTGCAGGTCCTGATAGACTGACCCCTGAGATATTTAAGGATGGTGGTCCAGTTTTAGCAGCTAGATTGACTGAGATCTTAGGTAGAATCTGGGAACTGGACGTAATCCCATCCGACTGGTCTCAATCACTGATTGTCCCAATCTATAAGAAAGGACAAAAGTCTTCTTGTGACAATCACAGAGGAATAAGTCTAACTAATATAGTATCTAAAATATTGGCCTCAGTAATACTTCGACGCTTAACGAAAGCTCGTGAAGAGCAAACTCGAGAAAACCAATCTGGTTTTCGACCTGGACGTGGCTGTATAGACCACATCTTCACACTACGACAGGTCCTGGAACACAGACACACATTTAGGCGTCCTACAATAGTTGTTTTCCAGGACCTAAAAGTGGCATTTGACTCAGTGGATCGTGAGGTTCTGTGGCAGTGTCTGTCATTGAAAGGTGTACCAAATAAGTACATTAGCCTCATACAAGCTCTCTACTCGAACACCACTGGTCGAGTGAGGGCTTATGGCGAACTGTCACCGGAATTCTCTACTTCAAGTGATGTCCGTCAGGGATGTCCACTTTCTCCATTCTTGTTTAATTTTATCATAGACCTGCTCCTAGAAATAACCTTATCCTCGTCTGAATTTTCTGGAGTAGACCTTTTACCAGGTGGCTCGCTTATTGAATTAGAATATGCCGATGACATAGTCCTACTTGGTGAAGACGCTGACAAAATGCAGAGTCTTCTGACTACCATAAGCAACAATGCAAGCATGTTCGGGATGCGGTTTTCCCCCTCGAAATGCAAAATGTTGCTTCAAGATTGGGTTTCATCGGCACCTGAACTAGTGATAGGCAGTGAAGTGGTCGAACGTGTAGACCGCTTCACTTATCTTGGGAGTCTCATCAGTGCTGATAGCCTGGTGACTGACGAAATCTCGGCACGGATACAGAAGGCTCGATTGGCTTTTGCCAACCTGCGTCACTTATGGCGTAGGCGAGATATCCGTTTGCTGACTAAAGGACGAGTGTACTGCGCAGTAGTTCGCTCCGTCTTACTTTATGGCTGTGAAACATGGCCAATGAGAGTAGAAGATACTTGTCGGTTATTGGTTTTCGATCATAGGTGTCTTCGAAGCATTGCTCTTATATCGTGGGACACCCGAGTGAGCAACGCTGTTATTAGGAAATCGGGTGCTAGGTAAGAATGGCAGATCAATCGATGAAGTATTGAAACTTCACCAGTTGAGGTGGTTGGGACATGTGTTGCGTATGCCGAACCACCGACTGCCTCGTCGAGCCTTGTTTTGTAGTGTAGGGAATAGGTTGGAAGAAAGTTAGGGGCGGCCAGACCAAAACATGGCAGAAATCCATGAAGTCACTTGACTAGTGGACTGAGCCATGTCGGTAGTTGTCGACTACCAAGGTTGGGGTCCGCGAGATGATAATAATCGATGGTTAGAGACCTTGAATGACATGGCTCAAAATCGTTCGCAATGGCGCCGGTGCATTTATTCTTTGTGTTCTCTCAAATCCTAATCTTCTGGATTCTTCAACACCTCTAGTTTTTAATTTCTAAACTTATCTCACTGAATCATACTTCTTGAATAATATCTTCTAATCGTAACCTCTCCGATTACTTCTAATACCTTTACTACCTCTTCTACTATTAGATTTGAATTGACAATGACATCTCTGTGCTGATGTGGTATGGCGACATGAACTGATGTACTTACGTACGAAGTTCTACGTTGCAACTGACTGACTGATACTGATTTTCTGTATCATAATCATATAATGTATCGTGACACTAAGTTTTTACAAGGAATTGGTATTTTCAATATTGCTATATATAAATAATGTTTTCAGAATTCTTTCATGTTTTCAAGCGGATGAATTATGCCTCAGTAAGTTAAGTTACTTGTTTATAGGTTTACTATGTTCCTCGATGATCATTCTTTATTTGTTAATCTCTTCAAGTTTTGTTTAATTATTTCATTGATACAGCTTGAGTTACATTTCATTAAAGAAATTTTTATTACAAATTCTTATAGTATTTGCAGAACCTGCTTCCACTATTGCTACTACTACAACATCAGGATCAAGTGATTTAGGCTGTGAACTTGTAATTGATCCAATTTCTGAAGAACGTGCTAGTCGTTGTTTATCACGTATTGATTTATTGGTGCGAATTCGAAATAATATTTTACAGCATCCTGATCTAGAAGAAAGACTTAAATTGTGTCAGTCTAGTTCTGATCTTCCAGGTTGGTGGATACCGGGAAAACATGATAAAGAGTTGTTGTTTGCTGCTGCAAAGTAAGTTTAAAACTTCTAGTATTAGTATTGCATACATTTAACAGTTGAAACCTACATATTTATTCATCTGAATATTTATATCATATTGACCCTTATTTTTTACTCGATTGGATAGTTTCGAACGGTTTATAAAGTCTTAGATTGGCTGAATACTCGCTAAGTTTTATAAGACTGCAGTTTGTTATAACCTTATTAACACTTTTCTAACTTTAATGTCTTCTAGTAATATTTCAGATTGTTCTTCGTTTTCAATGTTGTTCATTAAAGCAATATTAACAGATCATATCACTGGTAATTAAACTGATTTAGGAGAGAATCGGTTGTACAAACTCTTTGCTTTTATGTTGAAATAATATTAGAAGCTGTGTAATAAATATAAACATAGTTGGATGCTATTCAATCATATACTTGATTACATGGTTCAAGTCTTATCCAAGTTTCAATTTCTCTTCAGTCGTCGAATTATATTATGAGCGTATATGCTTTTGAAAATAATTTTTCTCCATTGTCTCTATTTTACAACTAAATATGGATAAGTTTTATTTCAATTTTTTGTGATAGACATGGACTAGCTCGTACTGATTTGAATATTCTTCAAGATTCGAACTCGAGTTTCGCACGGATAGTTCAGTTAATTCGCGATAAGCTAGCTCATGATCCAGCAGTCACAGACTATCCAGGAGATTTGAATGCTAATCAATCAAGTCGATCCAGTATAGCTGCAGCTGCTGCTTCAGCAGCTCGTTCAGCTGCAACCCAGTTATTAGAAGAAGAAAGTACTGGTCCCTCTGATGTACCATCATCTGAGGCAAATACAGTCAAAGTTGATATAACAAACAAATTAGAATGCAATCAATCAGACAATCACTCTCCAATGGTTTCTACAAATTGTCAAGATCCTGTCACTACCAAAGATGACAATGAAGCTGATTCTGTAACTTCTGAAACTGTCGTTTCACATGATATTACAACTCCATCTGCTGTGAATAACATTGAGAACGATGTATTATCAGATGTCAGCCAGATTGTGAATGAGAAAAACGATGTCAAAGTCACTATTAAAGAAGATCAAGGTATTCAATTATGCTTGTTTTATGAATTTTTGTTAGCTGTTTATTCATTAATTTCATATTCTAATTAGCTACTTTTGTAGCATAACTTTGTATATATTCATGCATCGAGTTTGTGATACAAAATGCGCAAAACATGTACTTTCAGTATTTCATGCTATTTTAAAGAAATTAGAATTGTCTATGTAGATTATGTTTATTGCTTAAATTAAAATGTAAATTAAATTTTAAATAATTCAGTATTTCATATCCGAAATATTTTCAAATATCAGTGTCTCATTATTATCATTATTAATATTATGATTATTATTATTATTAAAACAAGTCAAGAGATGTCATTGAAATTATACTTATCATATTGATTAATTATTCAGAACAAAGTTAATTATTCCTGAAGTAGATTGTAGCAACATGACAAATTTATCTCTGTGTACCTTACTGGAATAATCTACTACACATCTAAATCATGATTCTTTTTTATTGATTATTACGAAATAACTCCTAGTAACCACAGTGTACATGGTAGGAAATACACATAGTGAACAGTTTGTTTTGTAAACAAAATATGTTTTTATGAAAACTTCAGAATTTTCCATGTACTTCTGACTTTCATCGATTCTGTGTTTACAATATATTTATTTCGAGCATTTTACATATTTTCAGATTCTGCTTCCGTGATTGGTGGTGTGGACGGTGCTGATATTGCTAAAGTCGGATCAGACTCGACTGTTGCTGAATGGTCTCTCAAATTCGCTACTAATCTGGCAATCTCATGGCCTAAAGACAGAACTATTCAACACCGTTTAGAACTTATTTGTCAAACTGTTGAAGTAAGCTATTGTTATGTTCAATTACGCTTTACAAATGTGTCATATTATACCTACTTTTTAGTATAGCATTATCATTAATTACGAGTTTGTAGTTATCGATAGATCTGAATTTTTAAAAGTTGCTTATTTACGTAGAAGTTACACGTTGTGAACAATTGAATGTGGCTGTATTCAACAACAGTAGCTACTCAGGTGGTTTCCTGCCTCTAAAGAGATGGATGTAATAGTGTAAATAGCTTGAAATTTGTCATCTGGTAATGATGGGAATTCGGAAGCTTATCAGAATTCATAGCTTTAGTTGTAGTTAAATTATTGTTATCTCTACTGTTAGTTAAATAAATTCGATTACGGATTAGTTGATAAATATGCTTTCTATAAGTTATCAGATTATAAGATTGAAAAGATTGCAAAATTATCGTAGTGAATATTTTTTATTCAAAAATGTGTTATTTCTTTTAAGATCTTGATTAAAAATTTTACTATACCAAAATGTTTAATGTGTTGTTTCCAGACTAACGAATGGACAAAGCCTCGCCGTTTTATTACACCGATTACCACTGCGATTCCAGTTTCATCTTCTATGGTAAATTCTACTCGGTCGCATGTAGAATCAAAGATTACTAATTTAAGTACTGTATTTCCTCCCAATTATCGAAGTTCAATGTCATCAATTCGTGACAATTATCCCTTATCGTCTAGTAATTCTAGAAGGACTTCGATGAATTCTACTCATGTTTCATTACCTCGAAAACAGTATGGTCTACCGGTTTTTTCTCCTGAAATGAACTCTAATTCAATTGATTCAACATGTGACTTGAAGTTATCTAGTCTAACAGACATATCATCTGCGGTTACGAACAATGAATTAGACGAGCCACAGCAATTCGATTTCTCTATAGGTGGGAGGCATATTAACTCATCACACTGTAAGTCAGCGTCATTACAATCTTATTCTTCTGAAACACCGTCCTCAGCTTCCATACCAACAGAATCTGATGAGAGTATTTCTACATCTGCCAACTTTCCATTAAATATAAATGATAATCCATTACCCTTTGTTTCTACCCCTACAAACGAGAATACATTAGTCGACCGAAACCGTGGTCGAAGTCGTAATCGAAGTAATCGATCTAACTCACTTAGCAAAAATTCATTTAATAATCGTGATAAATGTCAAACAAATTCTGATACTGATCAAGAAACCTTAACATTTCGTGACACTACTCAAAAATCTACAACTTCGCATTCTGAACACTTTTCACAAAGTTCCAAATCGTTATCGATTGCTGCCAGTAATCCAGTGTCTGATGATAATGATTTTTCAATGCCACCACCAAGTATGCCATCTGCGCCACGCTCTGTTTCCGGAGCAAATAATCGTGGACGTAAACGGAAAAGTGATGCATCTAAACATCTACCGGATTCAAATTCAACGTTCTCAAAAGCTTCGTACAGTTCTAAACGTGAACGTGTCAGTTCATCGAAAATTGAGTCGAATAGCAATGATATACAAAAAGCTTCTCAAAATACAAGTTCTGACATTTGGGATGTACGTGTCCCTGTAATTAGTTTAGTTGATGGTTCTTTAATTTATGGTGATAAAGCTCCTGAACGAAGGTCTCTTGAAGCTTGGTTGGATGCAAATCCAAACTATATGCCATATTCCGTGGAAGTGGTAAGTGGTTCTGCTTAGAATAATTTTTTTGGACCGTTCTTTATTTAGAATTCTATTACTGTTTTATTTTTTGTAAGAAAATGAAATATATTTTATCTGTAATTCAGTTAATTGATATTCGCGATCCCCAGTGAGGTGTGAAGTAATTTTTTCATCTTAAAATTTACTCACTAATATGATGTATTTAATATTTCATTGTATATATATCTAATAGACAGACAGACAGTTGCCACGTAGAACTACGTACGTATGTACATAAGCTCATGTTGCCATACCACATTAGCACAAGGACGCAGATGTCAAATCAAATCCCATAGTGATAAAGATAGTAGAGTTATTAATGGTAGTGAAGATGACTAGGGTTCGAAGATATTATTCAAGGAGTATAATTAAGTGAAATAAGGTTAGAAAGACAAAGGTAGAGGTTCTGACGAATCCAGAATATTAGGATTTAAGAGAGCTTAAAGAATGGATACACTTGCGCCATTGCAAACGATTTTGAGCCATGTCGTTCAAGGTCTCTAACCATTGGTGGCTTTCGTCTCGCGGACCCCAACCAGGTATATATGTATATCTAATAATTCTATTTTCACATGTTTTAACTGTTAAAATTAGACGTAATAATGTTGCATTTAAACCTTTTACTACAGCATTTAATAACCTTTTTGGTGTTAAATCATAATCAAGTGATTACTATTAAAGGAGAAGCGGACCAAAAAGTCTTATCTATTCGTAGTAGATAGAAGGTTACTGTTAATAGTATGCTTTAGATCTGGAGATTCTTCTAACATTTAGAAAAACTTTTAATTATCTTTGATACTTAATATGTTTGTTTTTCAAAATTCAGTAGTGCTTAGAGATAATTGTTAAAAAGTAATTCTCTGTTAATCAGAAAATGTAAACGGAATCTGGCTTAGAGTTTTTCTTGTCTGAACTCTGTGCTAATAAGAACTCAAAAAGTACTTACATTGTGCATCTAGCACAGCGAAACCATAATGCAGAGGAGTCAAAATTTCAATGACAATAAGTAGTATGCCATTGAAAATAAGAAAAACCAGTTAGTAACGTATACAGAATAAAAGAATTGTTTAGGATTTGACTATAAATAAAGTAACCAATCATATCACTATCATGGGATTTGAAACTATGTTAAAAATCATTCACCATTACCCTAGTTTTTTGCATCATTCTTTAAAGTATGTTGATTTGCAAAATTCTTCGAACTCGGAGTAGTAATCATTCATCTCCACTTTTTTAACATTGTTTTTCAGTATAAATTAGATGAATAGTTGTATAATATGTTTATTCCCATATTCCATTATAAACTAAATAGGCCATACTAATATAAATTCCTAACCTTGCTAAATCATACTGTTTAACTTTTTACCGCTTACTTTCGACTATTCCAGGAGGATCGTGCAATCTATAATCGTGTTGCAAGTGCTAGGGGCCAAGATACAAGTAACATGGAAGCATTGGCTTATAAACATTACTTGAATAGTAATGTTTATAAGCCAATGCTTCCATGTTACTTGTATCTTGGCCCCTAGCACTTGCAACACGATTATAGATTGCACGATCCTCCTGGAATAGTCGAAAAGTAAGCGGTAAAAAGTTAAACAGTATGATTTAGCAAGGTTAGGATTTATATTAGTATGGCCTATTTAGTTTATAATGGAATATGGGATAAACATATTATACAACTATTCATCTAATTTATACTGAAAAACAATGTTAAAAAAGTGGAGATGAATGATTACTACTCCGAGTTCGAAGAATTTTGCAAATCAACATACTTTAAAGAATGATGCAAAAAACTAGGGTAATGGTGAATGATTTTTAACATAGTTTCAAATCCCATGATAGTGATATGATTGGTTACTTTATTTATAGTCAAATCCTAAACAATGCTTTTATTCTGTATACGTTACTAACTGGTTTTTCTTATTTTCAATGGCATACTACTTATTGTCATTGAAATTTTGACTCCTCTGCATTATGGTTTCGCTGTGCTAGATGCACAATGTAAGTACTTTTTGAGTTCTTATTAGCACAGAGTTCAGACAAGAAAAACTCTAAGCCAGATTCCGTTTACATTTTCTGATTAACAGAGATTACTTTTTAACAATTATCTCTAAGCACATACTGAATTTTGAAAAACAAACATATTAAGTATCAAAGATAATTAAAAGTTTTTCTAAATGTTAGAAGAATCTCCAGATCTAAAGCATACTATTAACAGTAACCTTCTATCTACTACGAATAGATAAGACTTTTTGGTCCGCTTCTCCTTTAATAGTAATCACTTGATTATGATTTAACACCAAAAAGGTTATTAAATGCTGTAGTAAAAGGTTTAAATGCAATATTATTACGTCTAATTTTAACAGTTAAAACATGTGAAAATAGAAAAATAGATTTATTAGATATACATATATCCCTGGTTGGGGTCCGCGAGACGAAAGTCACCAATGGTTAGAGACCTTGAACGACATGGCTCAAAATCGTTTGCAATGGCGCAAGTGTACCAATTCTTTAAGCTCTCTCAAATCCTAATATTCTGGATTCGTCAGAACCTCTACCTTTGTCTTTCTAACCTTATTTCACTTAATTATACTCCTTGAATAATATCTTCGAACCCTAGTCTTCTTCACTACCATTAATAACTCTACTATCTTTATCACTATGGGATTTGATTTGACATCTGCGTCCTTGTGCTAATGTGGTATGGCAACATGAGCTTATGTACATACGTACGTAGTTCTACGTGGCAACTGTCTGTCTGTCTATTAGATATATATACAATGAAATATTAAATACATCATATTAGTGAGTAAATTTTAAGATGAAAAAATTACTTCACACCTCACTGGGGATCGCGAATATCAATTAACTGAATTACAGATAAAATATATTTCATTTTCTTACAAAAAATAAAACAGTAATAGAATTCTAAATAAAGAACGGTCCAAAAAAATTATTCTAAGCAGAACCACTTACCACTTCCACGGAATATGGCATATAGTTTGGATTTGCATCCAACCAAGCTTCAAGAGACCTTCGTTCAGGAGCTTTATCACCATAAATTAAAGAACCATCAACTAAACTAATTACAGGGACACGTACATCCCAAATGTCAGAACTTGTATTTTGAGAAGCTTTTTGTATATCATTGCTATTCGACTCAATTTTCGATGAACTGACACGTTCACGTTTAGAACTGTACGAAGCTTTTGAGAACGTTGAATTTGAATCCGGTAGATGTTTAGATGCATCACTTTTCCGTTTACGTCCACGATTATTTGCTCCGGAAACAGAGCGTGGCGCAGATGGCATACTTGGTGGTGGCATTGAAAAATCATTATCATCAGACACTGGATTACTGGCAGCAATCGATAACGATTTGGAACTTTGTGAAAAGTGTTCAGAATGCGAAGTTGTAGATTTTTGAGTAGTGTCACGAAATGTTAAGGTTTCTTGATCAGTATCAGAATTTGTTTGACATTTATCACGATTATTAAATGAATTTTTGCTAAGTGAGTTAGATCGATTACTTCGATTACGACTTCGACCACGGTTTCGGTCGACTAATGTATTCTCGTTTGTAGGGGTAGAAACAAAGGGTAATGGATTATCATTTATATTTAATGGAAAGTTGGCAGATGTAGAAATACTCTCATCAGATTCTGTTGGTATGGAAGCTGAGGACGGTGTTTCAGAAGAATAAGATTGTAATGACGCTGACTTACAGTGTGATGAGTTAATATGCCTCCCACCTATAGAGAAATCGAATTGCTGTGGCTCGTCTAATTCATTGTTCGTAACCGCAGATGATATGTCTGTTAGACTAGATAACTTCAAGTCACATGTTGAATCAATTGAATTAGAGTTCATTTCAGGAGAAAAAACCGGTAGACCATACTGTTTTCGAGGTAATGAAACATGAGTAGAATTCATCGAAGTCCTTCTAGAATTACTAGACGATAAGGGATAATTGTCACGAATTGATGACATTGAACTTCGATAATTGGGAGGAAATACAGTACTTAAATTAGTAATCTTTGATTCTACATGCGACCGAGTAGAATTTACCATAGAAGATGAAACTGGAATCGCAGTGGTAATCGGTGTAATAAAACGGCGAGGATTTGGCCATTCGTTAGTCTGGAAACAACACATTAAACATTTTGGTATAGTAAAATTTTTAATCAAGATCTTAAAAGAAATAACACATTTTTGAATAAAAAATATTCACTACGATAATTTTGCAATCTTTTCAATCTTATAATCTGATAACTTATAGAAAGCATATTTATCAACTAATCCGTAATCGAATTTATTTAACTAACAGTAGAGATAACAATAATTTAACTACAACTAAAGCTATGAATTCTGATAAGCTTCCGAATTCCCATCATTACCAGATGACAAATTTCAAGCTATTTACACTATTACATCCATCTCTTTAGAGGCAGGAAACCACCTGAGTAGCTACTGTTGTTGAATACAGCCACATTCAATTGTTCACAACGTGTAACTTCTACGTAAATAAGCAACTTTTAAAAATTCAGATCTATCGATAACTACAAACTCGTAATTAATGATAATGCTATACTAAAAAGTAGGTATAATATGACACATTTGTAAAGCGTAATTGAACAAAACAGTAGCTTACTTCAACAGTTTGACAAATAAGTTCTAAACGGTGTTGAATAGTTCTGTCTTTAGGCCATGAGATTGCCAGATTAGTAGCGAATTTGAGAGACCATTCAGCAACAGTCGAGTCTGATCCGACTTTAGCAATATCAGCACCGTCCACACCACCAATCACGGAAGCAGAATCTGAAAATATGTAAAATGCTCGAAATAAATATATTGTAAACACAGAATCGATGAAAGTCAGAAGTACATGGAAAATTCTGAAGTTTTCATAAAAACATATTTTGTTTACAAAACAAACTGTTCACTATGTGTATTTCCTACCATGTACACTGTGGTTATTAGGAGTTATTTCGTAATAATCAATAAAAAAGAATCATGATTTAGATGTGTAGTAGATTATTCCAGTAAGGTACACAGAGATAAATTTGTCATGTTGCTACAATCTACTTCAGGAATAATTAACTTTGTTCTGAATAATTAATCAATATGATAAGTATAATTTCAATGACATCTCTTAACTTGTTTTAATAATAATAATAATAATAATATTAATAATGATAATAATGAGACACTGATATTTGAAAATATTTCGGATATGAACATACTGAATTATTTAAAATTTAATTTACATTTTAATTTAAGCAATAAACATAATCTACATAGACAATTCTAATTTCTTTAAAATAGCATGAAATACTGAAAGTACATGTTTTGCGCATTTTGTATCACAAACTCGATGCATGAATATATACAAAGTTATGCTACAAAAGTAGCTAATTAGAATATGAAATTAATGAATAAACAGCTAACAAAAATTCATAAAACAAGCATAATTGAATACCTTGATCTTCTTTAATAGTGACTTTGACATCGTTTTTCTCATTCACAATCTGGCTGACATCTGATGATACATCGTTCTCAATGTTATTCACAGCAGATGGAGTTGTAATATCATGTGAAACGACAGTTTCAGAAGTTACAGAATCAGCTTCATTGTCATCTTTGGTAGTGACAGGATCTTGACAATTTGTAGAAACCATTGGAGAGTGATTGTCTGATTGATTGCATTCTAATTTGTTTGTTATATCAACTTTGACTGTATTTGCCTCAGATGATGGTACATCAGAGGGACCAGTACTTTCTTCTTCTAATAACTGGGTTGCAGCTGAACGAGCTGCCGAAGCAGCAGCTGCAGCTATACTGGATCGACTTGATTGATTAGCATTCAAATCTCCTGGATAGTCTGTGACTGCTGGATCATGAGCTAGCTTATCGCGAATTAACTGAACTATCCGTGCGAAACTCGAGTTCGAATCTTGAAGAATATTCAAATCAGTACGAGCTAGTCCATGTCTATCACAAAAAATTGAAATAAAACTTATCCATATTTAGTTGTAAAATAGAGACAATGGAGAAAAATTATTTTCAAAAGCATATACGCTCATAATATAATTCGACGACTGAAGAGAAATTGAAAAATGGATAAGACTTGAACCATGTAATCAAGTATATGATTGAATAGCATCCAACTATGTTTATATTTATTACACAGCTTCTAATATTATTTCAACATAAAAGCAAAGAGTTTGTACAACCGATTCTCTCCTAAATCAGTTTAATTACCAGTGATATGATCTGTTAATATTGCTTTAATGAACAACATTGAAAACGAAGAACAATCTGAAATATTACTAGAAGACATTAAAGTTAGAAAAGTGTTAATAAGGTTATAACAAACTGCAGTCTTATAAAACTTAGCGAGTATTCAGCCAATCTAAGACTTTATAAACCGTTCGAAACTATCCAATCGAGTAAAAAATAAGGGTCAATATGATATAAATATTCAGATAAATAAATATGTAGATTTCAACTGTTAAATGTATGCAATACTAATACTAGAAGTTTTAAACTTACTTTGCAGCAGCAAACAACAACTCTTTATCATGTTTTCCCGGTATCCACCAACCTGGAAGATCAGAACTAGACTGACACAATTTAAGTCTTTCTTCTAGATCAGGATGCTGTAAAATATTATTTCGAATTCGTACCAATAAATCAATACGTGATAAACAACGACTAGCACGTTCTTCAGAAATTGGATCAATTACAAGTTCACAGCCTAAATCACTTGATCCTGATGTTGTAGTAGTAGCAATAGTGGAAGCAGGTTCTGCAAATACTATAAGAATTTATAATAAAAATTTCTTTAATGAAATGTAACTCAAGCTGTATCAATGAAATAATTAAACAAAACTTGAAGAGATTAACAAATAAAGAATAATCATCGAGGAACATAGTAAACCTATAAACAAGTAACTTAACTTACTGAGGCATAATTCATCCGCTTGAAAACATGAAAGAATTCTGAAAACATTATTTATATATAGCAATATTGAAAATACCAATTCCTTGTAAAAACTTAGTGTCACGGTACGTTATATGATTATGATACAGGAAATCAGTATCAGTCAGTCAGATGCAACGTAGAACTTCGTACGTAAGTACATCAGTTCATGTCGCCATACCACATCAGCACAGAGATGTAATTGTCAATTCAAATCCAATAGTAGAAGAGGTAGTAAGGGTATTAGAAATAATCGGAGAGGTTAGAATTAGAAGATATTATTCAAGAAGTATGATTCAATGAGATAAGTTTAGAAAGTAAAAACTAGAGGTGTTGAAGAATCCAGAAGATTAGCATTTGAGAGAACACAAAGAATAAATGCACCGGCGCCATTGCGAACGATTTTGAGCCATGTCATTCAAGGTCTCTAACCATCGATTATTATAATCTCGCGGACCCCAACTAGGTAGTCGACAATTACCGACATGGCTAAGTCCACTTGTCAGTGACTTCATGGATTTCTGCCATGTTTTGGTCTGGCCGCCCCTTACTTTCTTCCAACTTATTCCCACACTACAAAACAAGGCTCGACGAGGCAGTCGGTGGTTCGGCATACGCAACACATGTCCCAACCACCTCAACTGGTGAAGTTTCAATACTTCATCGATTGATCTGCCATTCTTACCTAGCACCCGATTCCTAATAACAGCGTTGCTCACTCGGGTGTCCCACGATATAAGAGCAATGCTTCGAAGACACCTATGATCGAAAACCAATAACCGACAAGTATCTTCTACTCTCATTGGCCATGTTTCACAGCCATAAAGTAAGACGGAGCGAACTACTGCGCAGTACACTCGTCCTTTAGTCAGCAAACGGATATCTCGCCTACGCCATAAGTGACGCAGGTTGGCAAAAGCCAATCGAGCCTTCTGTATCCGTGCCGAGATTTCGTCAGTCACCAGGCTATCAGCACTGATGAGACTCCCAAGATAAGTGAAGCGGTCTACACGTTCGACCACTTCACTGCCTATCACTAGTTCAAGGTGCCGATGAAACCCAATCTTGAAGCAACATTTTGCATTTCGAGGGGGAAAACCGCATCCCGAACATGCTTGCATTGTTGCTTATGGTAGTCAGAAGACTCTGCATTTTGTCAGCGTCTTCACCAAGTAGGACTATGTCATCGGCATATTCTAATTCAATAAGCGATCCACCTGGTAAAAGGTCTACTCCAGAAAATTCAGACGAGGATAAGGTTATTTCTAGGAGCAGGTCTATGATAAAATTAAACAAAAATGGAGAGAGTGGACAGCCCTGACTGACACCACTTGATGTAGAGAATTCAGATGACAGTTCGCCATAAGCCCTCACTCGACCAGTGGTGTTCGAGTAAAGAGCTTGTATAAGGTTAATGTACTTCTTTGATACATCTTTCAGTGACAGACACTGCCACAGAACCTTACGATCAACAGAGTCAAATGCCGCTTTTAGGTCCAGGAAAACAACTATTGTAGGACGCCTAAATGTGTGTCTATGTTCCAGGACCTGTCTCAGTGTGAAGACGTGGTCTATACAGCCACGTCCAGGTCGAAAACCAGCCTGGTTTTCTCTAGTCTGCTCTTCACGAGCTTTCGTTAGGCGCCGAAGTATTATTGAGGCCAATATTTTAGATACTATATTAGTTAGACTTATTCCTCTGTGATTGTCACAAGAAGACTTTTGTCCTTTCTTATAGATTGGGACAATCAGTGATTGAGACCAGTCGGATGGGATTACGTCCAGTTCCCAGATTCTACCTAGGATCTCGGTCAGTCTAACTGTTAAAACGACCACCATCCTTTAACATATCTCAGGGGTCAGTCTATCAGGACCTGCAGCTCGTCCTCCGCTTCAGATTTCCTAAAGCTTTTTCAACTTCATTAAGACTAGGGGGGACTTACGTCGATTTGCCATTCAAGATGACTGGAGATCGTGGGTAACTGAAGAGTGGCTCGAGCGCAGAAAATCAGTATATAAAATATTGTGATAAAGTTGGCAAACATAGTTGGAACATTTCAATTATATCCAGGTAGTAAGGAATGATGTAATATAATGCAGTTGAAAAGTTACACTATCAACTTCTTGTTTCGATTATCAGATTTTCCTAACCTCATGTTGGTACTATTTCTCTCATTGTTTTCGACTACTTTGATGAATAGTCAGTTTATCTCATCCTTTTCTCTATCATATTTGCTAATATATATCGCTCCATATAAAATACAAATTAATCTGCACTAATAGAGAAATAATAGTAGAACGTTATATACCAGAAAATATACACACATTTTTATGCACATATTAAGATAAACTTACTAGTGAGTTCTTTTTTGCAAACACGTTGACACATTCGATAAAAAGCTTGAAAGTATTCAACTAGTGCTTGATCGGATTTTCGACCTAGATTACCAAGTTGTCGAAAATTAATCCAACTATATATTCTTGGAATTGGTGGCTTCGGCGATGACTTTGATTCTTCATCGATAACATCAGTAGTGTCTGGTTTTGGCAATTCATCATTATCTGTTGGTGGAATTTCAGTAAATTCCACACCAAAGCTTGATACTACACGGTAAAAATCAGCTTCCTCTCTACGCGTCCATTTTCTAAATTACAGTGGGGAAATTTAGGAAAATAACATATTTAAAGAGAGAAATCAAATTGAACAATAAATGCACATAATTATGCTAAGTTGAGTTTTAAAAAATTCTTCAATTTACTATAAACACTAATGAGCTTATATACTTACGAAAGATGACATTAATTTAATATTTAACGTCTATTACTATATGTGTGAACTGATGATATGAACCGGTGTTAATTTATATTTATTTCACCGTGTGTCATCAAGGAAATCGCCTCTATGTAGTGTTTTTTTTTTTGACAGAAGTAGGTCAATAGTTCAAGCGCTCAACTCAAAATCATCAATAGAAGAGTTTAAATTATGAACTGGAGCAAAAGGCAAAAATATTACAAGTTTTTACACATCTAAATGCCCATCACAAGAAGCAGAAAGTTGTAATGCTGTGCAACTTTCACTTATATTCATTTATGTGCACAATATCATCATTTTGAGTTGAAGGTGAAACAAGACATACAGTACTGAATCGCATAATATCATCGTTCACAAAAAAACTAGGTACTCAATTTGCATAGATATACAATCTTCGACATAACATGGTAGTTTATGAGACAAAGATTTGTAGAATAATCAAAATACCTGCATACAAATTTTGAAAGATACTGTATGAAACCAAATACAACAATTCATACACTCCTATTCTTTATTTCATTATGAGTATTGAAACTTTGACTTGTTTCTAACTTTGTTCTCAGTCATTTTTCTAGTTATTCCTTTCAGTTATTAGAAATAGTTCTTTCATTTAAAATCTTTTTACATAACAATCCACTCATATCATGTTCTCAACTCTCTGTTATTCCTAATCTACTGTGATAAATTGTACACCCCTAATCTTTGGACAAAGATAAAAGAGTGACAATATATAAGATGACATCACAAATAGAATTCCAAAATCATAAAGATGAATTTAAAGAGAGTGGTTTTTAGAATTCTGAGCAATAGATTAACAAATCCGAGATATCTCGATAGTTATTTATGAATAAGTATTTTTTTTTTTAAAAAGAGACAAACAATATTTCCATTTAAGCTTTAAAACAAATGTAAGTAAGCCTTTGCTGACAAATGGGAACTCTACGAAGTAATCTAAGTCTATGTTTTTTTATCCAGCATAGTTTAAAAATTAACATGAGTTATATATTGAAGCTTCAAGTAGAAACTGCATACATGGTTCTGTCTAAAAAAATGTCTGTCCATGCGCTCAAAATGTGTCCGTTAACATTCAGACCATTGAAAGTAAACAACACTCAACAAATAAAATACTTAACTTACAAGATTTTTGGTTCTGTAAGTTTTACAACAGGTTAGCATGTGACGGACTCTTCAACTTCAACTTTAGGTACATGCTAAAACAAGAATAAAAAACAACAGATAACAGATTTAATCAATCAATTAAGAAAGATTAAATTGTAATGAATTGTTGGTAATCAATATTGTTGTTCACGAAGCTTTACTGAACAGTAATGGTGCAAAAAATTACTGACCTGAGGTATTGATAAGTCGTCTACAATTAAAAAGATTATTCAATCGTTAGCTGGATTATTTCACTGAGATTTTAGTACATTACGTATAAGATGACTCATCTTTGCGTAATAATAACACGCACTACGAACAATCATTTTCAGTGTGCAAAAAGTAGTTTTATGAAATCACGCATACGGGCGAAATTGTAAATAAGAAATTAGCAATAAGTAATCATTTAATACAGAACCATAAAAATGTATATGTCTAGAATTGATTCAGTTAGTATCCATTGGTAAATTGTTATTTCTACATTCAGGAAACTACTCAGTATTTATGTAAATGATTGCCTTCAAGCATTAAGAAATAAGGTTTTAATATGGAAATCCGTGGTAATCATACAGTAGTTACTTAATGTATTCTCCATAAACCATATGATTCATTGCCAGTCAAACTGATCAAATCATTTTTGAATCGTGTTATTATTAGTAGTTTTGTTTGTTCATAGAACTGAATTATTTTCAACAATAACCATCAGATGATACTTCATCAAATCGTGTTATTTCATTTTATCTATGTGAAAAATGGTATATAAAGTAGATATGGTGTCATAATTAAATAAATAAACTTAGTTGGATAAAGGTATTTAGTACAATCAATCAACTAGGATTTCAATTCAGAACAAGTAGAACTTCCAACTCATCACTATGAGAGTATCCCGAATTCTCAGATTGACAGGAATGAGGAATAAGTGGACTAACTAACTCATAACATGCTTATTTTGTCAAATCGTATTCAATTTCACGTTTCTGAAATTCATTGTTATTTATGACTAAAAAGTAATCATCAATTGTATCAATGCTTAAACTGATTAAAAAATAGAGTAGATAATATAAAGTTAAGATATTGACTAACTCGAGTTGAATCAGAATCCAGTTGATTTCTGAATAGCGTTGGACAACCCGACAAGTTTTCTAGCTCGGGAGTTTAAGTCAGCAAGTTGGGGAAATGGAAGAGCAGCAAGTAGAACATCATCTGAATATTGTTTTCATCATCATTAAGAGAAGTCATCACTGGTACAGGTGATACAACTTTTCAAGTGGTTTGCAAATATCATCCTCTTCTAAGTTGAGTAATTTATCATCACTTTTCTCTGAATGTTTTACATCATGCACAGTTTTCTTCAGTATTCTCTGGAAGACGTTTCAGGAACAACAAGTGAAGTAGGAAAATCAGAGGTTGAAAGAACATTTTTCTAACTGGTTTACATTCAGTTGTATCATCAGTTTTAATGAAATCTACTTCAGTCTCATGGTCACTGTTTGAACTTTTGGCAGTCACAAACTGATTGGCCAAGATTACATAAATGACAAGAATAACACGCAAATCAAGTGGGTAAGGTCCTGTGGAATTCTGTGACCATAAAGAAGTAGTGAATAGATATAATAATTCATCAAAACGAAAACAATTACTAAACACCCCTTTACATTAAAATAATAGCATGAAGGAAAAAAAACACATGTGTAAGAAATATTTAATAGAAATGTACAAAAATTGCATGTTTTTATTTATCAACATGCATGCGTACTTAATAAATAGTTTATGTATATCATACAATCCTAATCCGTTATATAAGTAGGGTATTTCGCATCACAATAAAATGTACTTCCGTTTATTGGTTTCGCAAACCTTTCACGAATATGGCAGTTATATAAGCTCTATGCTGTCGATTTTCCAGAAATAAGTATTATATCTACCGAAGTAGAAATATGCTCTTTTTTAAATTAAACAAGAAATATTACTGTTTATTGATAGATTACAAAAGTGTTAATCAGAATCAACATGAAGATTAATTAAGAGTCAAGTCAGTGCTATGTTCTGGCGTCCGACGAAATCTCAGCACGGATACAGAAAGCTCGATTGGCTTTTGCCAACTTCCGTCACTAATGGAGTAGGCGAGATATTCGTTTGCTATATAGATGCGAAACATGGCCGGTGGACTAGAGGATATTAATAGGATTACCGGTTTTTCGATCATCGGTGTCTTCGAAGCATTGCTCGTATATCCCGGGACAATGCGAGTAAGCAATGGTGTTGTTCCGAAACGGGTACTAAGTAAGGGTGGCAAATCAATAGGACGAAGTATTGAAACTTCATTAGTTGAGGGGGTTAGGACACGTGTTACGTATGCCTAACCACAGATTGCCTCGTCAAACTATATTTTGTGATGTAGGAACAGATTAGAAGAAAGATAGGGGCGGCCAGACAAAACATGGCAGAAATACACGAAGTCACTGGCAAGTGGACTGAGTCATGTTGACAGGTGTCAACTACCTGGTTCGGGCCTGCGAGATGATAGGAATCGATGGTTAGAGACCTTGAATGACATGCTCCAAACCGTTTGCAATGGTGCAGGCACATTTATTTTTTGTGTTCTCTCAAATCCTAACCTTCAGAGTTCCTTAAAACCTTTATCTTTTTCTTTTAATGTTTATTTCACTAAATTCTACTACTTGAACAATATTTTCGAGCCCTCATCTTCTCTATTACCGCTAATAATTCCTACTTTCTCTACCATATTGGTATTTAAACTGACAGTCGCGTCTCTGTGTTAATGTGGTATAGCAACCTGAACTTATGTACTTACGTATAAAGTACTACGTTGTAACTGACTGACCAATTCAGATTATCGAAATACTGACAAAGGTATTTCACAGGAGAAAATGTTAGACTGTAATCCATGAGAAAATCACAAAATTTTGTTACAATATTATTTATGTTAAGTAGGAAGGTTATGTCTTAAATAATATGGTCAATGTGTAAAAATGTATATTATGAACTAAAGACTAAATGGCACTAATCATGGCAAATATCTAATTTACACAAAAATACAACTATAGGAGAGTAAACTAACCTCATCAGGCCTTCTAGTACAGTTGGACATTGAGATTGAACAATTTCAACAGCACGAGAACGGAAGCATAGCTTCGGGTCTAAACGAATTGCTGTATACTTTTCCCATCCATGTTTCATAATACCAAGTAGTAGACATTTGTCACAGCATGCATCCCACCATGGAGCAGGTAAATCTGAATCGAGAGCTAAGATAAAGTTTTTTTTTCGAGAAAAAAACAATAACAAATTAGAAATGCTAAATCAGTTGCAAACAAGGAAAGAATAACATTATACATAGTTTAACAATTACTTTTGGTAGTGAAATCAAACTAGACGATAAATTAGACAAAGTAATCGCAGTCATACACATAATTCAGTTATTAAGGAAAATAAAGGTTAGATCTAACAAGAAATGCACATCAGTTACTATTCCTGATATTAACAAAATGAAAGTAAGTATTAAAAAGATGACAGACAGTTAGGTAACTAACTGTTCAGGAAGAATTGAATGATGAACACTTTTATATTGCTAATTGTCACATGAACATAAAATTGAATCATGAAATAACATGGTCCAGTAGTTAAAGAAAAGAAAGCATCTTTCAACAATTAAACTGTAAATATGTGATTAAAGGAATTAGAATTATTATCATCGCAATTGCCTCGACATTGGAATCCGAAGACTCTTTTAAATGATATGAGTTATCGATTGAATGATCACCATACAAATTATCTAGTTAAAATGAATTATCAAATGAATCACAGTTCTTGAATATATGACATTTTTATTACTGAATATTAAATATTTTAAATCCAAGTTGACAAGATAAATACAATGTAAATTTAAGAATCTGATATTGTAAAATGAATCTAGTTGTGACAAAAACATCAGTAGGATGAGTAAAGACAGTAGAAAAAAGTGATTACGAAACCAAAATAACAATAAGTCAATAGAGTGAATCAGTGAATACAATAGAATCAAAAGTGTAGAATAATAAATTTATTTTAAATGAACAGTACAGTTTACTTTATGAATAAACATCAATTAAACTAGGGTTAAAAATTAAAATAACTTTTCGAATCGATGATCATATGTTTGAGAATTATGAGATTAAATCATTGATTTAGTAAGATCATATAAACGATCAGTGAACTGTTTGTTGAAATTGTCTACACTAAAATGTAGCAAGATTAGAATAAATATCAAATCAAACAAGTACAATGGGACGGGTGAAGTGGCCCGAGAGACCAAATAAAAAAAGGGATTTCGGAAACAGTCGATAGAAATCACTTTCGTAAACTAACCATTAACATTGGGCAGCTAAGGAAAAAAATTCGATGAGAAACCAATTCATTACTTAAGTGAATATTAGTCATCTGAAGATATTACGAAACTTTAGACAGTAATCAGTGATTATTCAGAGTTAACAATAATCAGACTGTAATGCTGTATCTTTAGGCAAAGTAGTTCGATATTGTGACACATTTACGTGATGTTAATAGGAAGAATGAACAAGAATACACATTCTTCAAGGTTTTTCTAATAGGATTAAACATAAACAATTTTCAATGAATACTTATTCTACAATCAGCTTATGGTCTCCCTGTATCGTTTTAATTGCGTGCTTTTGTGTGACTAAGTAACTGTTAATATATACTTTCGCTTTTCAGAAATCATTGTGTATAAATTTTTAGACCTATTACTGTTTTACATCATAAGTATCATAGTTATCTGGTTTTCAATATTGATTGTTTATAAAAAGCTTCATGATCGTTTACTTTTAGAATAATACAAAAACGTTAAGTCTAAAATCTGGAATACATTGATTGAATTGGTAAGCTTGAGAATGAGAAAAAATGTCAGATATGTTATTTGCCATATCGCCCATACATTAATTAAATCATCAAACTCATAAGTAATGGGATGTGACTTCGAAGTCATGATAAATGGTAAGAGGTTGGATCCAATACGTAAAAGCTTATGTAGTTTGTCGCTCAGAAAACAATATAACCTTAACCTATTCCTAGTGAGGATTTTAGAAAACGGTAAAACAGGGATAGACTGGTAAACAAATTCAATCAGGTTTGAGATAGGAACTTTCGAGGCTTCGACGCGGAATCAAAAATATACTGAAGACTGTTGATGTTGAATGAACAACTTCAAGAAGAATATGGAAATGAACTGTTTGAAAACCTTATTGTACCATTATTGAGTAGAAAAGACATCACACGAATGATAAGCACGTAGGATACCTACTATTTTTTATGTATATTAACACACTTAGTTAAATCATGATTGTGGGCTGGATGAATACAATTTTATGATGTTCAGATATTTGAACAAATATTTTATTGGAATATCAAATTATTGTGTATCAATTAAATATTGTAAACTCAGATAAGAATGTATACCGAGAAAAACTATGTAAAAGTTTTATGACTGTGTTAGTGAACAAAACTATTCAAACAACTTTGACTTATAATTCAAAGAGTAGTTGATATGAAATCAGATCAATACAAAAACAAAACAGATTTATGTTCCGGACACATATAAGATAATTTTGAAATCAATAATGAATCTGTAAAAATGTCATACCTTATATAAAGGATGGTATGTGTTTAAAGAAAAAAAGAAGACAGGTATGTTTGAAAAAATTGATATCGTTTTAATAGACAATTATATATGATTATTAATATAGTAAACATGTAGAAAATTAATATATTTAAAAAGAAATATTATAAATGGAGATTGGATAAGCTACTTACAATATCAAAATATGCATTTATAATAATACAAGTAATAATTTATTTGAAAGATAATTAAAAATAATCAACAAATTACCTTCTAATGGAGGTAAACTGGACGCTAATTCATTGAAATCAGTATGACATAATTTAGATGCAATAAGATCTTGAGCAGGATTTATACCAATAATATCACATTGTAAAAAGAATAGAAGAGCAACACGATTCAAAAGCCTAGCTCCAGCTCTTTGAACATGCTTTTTAAAACTTTCAGACGGCAGTAGAAGTTCAGGTTTGAATGCTGCAACTTGAAATTAAATTTTTTCAAAAAAAAATAACAATAATAAATGGGATAGTTAAATGTTATGGTTATATTGATCATGAATAAAAATAGTATAATGATATTGGATAAAGAAATCACTTAGTAAAATAACAGCCAAACAAGTAATAATTAGTACACAATGAGAAGACTAGATTTTATTCACCTTTGACCTCAATACATATTTTTACTATGAAATAGAGATAACAAAGTTTCTGTCACCTTAACCAATCATACAACCAAAAAGCATAGAATTACATTATTTTAATGAATTGAAGCATCAAAAGAAACAACAAATTATTCAAGTAAAACTTACGTCTAGGAGATATTTGAGTTTCTTCTACTTTGACAAGATTCTCTTCATCAATATCATCTTCATCTTTTTCTGGCATTTCATTCTTTTCAATTGGTTCACATGACTCCAACTGCGTAGTCGGAGTGCATTCAGCCATATTATGTACAAGATCTGTATCGTCCGAAGTTAATTTCACTGTTGCAGTATTTAAAGGATCAGTTGATAAAACATCATCTGGTACAGGACTTCCAGTTGCATTATAATCACTAGGAATGGGAGAGTCTAAACATGGTTTACTCTCAGTCAACAACTCCGAAGATAACATATCATCCTTCTTTTTTACTTTTTGTTCTATAATTGGTGTTTGACCTTCGAAATTTTCAACGTCAATATTAAGTGAAATAGAAGGAGCCATACATTTAATTTTAGCGGTGGCTTCTGAAACAACAGCATTCACCTGGTGAATGTCAAGTTTCCATGTACCAGGACGAGCAAGAGTTTCACAGATAGCACGTGTGCGAACATCTGAATTTGGTGGTAGACACTGCAAAGTGTAATCCAATAAAGCACATGAAAAATAAGCCAACTCAGATGGTAGCATGGTTCGTTTAAAAGTAACAGACGAAATTGCTTGCTCCCACTGACCCCAGGACCACGTGAGTAAACATCGTTCAACACGAAATAGATCAGCTCGATCAAGTGGTTCAATTACATTCGGATTACTTTCCAAGTATCCATCAGGTTCTTTTGAAACAGTAGATTTTTCCTGCTTGGTGGTTGAAGCTGCTGATAATTTCCGTGAGTTACGGGCAGCTCGCCGATTCCGACGGGATCGGATTCGACCTGACGAACATTGAATAACAGTTTCATCACCAGAACTGTTTGAATTAGCATTATCGTCGAAATCAGACATGTTAAAGCTAGCTGGACTTGGAATGTTAGGAGGTTCATTGACCATTATTGACGAATAACGAGTAGTTTGACGGCGCTGACGTGGAGTTTGGACTATCAGATCCTATAAAGAGTTAACACATTAAGTTGAAATTGGTTTCCGAAGAGATATTGAAATAGCAAAACTACAAATTACTTAGTTTTAAAACGCAACTAAATCAAGGAAAGGCAACTTTTATTTTACCCCTATAAAAAGAAACAATGAAACAACGAAATTTACTTTCATAACAAGTGAGGTTTCATCAACTCCAGCTTTTTTAGCCCATTTCTGCCAGAAATTCGGATCGTCCAATGCAATATCACTTCTGTTATCTGACATTGAAAATGTCGCCTGAAGTAAGAAAAATTAATAGACAATGGATATAGAATAGAATTGTATAATTTGATTAGTTTTGAGGAACAAATAAAAAAAAATACTCATTATTTTATTTCGTAGTTATTAAATACGTCATCCATTTCGAGTTAGTAGACATATAAAGGTTTAATATAGTGATGTTTTGAGCCGAAATCATTGTACAAAGGCTAGACAAACTACCGAAATAGATAGATAGAGTTATCAGGATTTATGTCTTAAATTATATCCTAATTGTTGGCAGTTAGTTAAGTGTACAAACTATTAAACTACAGATTCGCGTTTGTATAATGAATAATCAATTCTACAAGGTAAGCATGATAACAGTATACAATACTAAGTAGGTATGATATCATGTTATCAGATTCGTTACATGTTCTTACATGTATTGTTCAGCATTATATATATATATATATATATATATATAAATGCTCCCTTCGAGGAAGCAATTAAAAAAAAAGATTATTCACACATAAAATACACAACAACATTTAGGACTATTTTAACTTAAGCAATATCAAAAATACGGGAAGATGGATTTAATACTACAAGTTTCAAAATAACAATAAAGTTACAAGAGAGAGAGAGCTAGTTCAGCTTAGTCAATAATGAAAATATAAAGAGTGTGTCACGAATCACATCAAACCGTGTAACGAAATAAAATAAAAGAATTTAGAAATGATTATTTCATTGAACCAACTAACCAATGAAAGAAAAAAAATATTAAAGTCAAAAGATTGCATTTACTTTAGAAAATGTAGAATTCTCTTTTCCTTGTTCCAATTGAACAACACGAGCTCGTGATTGAAGTATCTGATCAATATCTTCTTCACAAAAATCTTCACCAGCTTTATCATCATCCATTAATGCTCCGTATGCACCTTTCTTTAAAAGATCTTCAATTTCTTTCTTGGTCATCTGAGCCTAAGTGAAATTAAAAAATCAACAAAAAGGTTACTCAATTTAAACAATTATTTCGGTTTATTGATGGATGGAAATTTAAAGTGAGATTTAAAAGAAAAATTTTTTCTCTAGGGCTAGTAAAGTAGAGCTAAGTTGAATATTAACTCTCTTTTCCAGTTCCGGTACAATGTAGATTAGTGTCAGCCAAGCTTATTGACTAATTATTCATGATTAGTTAATATCACGTTTGATATAGAGAGGAAATGATTTATTTCTGTAAACGTTTTGAACGGCCAAAACTCTTCTACTCATAACTGATTTACTTACGTACGACGCTCTACTTTGCATCTGACTAACTGACTTCTACTCATAATGGTGTAATTCAATCACAATACGTGATTCATAAATAAATAGTTTGAAGTATATACTTGACTTTAAAAGAAAACCTGAATAGCCATGTTCTCTATTTGTGAATTTATTGTCTTTAACCTTTTTTTTATCATCATTTCAATTTGTAATGCTGTTTTAATTAAAAAAAGTGACATCTACCTGCTACAATGAGCATCATTAAAATTGAATCGGAATCAATACACATAGATTTAACAGATATTAATAAGCGTCAATGTGTGTACCTAGAAAGTTACTGTACATTTGACTATTTTAAAAAAAGACAACTATCTAGTATTGACTTAGATTTAATCATTAACAGAAATATACCAGTAACATTACTGAAACAGTTATACAGTACACATACTTGTCTAGCTTCTTTACTGCCCATAGACTGGAGAACAGCTCGATCTAAGCCTAGTTTAAGAGATGCTCGATCGAACATTTCACGTTCATAAGTATTACGAGTAATTAGACGATAAACTTTAACCATTTTTTGTTGACCAATACGATGACAACGAGCTTGAGCTTGAAGATCATTTTGAGGATTCCAATCAGAATCGTAAATAATCACTACATCAGCTGCAGTTAAATTAATTCCCAAACCACCAGCTTTGGTACATAATAAAAAGACAAACTTATCCGGATCTAAAGTTTAAGAAAAAGAAGTACATAAATGAAATAAAGAAAGTGTCATTAACAAACAATACATTGCCGATAAAAGGCATAATGAATAAATAAAATTGTAATATAACGCAACTCATACAAATGACGAACTGAGTAAAAGTAAAGAGGAGATGATCAACCTAGTGATAAACTGTCCACAATGTTAAATCAACACAATATTTTATACGATTGTGATGTTCTGTGAACATAATTCCGAAAATATTTTAGTCAGAATAAAACCTCTTCATTTTTCTGAGTAAAGGGGTCATGGGATTGCAGAATTGTATTGAAATTATAAACCGATCTGAATTATACGAACATTGAAAACCTGCAAGCTGTGGACAGCCGTTTACTACCCGCATGGGAATCATCAAAAGTTGATATCCATCAACCTATTCTCTGGAAGAGAACCTAGGACCTTTTGATATTGCGAGCAGACGTCTAACATCTAAACAATTGTACATTTCACTCACTTAATGATAAATAGATTATACATCATATACATGTGAGTGTTAGTTTCAAAAACTTTAATCCTTCTTCATACATTTAAGTGTATGTACTCACAAACTGAAAATAAGATTCTATTTCATGATAACTGTAGTATAAATGAATGGTTGTTTAACATTTATTTTAAGGTATACAATATGAATAAATGGGCTGATGAAGCTAGAAAAAGTATATAATATATGACAGGTTAACTTGTTATTTGTAATTATTTGAAACGTTCTTGAGACTTATATTACTTCAAACTGTTTATTTTACGGGCGGTTCGCAGTAAACGCAAAATCGACAATTGGTATTCAAGCAAATAACATTCAGGCTTATAGACTTGTTTGGTACATCTTTTAATGACAAATGTTGTCTCATCTGTATGGTCGAATGTTATCTACATGTCAAGAAATATTATTATCACAGCAATATAACTGATACGTTTGTTTGTACATTAAAACTTGCTGAATAGCCAACATTTTTGCGATATAAAAATAATTTAGACAATTATTAGCTTAATTTTAAACAAAATAAAATAAGCAATATACAGTGCAAAATTATCATCAACAATTCATTCATACAAAGGATGGTATTATTTTTTTACATAGATTCAATTATTTTTTAAATCGAAAGCAAATGATTTTTAATCTTTTAAGGTGAATCTATACACACAAACAACCAGCACTAACTTTATTTAAGTTAGTGTTTTAAAGGTAACAAGTAAAATTCAAAAAAAAATTGAATCACGAAACTGTTTGCTTATTTCGCTTACAACATAAATTGTCATTATCATGATTATTATTATTACTATTATTATTAGTCTTAGTATTAACTGAACAAGATGATGATTAGTGGAATTGGTGTATTCGTAAAATGTAATAAACAAAACACGTTTCTATTTCTATCAGTATTAAATGTCATCAAATAATTTATCAGATCATTAAGTGTGATTATTCTTATTATTAACTAGTATTGGCTAATAATATTGATAAAAAAAATTTTAAGACAAGTATTTCACATACTGATAATTCTTTTCTCGACAAAAAATAAAAAATAAAAATGGATCAGTTGATATGTAGTTCGTTGTTTCTCATGTAGAGAGAGATAATGTTTTTCATGATCACAGAATTACTTGTTGTTATGTACAGGCGAACGTGTGTGTGTCTGTGTGTGTGCGTATGTGTACATGTGTCTGTGTTACAGACCAAATATAGTTTAGTAAAATAGGGCGAAAACAGAAGACTAGTGAAAGATATACGTGTTACATAGTTTAATAGAGAAGAAGAAAAAATTGAACATTCTACAATACTAATCAGATAGTTTCGTTTCGAAAAAAAAAGAAAATTATTGGAGTAGAAAGGAGACACTTTTGTCCTTCTTTCATTCCATTGATACAATATATATATATATATATATATATATATATATATATATATATATATATATATATATATATAGGAGGGAAAGAAAGGAGAATTACGATTGTGAAAAATGATTCAACTCTTAAATATGCTAATATAGTTTATATAATATAGAGAAGAATGTTATTTAGTCTATATAAGATAGTGAACACAATCATTTGGTTGAAAACAAAAGCAAAACAAAACTTTTCAATTATCAGCTTCCTTTAATCAATTTTATATCAAGAAAGCAGAAGTTTAACGAGATGATAAATTTTTGTCAAGCAGAAGATATTGTGTATATGCGTAGAAAAAACAAATCTACAATACGTAGTATTTTTTTTTCTTCTAATGTTGTTACATGATATTCAAGTGAAATTATGATGATAAAAGTTAGAAAATAAAAAATTGATTTATGAAATTAATTATGAATACAGCTTATAATCGATAATATTCATTGATTAGTTTATCTGATTTTCCTGCTTTGCAGTTCTATAAATTAAACGAAATGACATCATGAAAAAAGGATGAACACACACACCTCTTCGAAAGAGGAGAGTTTAGCATTAGCTAAAACAAAAAGAAAACTAGTTAGTATCGTCACAATTATTAATCGTATGCATTTTTCTATTCGCTTGAAAAATCCAACAGACTTCTCTTCTTTTTCATAAACAACGTTGACGGATATCTTAAAATTTCTTTGATTCATGATTATAAAATCGGGGGTTATTTACGCTAATGGTTTGTGAGGTTTCTGTTAATAATGTTTGCAGTAAAGATAATATCAAACATTACGTAAAATATGACGATTATTCACCTTAAATTGACATAAATTATTCATTATGAAAATATCTTTACTCACCAACACTGAATCTGTCTATCGCTTCTTGTCGTAATGGTCCATGAATGCGTCCATCTATTCGTTCGAATTGAAATCTAAACACAGTAGACAATAATTGTATATAATTTACAAGTAGATGGGATAAACAAAAATAAAACTAACACAGTATAAAAAAATTAATGATTGTGCATGATGATACAGATATTTCGAAAATGATGACACGAGGAATGTTTTACTCAAATGAATAAACTAATATTACGTAAAAGAAAAACACAATTTCATGTCAAATAACTTGATGTTAGCAGAAACATCGAAAAAAGTGACAACTTACCCTTGGTGAACAAGATAGTCCTCAAGAATGTCGAGTACACGGATCATTTGAGAAAATATAAGGACTTTGTGACCGTCAGCACGCAATTTGGGCAACAATTTATGGATTAACACAAGCTTTCCTGAAGCATAGACCATCGTGCGAAAGGTTAGATCATCTTCACTCAAAGTACTATCGTTTGCCTTAATCAATAATTAAGAAAATTAACAATTTTCTTGACCAAAAAATATCAAAAAATGTATATTTATTTAAATTATATGAGCGACATGACAGAAATACACGAGCACAATGATGAATATGTCATCAATTATGTAGTCTTTAGTAAAACTCGTATTTTATACTTACTATGGACTAAAAGAACAGAAATCGGCGAAGAGATCTCATCCGAACGAATTTATTACCTATCTGTACGACCGTTGTTTATTGACAAGCATTACTGTACTATTATAATTTATAAAACAGAACCTACGGATAATATTTTCTAGTATAATACGTTTACTTACTTTTCAAATTTGTGCATGAAATTAAAACCTACATATATGGACATATGATAGTAAATTTGTTTTAAAGAGATTTCCATTTTCCTGACATTTATGTTTTTAATAATATAAATTAACCAGATATTCTTTTTATGATTCAATATTTACATAATGTACTATTTCAATCCTACTTATATCACTTACATTGAAACTTTATGAATGAAAAGCATACGTCGGTATGATTCAATTAAACATGCTTTTATAGGCACTTTTGTTATAGGTTCCTGATTAGTGGAACGATTTTCCTACTTACATGCACATGCACTTAAATGGCAAGAGATGGGAAAAAAAGTTTCGAAATTTATTAAATGAAGATTTTTTTATTATGCAGAGATTACGACTTTTAGTTTTACAGATTACTTCACAAGGTGTTTTAATGACAGAACTTTTAAAAATTGCGCTTTCAACCAGTAGGACTTTTACAAAACCTAATGTAGAAACAGCCTTTACTTTATTCTGTAACATATAAAAGTTCGAACATATAGACTTCATGTTCACCATTTGGCTTGATTTAAAAATCCAGTTTAACACGTTTACAAGTAAGTAAAACTACAACAGATTTAGTCACCCATGATATTCAGTTTACAAAAGGCTTTTTCTTTAGATCATGATTATTCAATGATGATGATATTACTAGTTCTGTCCTATTATGTATGCTTATATATATGGGTATAATTTGAAATGAGAAGTGGCATAAACTTTAATGTGTCAATTGTCAAGCAATAACAAAGCATTGAAGAGTTAATTAATACCTGAAATTCTGAGAGTATAGCATCTTCAGCGCCTTTGATTAGAAATGGATGATTACAACATTTTCGCAACTCCATCATTATATTCATTAGATTAGGTGCATTTGTACTTGAACCTTTGCATAGAAATGAAAAATTACGTTCCATAATTGCTCGATAATATTTTTTTTGTATATTAGTTAATTCCACCTATTGAAAAGAAAAAAGGCATTTGGATCAGAGATAAAATAGAAATGAAATTCATTAGTTTTATGTATATCATTTAAATAGTTTACAAAATTACCTCAACGACAGTTTCTTCTTTCGGTGCTAAACTCTTTTCAACATCTTCTTTTAACCGACGTAACATCATTGGTTTTAGCACTGTTTTTAAACGTTCAACTTGTTCTTCCGTTTTCAATTCACCATATTCAGCAACAAAAGTGGCTGAACAATTAAATTTCTCAGGTTCCAGAAAATTCAATAGACCAAACAATTCTTCTACATTATTTTGCAACGGAGTTCCAGTAAGTAGAACACGATGATCCTAAAATTTATATGTTGAAAAAAAAGAAAAGACTCTTAACTCAGTAACCACATAGATTTCAGGCGACATTTATTTTTATTTAGACTGAAGTAGGTGAACTATCGGACAGTTAGCTACACGAGGAAATTTTACTCAGAAAAACGGTTAGGATTAGCGCTTAGGTTGAGGATGTACAGTTTAGAGTTTGAATTTAGGTTGAGGTTTGTGACTAAGATGTAGAGCTTAGGGTTTGGTTAAGATTAAGGCTTAGGGTTAGAGAGACCTAATGATTAACCGAAATCCTAAGCTTTAGATACTTTTAGATAAGTAATGAAGAAATACTACAAATACGATTATAACACAACATTTCTTTCACCAATTTGATGAATACTTTTTATAATAATTAATAAATCGATGCTTGGATTTCAATTTAAATCTAACCATTATCATCGTCATCATTACAGAAATAATATAAGTGAAAAGTGTGTCCGAGTACGGCGAAAAATCGTACATCAATGACAAAATTAGATAACGTTAGACTACTAAAGTGGTTTATGCTACACGTCCCCTCCTAAATCCCAGTAAAAGCGACTTATGATTAGTATTACACAAGTTATACACTAAGTGTATTCTATTTGCACAAGTAACAAACACTACTAAAACAACAAACATATACAACTTACCAGATCTAAATATCTCAAACCTTCGCCAAGTTTGCATTTTTTATTTTTTAATCGATGCGCCTCATCTATCACAGCAGCTGCCCAATGAATTTGACCGAAAAATTCAATATCATTCATGAGAACTTCAAAAGTTGTAACTACCACATGAAATTTATAAATATCATGTCTAGGAGCACCTGATGTACGTTTACGATAAAACATTTCATATTCTTGAATCATACTTCGACTGACAGAACTTCCATGATAAATAATCACGTTAAAATCTGACCAATTTTCAAATTCTCGTTGCCAATTGCCAACAGTAGATAAAGGAACTATAATTAGAAATGGACCTTGTACATTAGCTTTAAATATTTCTAGCAGAAATGTTACACTTTGTACTGTTTTGCCTAAACCCATCTCATCGGCAAGAATACAATTACGATGATGATACCAACAGAATGTAAGCCAATTAACTCCTTCAATTTGATAATCACGTAGTTTATTGTTGTTTTTATAAATTGTATGAGAATCAATTGGTTTCCAAGTAGAAGGATCAGGTCGAATAATCTACAAGAAGAAAATAAAATAATTCACCACTAGAAATAGAATTCATTGAAATCTGATTACAGTAAAACAGCAAACATAATACGAACCTTTTATTATCTAAGTTGATGCAAATGAATGATCTTAGTACTCCTAATTTGACTTCATTCAATAAATTTACTACAACTTAATTCTTTGTAGGAGATTCAACATTTGATACTTGTATCGATCCTAATGTTGTTCATGCATAACAATGAAGTCTTATACTAAAACAGAAAAGATTATGATAACGAGTATCGATCGCTCGATGACTACTACAAATAAACCAAAAGTATCACAAAAAGCTTAATCAATTCATTTACATAATATGAAATTAATGTAGTTATATTGCAATGTATATTTGTCTTATAAGAGATTATTCATTCTCTAACACATTAAAAACAGTCTAAAGAATTGATAAAGTTGAAGTGATTGATTAGTTTCACTGATCATCATGATCAATATTTTACTCCAAAGAAGCAGTATATGGTCAAGAAACATTGACTTCGATAACAAGAGAAAAATAATGGTTTAATCAAAATAAGAGAGGGTTAGAATAAAGCCTTGTATATCCATGAATGAGTTCCGTATAGGTCGCACAATGCGGAAATCATCACAAGGCAAATCTCAACTTGGAATCCTCAAGGCCAAAGGAAAATAGGAAGGCTGGAGACCACAACACTGTGCCGGAAATTGGAGGCAGATATCAAAAGAACGAGTAGGGCTTGGCAACAACTGAAAAGGATAGCTCAGGACAGAGTTTAGAAGTTGCTGGTCGGCAGCTTACGCTCCACGATGAGTAATAAGCCTAAGTATCCATTAGTTTGACTTTTTTAAGAAAGAAAGAAAGAACAACCTATAATAGGAGCTAGTTTTGGTAATTTTCATGGTGCAAATATCAAGGAAAACAGGTACAAAATTTGCCTAAAAATAAGTTGTGTAAATAAGATATCAAAACCATCTTTTGCTATATGTATGGAGTGCATGGACAAAAATAGTTATATTGAATAGTATACTTATATAAACCACTTTGAAAATGACTGACATATATCATAAGAAAGAGGATAAGGAAAATTGTAAAAACACACAACTATACTAAACAGTACAGCATTCTTGATAAGCAATATTAATTAGACAACTTGAACTACATAGGTAACACTAAAACATAAGCAAATAAATAGTAATAGTACCTTGTAATTATTATCCCGGGGAATAAAAGGATTCTTTGGTGGATAACGACGTTTGTAGAATTCCTTAACTTTTGCCGGGTCAACATCTTGCGATAATTCCCATGTAGCATCTTCATAAGCTAATGAACGCCACTTAACTAGGTAGTAAGTTACATTGATCGGTGAACAGTTGCCATCATCATCTTTATCATCTGTTTCATATTTTTCAATTTTATCCGTTAGTAAAGTTGCTTCCAATTGTATGTTTTCTAATTCAGATTGCTTAGCTTCTGCTGATATATTTCCATCACTTGCATCAACAAGCCTATCTTTCTCCTCAGTATGAGATGACATTAGATCAACAGGACTAGGACAAGTGGTATCTGTAGACTTTATATCTAATTCAACAAGTGTAGTTTGAGAAATATGTGAAGATGTATCACCTGCATTGGAACCACTAGGAGGGGGGCAGGTTGGATTATTATCAGGTTCAAGGAGATCTTCAGTAAGTGGTGTTGTTGAACGATTTTCCGACACAGATTCTGAATTGTTCATTGCTAATATGACAGTCGACTCCTCAGATGGAGCTTCACTTTTTATTTTGCATTTCGTCTCATGAACATTCCGGACTTTATTGCGCTCTTTGTGTCGCCTAATATACTTTTTTAGATCCATTGGATCACCACTGAAGCTTTCTCTGCCAGACTCACGTTCTAATTTCTCTGTAGGTATTAGTTGACCATTGCTATACACTTTAACGTCCAGTACGCGTTCAACTTCCACATAATCTGGGTTAAACAATACGACATCGTCATCCTAAAAGTTATAAACAAAATAAATTAAGATGAATAATAGTACAAATAAAACAATTGAAAAAGCAAAAAGATTTGAAGAATGTGTGAATGAGCATCATTTAACATTATGACTGTGTTGTCAGTTATCTTTTCGTTTACTTGTCTAATAAAGATTCAATCGACAATAAACCGGAAGTATAATTTATACTATCACTGAAATGAACAGCCTAATAAGTGCACTTTTAGTACAAATAAGAATTATGGTGTTGGCTTCGAGATACACTTAACAGGAAGGATTCAAATTTGCAAACTAAGGAAGTATTTTAATCAATTAGCCACTAGTACAACCGAGAAGTCCAAAACGATTACCAAGAGTTAAAGAACAACAAAACCCGACACAGTAAATCTAGTCGGTTCATAATACAGTGGAAATAGTCTCCAAACAACCTTTACAATACTCAGTCAATTTCCAAATATTATCAAAATAATTTGCTGACCGTGAAAGTATCTGATAACTTGTTAAGCAATCCGGAGATTACCAAAGGTAAAATAACATCAGCAAATCAGTATTTGATCAGTAATGTTTTTACTACAGCTTAATATAAAGGTTCAGATAAGAAAAACAGGTTGATATGAGTAGGCGGAAGCTCAACAACTAAAACAGAAGACACATAACTTATTGTAGAAAGATTGACAGGAAACACATTTTTAAAAAAAGCAGAGATTAGAGTGGAGTTTCATCAACGTTTGTAGGTTGTGACTAACTTTATCAAGATACCTTCTCAAACTACTACCGGTTTAAAGCTCGGATAAAGAAGAGTTGGCATGGAGTTAGCAGCTCAATGCTGTCGAAAATAAACTTGTTAAAAGACGCTAACAAGATAACTTCATTGAAACAATTTAAACTCTGCCCTGGCAGTTGGAAGATCTTCATTCAACAGACTTATGACGTCTCACAGTGAAGGTCGAGCAACTTCGGAAGTCACAAGGTTGATGCTTCTTCTGAAAATCAGGGCAACAATTAATACAGGTACATGGAATGTTCGCACAACATGGGAGACTGGGAAGACTAATCAAGTTGCCGTGGGGAATGAAAAGATACAACTTGGAGGTACTTAGAATCAGGGAAACACATTGAACGCAGGCTGGAAAAAAAAAGTTAGCTTCTTGAGAGATGTTGTTGTATACCGGCTCTGAAAAAAGATAGTGCCTCACACACACAAGCAGTTGCAGTGATGATATGGGAATTTCATAGAGCCAGGATCATCAGAGCAACCTTCAAGACAAAGAAAGAGGAAATTACAATGGATGCTATGCGCCCACCAACGATAACAATGAAGAAGATAGAGATTAATTCTATAAGGGAGTGCAGTTAATCGTACAGAAATGCCCAGCAAAAGATCCGATCATTCTGATGGGAGACCTGAATGCAAAGGAATCGAATGGACAACACCGGATTCGGAGACAACATAGGACGACATGGACTGAAAGAAAGAAACGAAAATGATAAGAGATTCGCTCATCTACGTACCTTCAACAAAATGGTGATAGGTGGCACCGTATTCCCACACAAACGCATACTCAAAGCTACATGGGCTTCACAGAATCACACTACACAGAACTAAATCGATCACATCTGCATCAGTAAAAGGTTCAGAAGAACCATGGAAGACGAGAGAACGAAGAGAGCAGCTGATATAGCTTTAGACCACCTGGTGGTAGTCAAGATAAAACTGAAGGTAAGGAAGCACTTAACAACTGGAGAGTTAGCATAACTAATTTTAAATACAAACATCTAGACAGTTTTGTTGTATGGAATGGAAACTCGGGGAACTACCAAAACCATAATTCGAAACATACAGGTATTTGTAAACGGATCCATTTGCCAGATACCATGGGCAACAACCTACTGTAGCAGAGAACAAACTTGGAGTGATCAAGACCAAAAGAAAAGAGGTGGACCAAAGAAAACAATGCGTCAAGAATTGAGGACAGACATAAAAAGAATGAATAAGACTTGGCAACAACTGGAAAAGAGAGCCCAGGACAGAACTGGTTGGGGAAATTCGGTCGGACGCGTAAGTAAAAAGTGAGCTTGTGACCGATGGCGTATACTGTGTGTAGTACAATAAACGTTTAGCTTATCATAAAAATAAGAGTATGACGTAATATTTGTTCTATATGTACTTATCTCATTTTGGTTAATTGATGAACGGATGAATTAAGACATGGGATTTTACAATGTTCAGTTTATTACATGTTTACTGAACTAGATGCGTAAGTTGTAACTAAAGTACAGTATTTTTCGTTAATAATTTGATGATTGAATAGACTAGACTCGAGCAACAGATACTGCATTCGATTATCAGTAAAAAGCATAATAATTAGGGTACGCGTAAAGCTCGTTAGTGGGTTTGAATCAGGAAGGAAAACACAGTATGGACCTTACTGCTGACTGCCAGCGTTATAAAAACCATCCTAGTGATGCTGATGAAATATAACATGTGCACAGACTAAATGAACAACTAGTCAATAAATACATTATGCTTAACTGTACAATTAAAACACAAAATTCTGTTTAAGTATTTGAATATAGACTTACATCAGTGCGTAGTGAATTGGCCTGTTTCATTTCAAATCGTCTTATTTTTGGAAGGATACGTGGATCAGTAATTTCGTCTAAAGCTCGCCACTCACAATGGAGGTACGAACTATGAAAAGATTTTAAAAGTTCACATCAAATATATAATAATTTACTGATTAACAGATCATAATTTATTAAAGCGAAAGAATTGAATAGTTTGTTAACAGTTGAGAAATAAGAACACTGTACAATAAGAAGATGTATATCATGTGCTGATAACCTGGACCTAAGCTATAGGCCGTTTACGTGGAAGTTGTAACAAACTATTAGCACAATCTGTTCATTTGCATTACCTAATTAAAGTAACATTTAAATGGGTTTCAATATGGGTTAATTTACGAACTTACAGGTTGGTGTCAACTAGTAGAATTCATTTTGAGTGTTTAGGATTCGATAAGACTACTCTTTTATTTCATGTGAAATTATTCAGGGTGCAGTGAAAACTGCTAACAGATAAAATGAATTTATCGTAAAAATAATGTGACTTTTAACAATAACGTTCTATCACGCAGAGAATCGGCCAGTTTCAATTCAGATTCATTGCAGAAAAATATGATCACTAATTTAAACTCACAAAAACTGTCTTTATCTGTGTATTTATTGCAACAAAAATGAATGTGCAGATCATATGAAATGGAGAAGTCATAAAATGAGAACTAAAAGATTAGTAAATGGTAAAGTGGCAATTAATAGAAAACTTACTAGGATTTATATTTTAAATAAAATTCTTCAACTTCTTCTTCTTCCTCTTCTTCTGTAACTGTGATTTGAGACTTTTCCCCTGAAGTATTGATTGAATTTTGCATGTCAACCTTACTGCTTTGGTTAACATCGTCGCTAGATCTTATCTCAGTCTGAGTAATTTTTTTGATCAATCTCTTGGTAGTTCGTCGACCAAGTACGGACTCAACAATCTTTGTATCTACATCCTCGGTAATATCCTAACACAATGGAATAAAGAAAATAGTATAACATCTGGCAGAAACTGAGATAAACTCAGGAATTTCGGGAAACTTAAATAAGTGACTTCAAGTTTCATCACGTTTATAAATTATTGAATACAAGAAAGTAAAATAACACTAACCGATTAACAGTCATACAACTAGCTAGGTCAATTAGTTTTCTGATAAATTAAACTCAGCAATAGTGAGTACATCGCTCCAGTATTTTTGAATCTTTATTCTAGGTTAATTAATACAACATAAAATTATTAGCTTTATTGTCCTAAGACCCAGAAATTAGTATCTATTATAATCATAGCTATTAGGCTAATTTGACAGCAAAACTACTTCTTGAAAATAACATGAATGTGCTGGTTTTCTCATTTTCAACAAGATTTTGTAACAGAGACGCTTACAAATAAAAGTTGCATTTCACTTTGTTGTTTTAGTGGTTATGTATTAAATTTCACCTTAACGAAAAATAACTTATTTAAAAGCAATGAGCTGAAAGTTTTATAATTATGGGGACATGTGTTTTAGTATACTGCCACTATAATTAGAAACATGAATCCATTAAGAGGAGTTTTTATAAATATCTAATATATTATCTTTTCATATTTTCCTAATTTTAGCATTGGTAATTTCTACCAGCTGTACTGTTATGAACTATGGAGAATTTAGACTCATGTTAATTTATGTGCCACAATTTGCGGTATTCTCATGATAATAAACTATTTTTCTTAGATGGAAGAATTGTGAAGTAGATACGAGAAATTTGATTAGGATTTGATAATTTACACTAGATTTTGTTATCCAAATACATTCGTTTTCCTACAAAAAATGATTACGTTCTTCATAAACTCCTAATTTCGACACAAGTATGACATCATTTACAAGTATTCAATTTTCCCTTTAATTTGCATTTTATCTATAAATTCTTTTTAGTACATGGATAAGAGAGATGTTCAACTATTTAATCATAATAAATGAAGTTAGTAATTTAGAAATGTATTGAAATGGCATGTAAATATGCTAGTGTTTAACTGAGTTCAACTAAGGATTTGATTTTTAAAAAATATGAATAATTAACATTATAATTCTCTTTGCAACATTGCTTACGGCAGAGTCATTAAGCGTGATCATTTCACCATCCTGGCCATCAATTTCATCATCACTAAGGTTAAGCTGTAAATCGTCAGTATAACTTTTACGGTCGCCAGTATTTCGTTCTGAACGACGTTTCTATAATGATAACAAATTAAGGTAAAAAAAACGGTGAAGTGTAATCAATACAGTTTATGCATAAAAGCACTTTAACTAGAAATGTGATAACTGATATTTTTACAGGAAGAGAATAATAGTTCTGATAATAACATAATTTAGTTTGAAGGATTCTTAGGTAATGATATGAGTATGAATGCACTAACCATTTCCTGGGCTCATTTATTAGGTGCTTAGGTATGGGCTACCGAAACCAATGAAGACGGACACGGTTCGAACCAAGGACTAAATGACCAGAAAGCGAACAACCTAACCACTAGGCCACAAGCTCTACAAATGCATCAACCTATATAGCACTGACTTTGTAAAAGAGGCTCCATATTTTTATTTGACACCGAATAGGTAATGTTGGTAAAAATGTCGAAACTCGACAATGTAATACTGTACAACGAAATGACAGTTTTTTTAATTTGATGCTTTATAAGGTAACATAGTATCATTTGCTGAATTACATTTTTGAAATAATTTATCACTTATTGTAATAATTCTCTGTCTTATTACAACCCAGCTATTCCTAATGCCTAGTATTCTCAGACACCACTCGTGACGTTCTCCCAAAGCAGAGCACGGTCGAACAGGAAACAGATTACATTCCACTAACAAGGTTAGCAGGAAGTCAGAAGGTACAAAGGAAAAAGATGTTAGTATATTGACAATTTTCTTACATGAGAAGATTCGAGAATGTTCTCTCAGTCTCGGCCAGCGCTGATTGGATACGAAAGAACCAGTCAGCGCGCAACAACGCAATCATGCTTTAATTCAATCTGTGTCTCACAAACACCTCCCCTTTAGCAGATTCGTAGGATCTGGTGCTAGGGCCCAACTGCATCCTGAGTGCCTTGCGTCGAATACTCTTACGAGCTGTCTGCTTGGTTCTTGCCATTGCGAAACAACATAATCAATTATCTTATTGGGAACACTGTTATGCCATTTAACGACAATAAGGTCAAATAAGACAATGGGAATTAGATTATTAGATGAGAACGTAGCCACGAAACAATTAAGAGGACTCAGGATGACAGAAAGCCTGGTCTATGACTCGTTTGTTTACCACAAAAAACCAAGTAAATGGATATAGGTTCAGAATGGCAAGGGATGAAATAGTGGTAATAAGAATAAGTATATAACCTCAGTTATATACTGCTAGACGCTATAGCAACAATGAACATTAATGAGTTGTTAAGTGATATACCAACCACTTAAGCTTGCCGTTTCGTGATTTAATCAGCTTAGAGGGGAAACTGGAGGACAAGCTAAATGCTGATCTAGACATACCCTTAAATGTAGACTAACGTAATGAATAAAATCTGCACACTTTGCCCAGAAAACAAAGTATAATCATGCTGTGTCGTGATGTACGGCCAGCGATCGAACTAGAATGGTGTTTCGATACATTAGACTACATATGTTATTTCACTACAGCTGTATTGTTTTACACCTATATCAGAGTAAAGTAAGAAGCTGTGTTGATTATTTTATATTTGAAATTTTAAAGCACCTTGTAAAAGAAGTGAAAAAGAGAAGTACTTTAGTAGGCATTTGAAAAATCTTCCAATCGAGTTGTTGATTTCTTCACAAAAATAGAAAAACTTGCTGGATATCGTTAGACTGAATCGAACAAACTTGTTTAAGCCTGTCTGTAATTAGGAAAACTTTAAACCTGTAAAGCTGTTATTATTGATTACGATAACATTTGTTAAGTTTGCCACTTACGGTTTTGTATGAGTAAAAATCACCGGAAATCAATATCAGAACTTACATTTCTCGGGTTATTGATACCCTCGGATTCTACTCGAACTTCAGAAGTACGACTTCCCAAGCGACCAGATACATCCGGTTCGGATCCTGAGTCATCTCCATAAAACGCCGAGCGTTTTTTCCGTTTAATCAACGTAGGTAACGGTCTAAAATAGAGTTTTTTTATGTAAATCACTAAGCAATGCAAAGAATGTGAAAACGCTACTATATGCATCATTTACTAATTAGCATCACTATATTGAATAATATTTTTGTTGACGAATAAGCAGAATTTAAGCAGTGAGGGAAAAGAAGAATCTCCTGTAGACGATCGGCTTAAGGAATAAAATTCAAATATCTACTAGTGACTCAGTGGGTTTTACAAATGACAAGCACCTGTATTCTTCGTTTGATTGTAAATGGTAAGAAGTGGATGAAATTTATTATTATTCTTGTTATTAATAAACATTGTGAAAGCATGACACATGTTAGTCAGTTAGATTGTTGAAAATGAGGAATGTTCTGGTTGCAACAAAGCTTCTAAGTTTTGATGAGACTAGGCAAAGAAAATATGCAAACTGTATAAAATATAGTTTCTATTTTACTTAAAATTATTAGTCTACGTGAGATACAGTCCAAAATGAGGGGTATATTCGTTGAAAGGAACTCATTGTTTGACGATGAATTTAGTTCCACGACATATGACTTAATGGAACTGAGTATTCAAAAAGTGAACAAGTATTATCATCAAAACTAAATAGTACGGTACCAATAACAAAATAAACAATATTTTGAAGACCGATAAGAAAAAGAATGGTTTAAAGACCATCTAAACAGTCTTGGTAACAGTTTCGAAATATTTGGGATGGTTAGATTCGAGTAAAAGTGGAGAAATGTAACACTATTTCTTGGTTTTACTTGAACAAGCAAAGCACCATTGTGTTGAATATAAAATAGGTAGTGGTGATAGTGTCAGTCATAGTAGGAAAAGTTAGGGAAACAATAGGATTAGAGAAGATTGATCAGTAAAAAAAGCACATTTTAAAACTCAGGATACAAAGGAAAACAGGGTGAATGCATTTGTGGTATTAAGACTGATTTGAAAACACGACAACCAGCATCTGTAACCATTCTGTAAAACTCATCTTTCACCTGATCTGAACTGCAGTCAGCGGGGGCGTAGGCAGATACGATGAGTCCTTACTGTTCCGTTTAGTCGGACAGCGCACAAGCGACTATCAACTGGGATTCAGTCTAACAGAGCTAGTTCTGCCCAAGGACTCAATGCTATACCTACACCAGCGAGACCCCGGGAAGCAGCATCAGGGCTTCCAGATACACGGGGCGTAAACCAAGTTGGTTCTTTATCTAAACAAAGTGAAATCAAATTGATGATTCTACTATGATCCTATATACGCGTTTCAGAGACGCAGCATACATCGATGTCGATTGAGCGAGGTTCTAATGTCCTAGCTAACGAAGCCTGCTGCCCTATTTGACATAATGTCCGTACATTAAATGCTCCAACATGCAGTCTAGAGCGGGGTTTCAGGAGACCAGAAATGACGTTTCTTGAACTCGCTTCGTTTGCATTAGCTGAGCAGTGTGATAAAGGAATATGAGAAGAGTTAGTCGTGGAGATAAGAGAGGACTAGAGGGTGTAGGAAGGATTTGATTTCGACCAGATTGGTCTCTCGTGCTGTTATGGGTATGAGGGCGGTTGTCACTTCCCGGCTGCCCACACCGTGGAAGGTTGTTTCTTGAGGAACCTGAGAAAGAAGGTAGAATAGTGTTGGTCTTAGAGACCTGGATGCGTGACCGCAGAGCCCAGGGGACAACTGCTTGAGGCCGGTCACGCACGGCCTTCTTATGAAGGGTTATTTGAGTATTAGCTGCGCTCTTAAAATCCCTTAGTGGGCACCCTTACCGCCGGAGACGGAAATCCGTGAGGTAGGGTGAGGTATGACATTTTTAGGGTCTCTAACCATTAAAAGCTCCAATATGTAGTTCAGAACGGTGTTTCAGGAGACCGGGAATAACATTTCCTGTACTCGAACCGTTCGTATTAGCGGTCCCAGGTGGTAAAGGGATGTGAAAAGAGTTATTCTTGGAGATAAAGGATATGTTAGGGGATGTGAGAAAACCTTGATTGCGACCAACTTAGGTATGAGGGCGGATGTCGATTCCCAGCTGCCCACACCGTGGAAGGGTGTTCCTTGAGGAACCTGAAAGAGAAATTGGATTATTGTTGATCTTAGAGACCTGAGAGCGTGGCTGCAGAGCCCAAGGGACGATTCTTTGAAGCCGGTCACGCACGGCCTTTGTACAAGACGTTTTTGTAGTGTTAGCTCCGCCCTTGAAGTGGCCTTACCGCTGGAGACGGAAATCAGTGCGCCAATGTGAGGTGTGACAATTTTAGGACCGAACGTTCTAACCCCTTCTTTCCCTGAGAGAAGGCGGTAGCGCTGCAGATGCTGGTTGTCCGATGGAAATACCTTACTGCTGTCACACCCCTCTACAGTTAGAAGCAAGGCCCCCAGACCTTAAGTTGCTGCATTTAGTCTTATCGTTCTCCAACCGACCTGCCTTGCATGGTAGAACCTACAGGATCATATGTTTCAGCCAATATAGCTCAGTTGAGTCATCACTCTAGGCAAGCCTGACCACCGCGTCAGGGTAGCAGCTACGGTCGGGACAATGCTTTGAAGACACTTATGATCAAATACGAATATTCTTAATATTTAAAGACCATATTTTACAACCAAAAGAGATCGAACTACTGTGTAGCAGAGTAACCCTTAAATTAGGAGTTGGATATCTCCAATGCCACAATTTCGTAAAGATAGAGTAAGCTTTCTGAAATCTCGTCCGACATCAAACCACTAGAGGTAGTGAGATCACCAGGATAAATGAAGTGGTCAGAGCACCCAGCTACTTAACTCCCTAGCATTATTTCAAGCATTGCCGAAGATCAGTCTTGAGACGTTCTATATTTAGATGGATAGAGGCGAACCAAGAACATGGTTGGATTGTTGCTGAAGGCGGTCACAAAACCGCATTTTTTTACTGTCTTTATGGAACAGGACTGTAACAGCTGGATATCCTAAAGCAAAAAGTAAATCAACTGGTTGGAAATCGACCCCCTAAAGTCAAACAATGAGAGTATTATCTCAAAAACGATGTCTATGGATTTATATAGGAATGGAGAAGGTGGACAACCATTACTAAAGTTGATGTAGTTCTTTGGTATGCCTTTCAATAACAGACAATGTGATAGAACGAAATCAAATGCAAACTTACGAAACATTACTATAAATAAAAATGGGAAGAAGAGGACTAGCACTTAAATGAGGACATTTTCATTACTTATCTTTGGGTACGGATAGTAGGGTAACAAAGTACCGATAAAAAAGCGACATTATGGATGCGATTCAACAAAAACAGTTAAGCTCGAGGGATTGTAACACAACATGGCCTTTAGCATTATGTTAAATTGACTATAAGATACACAAATAATAATAACCAAATGCGTGGTTTAAGATGACTTTAAAAACCTACAGACAATATCTAGGATAAGCTTGCACTTGTCTCAAGTGGTTTTACGCTATGCTAGTGAAGCACCTACACAGTAACTTCCTGAGTAACATGATAGACGTGAAGCATTTGTGAAGAGCCTTCACAGACCTAATCTCATGTTTGTACTTTATACAATGGTAAGATTAATAGAAAGGCGAAATATGACAGTTCCATATGAGAAATATGTTGCAAATTTTTGAAAAATGAGACCATTACACGTACCTTCTTTTTTTTGGACGAGGTCGAGCTCGAACAACTCTAACCTGTTTTGTTATTGTTTCAGATAATTGTGTGGAATTATTAGGTGAAGTTGTTTCTGGAGATTGTGAAATATTAGAAGAATTGTTCGTTAACTCAGACATGGATTTAAGTGACTTTCTGTACTTCCGTTTCTTTCGGACTTCAACCGGACGAACAGAAGCCCGACGCTTTCTGCTTTCTGAAGGAGATTCGTTACCTCCACTGTCGATATTCTCATCGATACTTTCGATGGCAAAAGGATCTGGGACGAAGTTGTTGGCACCATCAGCAGATGTTTTACATTTTTTCGGTGCGCGACCACGAGGACGTTTTGTTAGTGGGGCTATAAAAACAGGTCTGTCAGGTGTATTGTCAGATTGAGCTTCATTTGTCGGAGTACCAACTTCCCGACTCTTTTTTGGTTTTCGCGGATGTTTGTCTGTATCATTATCGTGATTTCTAGGCTTCCGTCCTCTAGTCTTTTTCACTGGTTGTGATTCAGCAGATGTAGTCTTCGGTAATATAGGAGCGTAAGACATATCATTGCAGCCTAGATTGCCAAATTTACTTATTTCAATGCATTGAGTCCCAGCTCCTACGACGGAATGTACAGGCGCCGGTGCTATAGGCTGTAGATGCTGTCCAATTAGTTCACTCGAAGTTCCCTGATTAATATTTACAGATTTTCAGGAGTAAAGAAAAAAAGAGTTAGTTAATTGAAAAACAATTACTTTACACCAAAAAATATAAGCCTATTCATACAAAGTATTCTAGTTATTAACCGTTGATCTAAATGAACAATTTGTTCGAGTCCTTTTCAATGGGTGTTAAGCACCGTATAGCTACAACGATTACCTCCACTTACGTTCATTTTTATTTCAAAGCCTCTCAATGTTGCATTACATTAATGAAAACAGATTTGTGTGGCCGGTCATCAACTCGTTTCGCTGACCACATTGAGGATTCAGAAGTCGGTAATCGATAATATGTACATTACATTCGTCGATTTAAGAACAGTGAGTTATTTTACTACGTGATTCAGTCAGCCAAATGCAACGTAAAACCTGGGGTATGACCAAATTGGTTCAATTTGACCTACCTCATTAGCATAGAAAAGTGATTTTGTTGGGGCAGATCCTAGAGTGGTGAAGGTAGTGAGACAGATCTGTAAAGCGTATATTGTCAACTGTATAATCGTCGGGAGACATTCAGTCAAATACCAAAGATAACTGTTCGAAGTTGCTAATTTGAAACGAGTAGTGAATACTAACTATTTCACAAACTCTAAACTTGGTAACAACACATATAACAAATATCAATTAATAATGTGACATCATGTTACATATAGTAAGCGAACGTTTCATTATAGCACAGAACGAATTCAGAAATAAAAAGTACGAATTCTAAGAGCAAGATTTGCAGCACGATAAACAGTGAATGCATTTACAGCAATGGGCTCGATCTCCAGTCATATAACTTCGTCTACAACCATAGATTGAAATTATAATGTAGAACCGAAATACAACGCTTTATATTTCAAGAATGAATACACATCAAATGAATACGCCTATGGTGAGGTCCGAAATGTGTATGGTTTCCTATTCCTGATACCTAGTGAAGAAGTAGATACTTATGAAGACTAAGGTCTTACGAACTATGTTGTGGCTTAATTGTCGTAATCGGCGTAGAGCCAAGGGCATGTGCGTCACTCTAACATGTCCGTACCAAACCAGAACAGAGAGATCAAATCAGCAATGTGAATAGTGAAATACAAATCATAATAGTCAGAAAGGTTAGATATTGAGAATAAAATTTGAGGTAAAAATGTACGGATAAATAAATGGAATTCCGAATTCGGGAAAACGCATCTGTGTCATAGTGTTCGATTCTTAGTTATACCACATTAAATCCTTAACCACTGATTGTGATTATCTCACGAACTTTATCTGCATCTACCAACACACAACTTAACAGCCAATGATTTTATGGACTGATGTCACGTTCTAGTTTGACCACAACTAGTCTTTGCCCAACATACACCTACACCAGTCATCATAACTAGTCAAAGTAGGCAATGGTTAGGTATAAATAACATGTATCTCAACCACCGCAGTAGATGAAGAACTAGAGTCTGATCGGTCAATAAAGCGTCTTTGCCTAGTACTCAACAACTAACTCCGAAATATTGTAAGAAAAATTTATTTTCAGGGTGTAACCTAAAACACTGAAAAATTATATCCCAGAATGAATTTACGTGCAGCTTTTTTAGTCTAGAAATGTACAACACACGAGTTTCCTTTGAATGTAAATGGAACAGCTATGAAGCTAAACACTACTTAAAATAAGCAGTAGGACACTTACTTGGTACTGCGGGTTCCAGTAACTTCCGGCGTTCATATTTAGTAGACTTTCTTGAGTAAATGGGACGAACTGTCCATAATTTTGGTATACCTGAGAAAAGTTACCGGAAGTGACAGATGAAGCACTAACACAGGAAGATTCTGTCATATTTTTACACAGAGGATTAAAAGAAGTATCAGAAGCATTGTCCGTTTGACGGTAGTGGATTGTCGATCCGTGCATTGATTGTTGGACTGTATCTGAATTGAGTGGAAATGAACAGGAGTTAAGTGGTCCCATGAGATTACTTTGACTAGTACATACATTTATTTTAGTGTAGTCAACTTCAGTATCTACAGAAGTGCAGCTTAGTACCTCAGGAATTCTTGAGTTCGATTGTGGATCATTAGGAACTTGCTGAGTTCTAGAAACACCTAACGAATTTTGAAGGGCTGGATTATTCTGAGGCAATGTAGCGCTTACAGGTGTAAGGGACTCACAGCTTTGTTGGTTGATAGAGTTTTCCAAAAATCCATTAGATACACCAGTTGACTGACAAAAACTCGACAAGCACGAAGATGTAACGCAGGGGCTTATATTATTACTACTCGGGGACGTGACAAGCAAGGGACCACAAACATTACCTGGTTGGGAACATGATGTTAGTAGGCTGGATCCTGTAGATATATTTCTGTCGACAAAACAACTTGAAATAGTACTTGGCAGGGTAGTTTGATTATTTGAGATGGATTGAACAGTTGAGTAACTGTTAACAGTACGAACGGAGACATGGCCGCACACAGCCGAGGAACCTTCTTGTAAATGAGGTGCGACAACATATGGATATGAGGTATTTGCAACAGAAGCACAGCTAGATGAGATGGGTGTCGTTGTACAATCATTTGTGCTAGTTACCTCCTGGGAGCCTTTTAATGTATCAGTTGGACAACAAACCATTCGTGGATTAGGAGGATTGTAGTTTGTCCCGGATGATTTTGGATCAACGGGGTATCGATGCATTGCATATGATGATGGTGAGGACGGATTAGGGCCTAATTGAGGAACGGAAGGAGTTACGTTCTGAAGAATTTTATCATTACAATTTTGGGCTGAATAAAACGTTTGGACAGACGATTTTTCAGACATTGGGGCAGACGATTCTAAAGTCCTCAGCTGCTCTTGTAAAAAGTTGATTTCTTGTTGAACAGATGGGGAAGTAGATGACAAACGATATAGTTGAGACAAACGATCACAAATGCGGGTTGATTCCTCTTTGTATAAACCGGCCTTTTGAGGTTTACAGTCCACAGTGTTTATATATGGCCCACTTGAGTCATTCATCAAACAATGAGACTGGATACTAGACTGAGTCTGAGTGGATGGATGAAAACTCGAGTCATTACTTCCATTTAAATAACTTGCCATACAGCTTGATGGCTTGGATGCAAGTGCTTGATTAGTAGAAACACGGTAGGCAAACTGATTTCCAGTTTGAGGATGTACTTCAAGAGTTCGAGAATGGGGGACAGAAATACGTGTGTCACCTGGACGTAGACTGTAATTAGGAGAGGTGTAAGGTGCGTTCTGGTCCCATGTATACTCCAAACGATTGTATGGGGAACCACATCTTGGAGCAACTATTCGTTGTCGATTGTTATTGCAGTCATATTGATGTTCTGGATTTTGGAAACCTAATGGAGCATTTGTATACAGTTTGGGATCATAACGAATCTGTTGCTGTTGAGGAACATTAAACCCGGACTCATAACCATAATATCCTGGTGCTTGTTGCTGAAAATTGGTATTGAAGTTTGCATTATTCTGGACGTTCTGGTGGACTGTATATGAACAAGATCCTGGGTCGTTTAGATCTTCGAGAAAGCTAGTTGACTCGACACCGAAAGATCGGTAATGATGTTCCATTCAAAACTAAGTCGAACTTGCAAAATATATATCCTGTATTGCTATTCTCAGTGAGTAATATTACTTATACCATTGTTTAATCAGTGGAAGTAAGGGTATTAGTTGCCATTTTTCATTTTAATGACACCGCTTCAGAATGACCCAGAGTAACCCTGAAAATGTTGAATAAAAGCAACTTAATAGAATAAAGAAGATTTTCAAATAGTGGGTCTACGGAATTGTGGGAGCAGGTCATTGTATACTGGTTTCGATTAAAAACTTGTTTCAGGCTTAATAAATTGATGGATTATCTAGTATACAGAAGCTCCTAGAATTGTGACTGAGCTTTTCACTTATGGGTATGTGCTGGGAAACTTTAGAGCGAAAATTGGAGAATAAATCTGAAAAACCTGAAATGTGTCCATGTGTGTATTTATTCCCAAAATACATGCGTATTTGAAAACTGCTATGAATAGCAAAGTAAAAAATCACAACATTCATAATTAATTATGGATTTCTTCCAAGATTAACTCAAAATATCATCAGTTCAAGAACCATTACTTGACGACTGCCAAGGAAGTTTAAATCAGAAAATGAGTACAAAGTATTGACCACATTTATTATCGCACTACACAGACTACAAAACCACAGGCACACGAAGCGAAAACCATATGCGAGAGCCGAAGAGCAAGCGAACGAGTGAGCGCACCAGTGAGTGCACTAGTGAACAGAATTAAAATTTGCATATTTACAAATAGGAAAATGAATGAGACATCGAATTATATACGCGGCTAACGTTGAAGCCAGCGGGAGATGTGTGAGCGATGAGCAATGCTCAGTCATAACAGGTCATACAAACGCGACAAACAGTACATAATTCTGTTTGTTAAATAAGTTCGTCAAAAGGAGTCAACCAAATTAAATGTATTCAAACTCGAAAGTATGCGAGTTGCTATGTTCTCTCCCATTTTTTGAGGATATACCATGTGTCTTGCTCTCCTTACGTCAGTAACTTCTCGTTAGCAGGTTGATGAAAACATTTCCACATATACCAATTGCTTGTTCATTTGAAGTGGGGTAAACAACAGTTGCAACTGCTAACACTGCCTTCAGGATATCTAGCGATTTGAGTACATATATCTGGAACTGTGAAGAACAATAACCCATGCCGTATGTCAACTTATGTTAAATTTCAACAGATGTTTTTTAAATATTACTCAGACTTGTTGAATCTAACGAGTAAACAGTCAACTATGTTCGTTATAACTCCGACAGTGTAATAGACATCTATATATTGATGCAAAGTGGAATTCAGTATTAGTATTGTCGGTGGTACATTCAGTCAGAAATATGGCGCATCTGTTGACGTGACAACAGACAACCTCACAATTACCATAACATGCTGTCCAATTTTTTCAGCCACGTTATCCAACGTCAAAAAGAGATGGTGCATCTTGAACCGCACCATTAGTTTGCAAATTACATTGTTATTCGATTAAAAGCTAGTTACTATACTTCGAAATACGATCTGTGTATACAATTTCCGGAAGTTCTGGGAATTTTTCAGCTTGACGTGGTGGGATTTAGCAAAATCCAGTTAAAATGTGAAACTTCGTACATGCATACATCAGTTCGGGCTGATATACTACATTAGTACAGAGAAGTAAATTGTCAGTCCAAATCTCGCAATAGCAGAAATTGTTGAAGTATCACTGGTAATGCAAAAGACTGAGGTTCAAGAAGTGTAATTCAGTGAAATAAATTTAGAAAGAGAAAGATAAAGTGATGACGATTTGAAAAGTGGAGGGTTTGAGAGAACACAAATTGTGAATGCACCTGCGCCATTGCAAATGGTTTTGAGCAATGCAACTCAAGGTCTCTAACCATCGATTTCTATCATCTCGAAGGCCCCAACCAGGTAGTCGACACCTACCGACATGACTCAGTCCACTCGTCAATGACTTCATGGATTTCTGCCATGTTTTGGTCTGGCCGCCCCTAACTTTCTTCGAACCTATTCCTACACTACAAAACAAAGCTCGGCGAGGCAGTCGGTGGTTGGGCATACGCACAAGCCTAGTTTTCTCTAGTCTGCTCTTCACGAGCTCTATTTAGACGTCTAAGTATAATCGAGGCTAACAATTCAGAAACTATATTAGTTAGACTTATTCTCATGTGATTATCACAAGAAGACTTTTGTCCTTTCTTATAGATTGGGACAATCAGGGATTGAGACCAGTCAGATAGGATTGTGTCCAGTTCCCGGATTCTATCTAAGACCTCAGTCAACCTAACTGCTAGAACTGGACCACAATCCTTAAAAATCTCACGAGTCAATCATTCAGGACCAGCTGCTCTCCCTCTCTTCAGATTTCCTAACGCTTTCTCAACTTCATAAAGACTAGGGGGCATTCAGGTTGACCGAAGTGGGGCTGAAGGCCAGTTGAACGGACCCCTAATGTGTCCTGCCCATAGGTCCGGTCTCCCGGATTGAGAATTGATAATAAGGCCATCCTTTTCCGAGACAGTCTCATTCAAATTCGGGTTCCGAATACCAGTTGCCTTGATGAGTCTGAACAGTTGCATAGTGTGGCCTATCGCCTCTGCCTTTTGCATCGCTTTGGCTTTCACCACCCACCACTTATTATGGTCGTTGTGTAGGCATTTTATGAGCTGGCGCCGTAGCTGACTTCGTTCTTCATCATGTTCAGAGCCAGGTGTGATGAGTTTTCAACCACCCATCAGTTGGGTGGATGCCACTGAGATCCATGGCTTCATCCTAGCCTTAAGGTTTACTTTACTAGAAGAAGTCACTGCTGTTTCCACAGCCTTCTTGATATCATTATAACCTGCTTCAGGATGGGAATCGCTTAAATGGTCGCCTAACTGTCTTTCTAGTTGTTCCTGAAATAATTTCTTAGTTTGATCATCATTAAGTAAAACCCTAAGAGGCTTTCTTACGGTGTCCTTTCTACGCCCTGTGAGCCTCAAACAGATACGAGCTCGCACTAGAGCATGATTTGAATCTAAACATGTTCCCCAGAACGAGCGACAGTCTTCTATCGAACCCCTCCATCGGTGGCTGATGGCGATGTGATCTAGTTGAGTCCAACGTTGAGACGACTTTGGAGGTCGCCAGGTCTACAGAAGATTTTCCTTATGCCTAAAGTTAGTGTTTGCTAAGAATAGGCGGTTATCTGAGCATACTTGCAACAGACGGTCACCATTGTCTGTTCTCTAAGCCGCGACACTATAACATCCCCCTAGGTGTCATTTTCACTCAGTCTACCTACTTGTGCAATAAAGTCACCAGCCATTATTACTACATCACAGCGCCTAGCTTTTTGGAGGAGGTCCGAAAGCTTTCTGTAAAACTCATCTTTAACCTCATCTGAACTGCAGTCAGTGGGGGCATAGGCATATATGAAGAAAAGGCAACGGTGAGTGTCCCTATGTTTCCGAGTGCTTACTGTCCCGTTTAGTCGGACAGCGCACAAGCGACTATCTACTGGGATCCAGTCTAACAGAGCTAGTTCTGCCCTAGGACCCAATGCTATACCTACACCAGCGAGACCCCGGGAAGCAGCATCAGGGCTTCCTGATTCACGAAGACTAAATCCAGCTGCTTCTTTAACGACTTTACTAGGAACCTGCATGCGCGTTTCCGAGAAGCCGCACACATCGACTGAGCGAGATTCTAATGTCCTAGCTAACACAAAGTCACACACAAAGTCCGTACAGTAAAAGCTACATGTAGTTTGGAACGGGGTATCAAGAGACCAGGAATAACGTTTCGTGAACTGGCATCATTTGCATTAACGGTGTAGTGAGATAAAGGAATATGAGAAGAGTTAGTCGTGGAGATAAGGAGTATTAAGGGGTGTAGGAAAGATTTGATTTTGACCAGTTTGGTCTCTCGTGCTGTTATGGGTATGAGGGCGGTTGTCACTTTCCGGTTGTCCACACCGTGGAAGTGTTTCTTGAGGGACATGAGAAAGAAGGTAGATTAGTGTTGATCTTAGAGACCTGGGTGAGTGACCGCAGAGGCCAAGGGACAACTGCTTGAGGCCGGTCACGCACGGCCTTCTTATGAAGGGTTATTTGAGTATTAGCTGCGCTCTTAAAATCCCTTAGTGGGCACCCTTACCGCCGGAGACGGAAATCCGTGAGGTAGGGTGAAGTGTGATAATTTAATGGTCGGCGTTTTCTAACCCTTCATTCCTTGTGAGAAGGCACCATCGCTGCAGATGCTGGTTGTACGAGGGAAACACCTTACTGCTGTCACACCCCTCTGCAGTCAGCAGTACGACTTCGTCCTCAGAACTTTAGTAGCTGCTTTTAGTCTTATCGTTCTCCAAACGACCTTCCTGGCATTGTAGATCCTTCAGGAAAGTGTGTTCCAGCCAATATAGCTCAGTTGGATCATTACGACAGGCAAGCCCGACCACCACGTCAGGGTAGCATCTATTCATGTCTCTGGGGCAGAACATGTTGTTTGCTTACGGTCCCTCACGATATAGCAGGATGTAACAAATCAGTGATGTTTATGTTACGTTTCCTTGTTTGCTACGTCCAGGACTCATCTTCGCAACCTTACTTCCCACCAAAGAATCCTAATACAAGCAGATCTGGACAATAATACTGAAAAAGAGTTCACCCATAGCTTCTTGAGCTACAGAGTTAATAAGTAACAGCATCAATACAATATTACAAAAGCATCAGATCACTGTGCCTCACTATTATATTCTGTAAATCAACATTATTGATAACAATTTGGTCCTTCTGAATCTCCCCTATTATACCACTAATTGCCCATTCGTTATTTTACAACTGAATTGTCTTCATCAAACTACATAAGTGCAGGTGTACAGTTAGTGTTCGAATGTAAAAAAGTCCAATCCAATAAAGTCATTTTTCGGCTTCAAAAAAGAATATTTTCTGTTCTGCTTCTCGCCCCTTTCTTTTTATTTCTCTCTTTCAGCACCTTATCCTAATTCTTAAATATTAGTCTGGACATTTGCCGAAGACTTGGTTACTTTATCCAGGAGCCTGCAAGTTTATCATCTGACGAATATCAACCACATCTTGGCACATTTACCTCATCAGTTCTTTTTATATGCAGACCTGGCTTTACCTTGCATTGCTACTCAGCCATTAGCTGTTCGTCGTAACGCAACCGTTGTAACTCGGGCCAATTATTCAAATCGTACATTGCGGTCTGAAAAACTATAATTTTATGTGGAAACTTTCAGTCATCTACATTAAGCTAATGTGACATCAAATATTTCAGTAACTGAACAACCCTTTACAGAAAATATGTTAGCAATTTTAATATTATGATCTTGCCTGTAACTTTGCATGCCTCTTGTAATATGTTGTTATTCGAGAAAATTATTATTATATCCTACTTCAGCATTTGGCTGGTGTGGTGGACAAATGCATCTCATGAAACTTACTTTGACCGTCGCCACTACTGTCATTGATTTATACCGCTTTCTTTGATACGCATCGATTGTCCCTGATCCATGGTATAGCCGTTGTACAAGTGCATTCTGCGATTATTTGGATACTATCAGTGCCACTGTGTTTGAGGCCTATTTTTCTTCGCGACTAAAATTTAACATCACCCGATTTGATGCTAATATTTTCATCCTCCATTGCATCCAAAAGGTTTCAAGCATTATAAGCAGAGCAAAGAAATCTTTTCTATATGACTGGCCTTTGCACACACATGTTCCTTTTAAGTAAATCAGATGTTGCTTTGATAACTAAAAGGGGCATCAACCTAGCGATTTCCGAAGGAACTTGAATTTCGTTATGAGTCGTCGTAACACTTGTTAAGAAATACTCTCCAACTGCCAGTTCTCAGTGCATGTTTTTCATTAAGATAATCCATAACATATGACGACATCTATGAGAAAACAGACCTAATCAAACCAATCTAACATAAACGAAACAAACCAAAGTAATTATATAGGTACCAATACAAGAAAAAATAATTTTCTACTCATTTTTGATCTTAATTAATTTTGATAGGAATAGCCACGCAGCTAAGAAATATCATCAGCTATGATGATTCCAGCAGCCTCAATGCCATAAGACAACTGCATCAATAGACGCCAACTAGCTCTTAAATGAACCCATTAATAACACTGTAGAGAAGTAAACTAGCTGAGACCCAACACACACCTGAAATCGTTTCTTGACACCAAAGTGCCATAACTTGATGCTTCTAGGGTCAGTGTGCTTACTACTCAGTAAACATCCAAAACATTTTGTAGGTGACATATATTTTATTCCTCTCTTATCTGATCCCAGTTTTTTCTAGTTACCTTATTTTTAGCTAGTTTATTTTCTGCGGGATGGGGTCGTTAACCCCATATCGGGCTTGCGATCAGCAGTAATCACAGAAGGGCTTCAGTTGAGACAGAGATTGGTGAATTCCGGAGAACGCAAGAGAGGGTAGGTTGAAGAATCCGGGTCAGCGACCTGTGCTCCATTACGGGTTACAGGCGTGAGTATCTGATCTCAAAAGCAATTACATCATTTCCAAAAATCATCGTGCCAAACGTTTTGTACGTGTCCTCCATAAGGTAGTAGAAGGGAGAAGGGTTAGAAGGTGAAACAAGAATATATGAGCAAGCGCTACGAGAGGGCTATCCAGAAGGATATTGATGAGATATGACATTTTCATACTGTGTCCGTCAATCAGGTCTTTACTCACATCTCCCTTGAGTTTTCCTGAAGTTAAAAATATTGAGGATCCATCAAAAAAGAGAACCAATCAAATGAGAAGAATGGTTCCACCGTATTTTTCAAATAATTGCATACGAAAAGGGGAGCTACATTTACATGTGATATGTGTTCCGTTCAACGTAAACGTTGTATTTCACATCCTGTTATCATAATCTTGATTAATTTTGTAATTCACCATTAATTTAGGACTCCATGTTTTCGGTTGTATGACATGCGTATTCTAGGATTTAGTTCGACATTTCCATCAAATTTTATCATTAGTTTCTTCCATCACCGTAAAATACCCATTCTCACGAGCGTATCCTGCACACATTACTCAACTCAGTCATGCTGCTTTAGATGAATAATTTCAGTGGATACTTTAGGGGTAAGTCATTCAGGTAGTTGGTGTAAAAAACTGATATACCGTATATACATTTGGGGGATACTCGATGTGACTTTTTGATTCTGAAAATATTTCGCCAGCTAAGTGGCCATTTACTGTCTAGATAAGCCGGCTTCAGCCCACCAATACTTATCGTGTCAGCGTTTTATTTGTTCTTGTATGGCGAAATATTTGGATTTTATTAGGGCTAATCTGGTCTTTTTTATTCGAAGACTAAGAAGAGGTTTAAATTTGTCGCATCTTATCCAAACGTGTATGTAAGTGCTTAGATTCTTTGATGCATATGTGACCCACGACGTTTCACACATATTTAGAGGTTTGACTTCGGACATTTGTTCTCACAGTAGATTCATGTACCTTGTAATGTCGTGCTTTTCATTTTCATTACGAGGACTCAAAAACTAATCTAGTAAGCTGGAAGTCATCCCGAAAACTAGTACTGTCACCGATCACTATGAAACAGTTTTGACAGCTGTTCTTATCCCTAATATAATCGGAGGAACCCTGCACACTGGTTGAATTCGAGTATGAATAAAGTAGCTTTTAACTGACGGCGGAAACATTTTACCACTCTGATTGATTGAGGATTCATGATTTTAATCTAAATATTCTAATAGTTTCAGGAACGAATGGTCGAAGTATGGTTTCATTCGTGTTACAGTAGATCAACCAACCTCTAATAAGTGGTTAAAGCAGCTTTAGCTTGAGGACAGAGCTGGCTGTTGAGTATATTTTGTGAACCTAAGTGCTCTCTGTTGATTGAACGATAAATTTGGCTTATCAGGTACTAGTCTCGAGAGTCTGTTACTAGCAGGCACATAGTCAGCTGCACCTGACCGATTTAGCACCAGACTTCCAAGTCTACCAACAGAACTATCCACTAAGTTTATGTGTTGGTGACCCATTTCGCTACCTGCACCAAGTTCGCTGCAGTGACCTACTATGATTTAGTTGCATCTGAGACTATCAGGCCTTCAGAACCTAGAACTGGGTCTCATTTGACAGCTATTTAGGTATTCTTCCTTACTTCTTTGATGTGTCGTTTGTGTTCCAGTTAGAGGACCTCTCTTCATTATTCTATCTGTTGTCTGAACTAAATAGAGCAAAAATGTGTTTTGGTCTTGTGCATACAAAGTGTTGGACACAGCATGTTATAGGGCTGCTTCGCCAACTAAGACGTAGAGCTGAGAGGGCTACTTATCATCTACTGTTTACCCTCTGGAAAGCCTTTGGACTCTTTGACAGGATAGGCGATTAATTATTTCATGTCCTAATATGGAGTGTGGTTGCGACGTCGACGGACTTCTTTAGCAACTGGAAGAAGAAGGATAGAGCATAAGCTTCAGCAACGAAGCTTCTCGGATTCTGTATCGTCTCGTAAAATAATGTTATAGTTGGGTGAGCCACAACATTGGATTAGTGCGGTCGAATTATGAAAATGGAGAATCGGTGATCGTTACAGAGTCTATTTCTATGGGGCCACAAAATAAACCCTTTCTATTTGCATTGAGCTTAACATTTTATGCTATGTAATAAATTATCACTGAAGTACATATGATGGGACAATTATTGCAAAATGAACAATGTAAATAAAAAATAATCAATGAATGTAATGATCTATCAGAAGGTTTAGTTTCACGGTGAAAGAAATAAAAGTATGTGCAAAATTCAAGCGCACCAATATTTTACTGGCTCCCGCAACTGTGTATATGTTAGAAGCCAGGAATGTGGTTGAAGTAGGTCATTATTCAGTGGCGCAATGGAGCAAGGGTGTTATGACTAAAACGAACAGACTTCTCCAGATTCAAAATGCGACAAAGTATAACACCTACAAAGAATAAAGTAATATCCGCTCTAGATGAGAAATTCTAATCCTAACTGATGCATACTGATCTCGCGTAACTATCTAACCTAGGCGGTTACAAGCAAACTCTACTGCCCACTGTTACTGCCGATAACATAAGATTGAAGAGCATTGTGAAAAGCAAAGACAGAGATGTTGTTTGGAAAAGCAAGAAAACGTTCGATGATTGAGTAAATTACTATTCTTCGAAGTAAGATCTCAATTTCTTCAGAGCAATAAGAGAAGTCATTATTCTAAGTAGAATCACAGTGATTATATAAGGAAAATTACAAGGTAAGATACAGTGAAGTAAATATATGTATATATGAACAGAAGGAAAAATCATATTAATTTTGGTAAGTGATGGATGCTCTTAGGTTGCGGGAAGTACATGATACACAGAAATAGAAATATGTTCATATGCTCATCTTTTAGAATATAGGTGGAAATATGATTCGAAGCCAATTACATATTAGTTATTTAATAAGAATGATTGAGAAAAGAGATTAAAAAACGCATTATTAAGGAGTTTAGAACCTAGTATGTGCATCAAGAATGATATATATATATATACATATATATATATATATATATATATATGAAGGTGTCGGTAAATCACTGGAAAAACTGTCTACCGCTATTAGATGGGATCATTAAAATTGACTGATCAGTTGTATTTTTATTCGGATCGAACATTTCATTATCCATTAAAACTTCTAGTTCTTCATTTAACAAAGTTGGTGAATAATCATATATAGATGCTGAATGTTCTGTGCAACTTGTATTTTTCTGTTGATAGTCATTAACATGCCTAGATGTTGCTAATGACTGGCCATGAATAATATCCTGTACAGAATTCGGTAAAGAATCAGAGACTTGTTCCAACTGGCTTAACAAGGCTGTAGCACGGATTATAGAGTCTTCTAATGGAATCTTCATGGATAATTCATTCACATGCTAAATTTATCACAAAAAACATTTACACGATATTAACTTATGATAATAAAGAAAATCAAATGAAAATGTTACACAGTGATACAATAAGTGTAACTATAATTCATATGATTGAAATATCCATTGGAAAAATGCATAATATTATATGGAAGATAACAAATTGTAAAGCTAGAGCGCCAAACTATATATATAGGAGTCCTCAAGACCAAAAGAAAAGAGGAATCCAAAGAACAATTGTATCGGGGATTGGAGGCAGATATCAAAGGAATGAATAGGAATTGGGAACAATTGGAAAGCAAAGCCCAGGATAAAGTTCATATATAGTCTCTTTTGTTTTTGATATTCGAATGAAATGATCAATGTCAGCTTTTCGAGTGCTTAGGCTTATAAGTTTACTATATTTTGTCAAGTGGCTAGTAGTGGAATTCAGAACTCGGATTTCGTCATGTAGGGAATTCATCAGCAGCCACTAACTACACTCTGGTATGGATGTTCCTACTGACGATCAAATCACGCATGTTAATTTGAATGCTAGTGCCGCTCATTAGAATATTATTTGACAGAAGCTGATACACATCCAACACGTGAGATATGATGTTACCTTGGAAAAAAATTACACAGTTACGGACACTACGAAATACTGATGTTCATTTGATTAGCGCTATCAGATAAGAGTATATATAGATATAATCTGAGCACTGCACTTCCTTAAGCCTGTTACTCCTCGTGGAGTATAGGCTGCCGACCGAAATTCGCCAACCGACTGTCTTCAACTCTTCTCTCAAGTCATTCTTCAAGTCACTCTTTTCATATCTGTCTTCGATTCTCTGCTCAATGTGTTTTCGGCCTTGAGGACTCCAAGTGAGGGCTTGCTTTGTGACGCAAATGGGTGATTTCCGAAGTGTGTCCCATCCATCTTCAGCGTTTTTTCCAGATTTGTTCCTCAGCTGCAATCTGGTTTGTTCTCTCCGACAGGAGGTTGTTGCCAGTGGCGTCTGGCCAATAAATCCGCACCGTTTTGTGTAAACAGCTGTTCATAAATGCTTGTTTTTTCTAAATGATAGTTTTAGTATTTCTCCAAGTTTCCACTATTTACAAAAGAACTGTCTTGATGTTTGTATTAAAAATTGTGACTTTGATGTTGGTAGAAAGTTGTTTTGAGTTGCAGATGTTCTTCATCGTAAAAATGCTCCCCTTGTTTTGCTGATCCGTGTCTCTACATCTGCATCAGATCCTACTTGTTTATCAATAATGCCAGATTGGAGTATTTATGTTTCGTAGTGTTTTACACTTTTGGGTTACATTTATATATATCTTATCGGTCTCAACATGTTGAAGACTTTCTACTTCACATCGACCCTCTCACAATGCAACAATTTTGATGATTTTTATTAACAAAAAAGACTAACCTTTAATATACTGTTTGCATCATATTTTCTGTTCATGATATTATCTCTTTGCATTAAAAGTATAGCAGCAGCAAAAAATATATGAAAATTCTTTGTCCGATAATCTGTCCAAAAAGTCTAAAAAAGATGACAGAAAGAATGATGACAATATTAACACAAAACAGAAAATTATGAACCCGTTTGAAACTTATTATTAGCGGAATTGTATTGACTATATAAACATCAAGGAAATGTGATTTTGAAGATTGATTTCACAATGACTGATTACAGAGTAATACTCAATATCAACGTTTATCTAGTACATTGTGGCTAAGTTTGTGATATCTAGGTAACACTTTAGTAACGGCAAATGGGACGTATAACCAGCAACACAATAACATGACAAACCTAAGCTATTACTTTGCGCCCCAGCCCAGTTAACTGGAGGAAGAAGTCCAGAGTCAACAGGTAGAATAAACAACCCGGAACGAACGAATGAAAAGCACTTGATTCATTTTCAATACGAAAACGTCGTTAAAGGAGTCAAAAATAGCATACTAGAAGAGAAAATGGACCAATGACTTTTACGGACTTTGAAGGTGGGAAGCACAGACTGAAAATAATAATGGATGCTTTTGGTGCGAAAACAAGAAATTCAAATTTCCGCAAATAAATTAAATAACAGGAAGTTTACCAAATGATTCATGGGGATCTAGCACCTCCGAAAATTCTCTTTCTAAACGGCGTACATTTCTAGGGTCCATGTGCATCTTGATTCTTCGTCGCCGTTATCGATATGACCACCTACAGGGACGTAGGCTAGTTTGTTTTAAGGCTTCTTAATTTATTGAGACCTGGGACAAGTTGAAGGTATCCATCAGGATTTCAAGCGGGAGATTTCCGCTTGTCGATCTGTTTCTAATCGTTCCCATGGCTGGTTGCGGTGCTGAGTCCACTTGTCTATTCTCACTACTACTTCGTACATGACATGACCACGCCTTTTGACCACATATGCTTCTGTCCGAGGATCATGGTTTGGCCTGTAGTCCCGGACATTCAACCTTGTACGTGGGTAGTTCCTGGGACTCTGCCTGTATGATTCTCGACAGCACCAGCTTATGGACTGCCCTGATGGAATTCTATCGAACAAGTTGCAGCTAGCATCAAAATTAGTTTCACAAGGAAAACTCGATTGGACTACTCTTTACAAATCAAGCGCTAGAGTGAAAACACCTGAATCTAGGATAGTATACTAGGTGTAAAAATGAAACTGATAAAGATGGGCAGGCAATGTTGACACACATTGTAATCACCTAATTGCGTTGCTGTGTTGTCAGACATCGCATGTATATAGTGTGAATTTCGATTTCTAATGAATTGCGGTACAACATACAACTGGTCTTTTTTCTATCTTCATTTTCTGAATAAAAAATAGGGCAGAAGGAGCTCGGAAATCAGTGTACGCATCAAAGCCTTGGTTGTTGTTCATCAATCGATTAGCTAATTGTAATATAGAAGATCACCGATCCTACTGTCAATATAAGCAAATTAATAAGTAATTAGACTAAGGAGAGAGAGAGAGATAGCATACAAATGCTCCTCTGTTACTACTACTAGCTTTTGAAACGTCGAGCGGTGGTAAAGACCCCTTAGTAAACGATATGATCAACAATAAAAAATGACCAGTGAGAGAAATGGCGAAACATTTTTAAAACAATCAGTATGTAATTTTGGCAAACAAGAAAAGTAAACAGTTTATTGTTTTAAAAAGTTAGAAACATACAATCTAGATATGCATGTAAGCAAATAATTGAATTAAAATTTAAAACAATTATTATTATTAGTTCAACATACCTCCCATAAAGTCATGGTATCTTTATATGAAAATTCTCGTTTGAAATGGATTAATAACCAGCGGAAACAAAACGGCATTTCTTTGGCATTTTTCGACTCTGTAAATATATTTTATAGAATTTTTAATAAAATAAAGTCAATGAAATGGAAAAAGATTATCAGTCAATGCAGAGGAATAGAAAATCAAAGTTATGTACATGAAGTTCTTATTATTTGAAATCACAAGGAATATGGTATAATACTTATAGCTTTTCAATAATGTTACATGATGAAACATAAGGATGATCGTTAGAAATATGTCTGTTTCCTGATTTTGTGGAAGCCTATCCGTAAAAACAATTTAGTGCAACTCCTCAGGACGTGATGGATTATGATTAACTATTATTCATACTAAGAAAGCTTAATGGTTGAAGTAAACTTAACATGATTAGAATCACACTTTTAATTTGTAGATAAAAACAAAAGTACATAAACAATACAACTTTTCACATGATGTTTTGAGCATTAATATAAACTTTCTGCTTATTAAATGAAAAGTCGCAAGTTTAGAAACGTTTGAGATGAAGCTTAGTTTAACAACCAGGAGTGAATTAGATTGATAAAGTTATCTGTCAATAAAACTGTATTTAATTTGATGAGCTTATGATCGAGAAAATGTCAACAAGAATACAGTAAATGTGGTAGCAGATTACTGACTAACAATACATGTGTCACCATAATGATTTCTAGACACGTATTACCAATAATATCAAGTACTTTACTAGAAACACAAGAGCCAGCCAAAAATAAGAAGTGAATTACTGATAATTTCGAAAGCTTGCATGAATAGTGAAACTCAGTACTGAAGTTTATCTCGACAAAACGTAGTTATGAGTTTATACTAACTAAAAAACAGTCGCACATCTATACGTACATTGTACTAATGACCATTGAAATTTATAATAGCCGTAAACATTTAAGCATAGTGAATAGACTTAAATTCGCTGAACAATAACAGTGGCAGTGAATGAAATTATCAACTGTCAGTCCGAGTTCCTGGAGATTTAAAAGAAACAAAAATTTATTTGTTGAAAACATCAGCGATAACAAAACTGAACATACTGACACAGGTCAAAATATTTTTTCTTGAAATCTGTAACATTGTACTATTCAATAGACAAAAACTACATAAGTGTTTGGCATAAAATATGCGCTAATTTAAGGCATTTTTTCCGAAAGAACTGATATAAGCTGGGAAACCAAACGACTTCATGCTACATGTATAAAGTTTTCAACGAAACTATCCAGCTGTCTATGAAAAGAATTAAGGGATATATGGAAACTATTAACTTATCATAGAAAAGTCTATTATTCAGTGGGCTATAAGCTTAATGACGTACAATAACACAACCTAACATTTAAAAAGAAAGTGGTCAGACACTTTATGGAGATCAGGAGAAACAATGTTCAGCGTAAACAAATTCAAAGCATTGTTTGTGTATATTAAAACAACCGAATAGGCATCTGTAAAAATATTCATTGCTTGAAGTGATTGAGACAAGTATTACGCATAGCTAAACACTGCCTAACTCCACTAGTGATGATGATTAGTGTAGCAGTAGGTTGAAAGAAAGGTAGGTGTGGAAAAACCAAAAACTGACACAAGTTCATGAAGTCATTAGTTGCTAAACTGAAGTGTGCTGGTAGATATAGATGATCTGATTAAAGTCTGAGCAACAGTCTTATTCAGTGGTTTCGAAACGTTAGGTGATATGTCTTAGAATCAATTGCAATAGTAAAAGTGTATTTTTACACTTTTTTTTTACTAACGTTAATTTTTATACTTTATGAATTCACATTTTCTGGAATCTTATTTTCTACGCCTAATTTTTTTTAGTACTAGCAATCTTCTTACCACCTTCACTAATCGGACATTTGGTTGTGCTGATGCAGTGTGATAACTTGAACCAATGCACATATATGCCAGGTTTTAACGTTGCGTACGACTGACTACCTGTTTAGCACTGTTCCACATTCTACAGATAATTCTGCCTTAGAGAAACCATCAAATAATTATGAACAAATCTTATCATTAAAAAAAATAAACAATCATACGAAAAATATTATTCTTAGAAGTGTGTTAAAGAATTATTGGTCGAATCAAACATATATCTAATGCAAAATGTAATAAGCATATGAGAGAGAGAGCTTAGCGTAATAAGATTCATTACAACAAAACATGCTGCTTTTTTTAAATGTTGTTAAATAAAATTTATCATCAGATTTAATAAAATTTACCAAGATATTCACTGAAAGCTGGGTCAGCTATTTCAATAAGTGAGAATAATTGATTGAATTGTTGTCTGACTGAATTAAGTTCTCCATTGAAATTAGATTCCTATGATAAAGAAACGAAATTTAAAAAAAGTACAAATATATATATATATATATATATATATATATATATATATATGTATATATACATCTGTCATAGTTTTATAATCACATAAATTCGACTAGTGAGTAAGTTATTCAATATATCATCAATGAATAAATAAAACTTTTGATTATCATAAACATTTACCTGGAACCAAGTGACTCTCAATAATGCTACTACTATTACTACTACTACCATAGAGGCTTAATTCAAAAACATTTTGGGTGTACATAAGTGAACAAACTTTCTCTGTTTTACAATTAAATATCGACGAATCCTAACTTTATGTAGTCAGAGATTGTTAACAACATTCAACAAGTTATTGTGATTGTTAAAAACTGAGAAATTCACACCAAACCATTACAAATATTGGTATGTATATATATTTTTGTTTGCCCTTTAATGAAATCAGAGATGAATACATTGGAATTCTTGCATTTAATGTAGGAAAAGCAAAACAATGGTAATCATTGAATTGATAGACAATTTTCTAGTTTGAAGACAGTCGGCTAATTGTAACTATTAAAAATATTACTAATCAATTATAAATGTGACTATATATTAAATAGAGATTTATTGTTATGCAATGAAACTGATGCTAAGAATTCCTCACTTTAACAACGTTTACAATATTAAATAAACTTATTATTACTATTATGATTGACATACTAAATGATAAAACAAGAAAAAAACACGAATTTCTACGATAAATTAAACAAACATGACTAGGATAGAAAAGAAATAAAATTGCAAGAGAGAACAATCAAGAACTATCAATCAACAGAGAATGTGAGAATATGAGGTTAGATCGACAGCCAAGTCCATGATCGATTTATCTATTTATTATTTAGTCAATATTTTAATGAACATAAAAATCGGGAAACTTCTATTTAGCGTATACGTGGTTCTAAATTATTTTAAAGTATTAAGTTTAGTGGGAGGCGCTACTGCCAGTGAATGTTTAGCGGATCACTACTGGACTCCAATGTGGACGAACGATTGAATGAATGATGAAATAAATCTTCCTTTCCACTTCCGTATATTATACTTAGGCTAACCCCGTTTGTGCGACGGCGGTAGTAAGAAGCCAAATACGGTGTTGCGGATGAATTTATTTCATGCATTCATTTATGCAGACAAACATGAGAATGCAAAACGAAGCGAATTGGCTAGCTAGTCAACTCTCCATGAGCAGAAGAATGACTAAGTACTTCTAGTCAAACAATAATAGGCTAGAAATGTGATAAGCGATAAAGCATCCATAAACAATCAGATGTATACTAATCGATACTGTTGTCGAGTTATTATAAATACAAAATTATGGTCGATACAATTATCGAATAATTTAAACGACTAATTATTAAAGTACAATGAATGAATGGATGCTACCCATGTATAAAACTACTTTACTAGTAGTCAGTCACGTTCTTCTCTTCTGAATAATTTTTCTTCGTTCGATTAATTTGTGGTTCACCAAAATTGTTCACTCGGATTAGTTGAAAAAATGGATTCTCATAATGAAGATTGTTGAATTGCATAGAAGTAATGAATCGATCATTGTTAGACCACCATTAGAAACCTTGAAGCATTGGACGACCGTTTCATCCTAGTATGGGACTCATCAGTGGTGCACATCCACGATCCCTGCTCTCAAGAATCAAACACAGGACCTTTGGTCTTGTGCGCGAACAATTAAATTGTAGATCGCTGAGCCGGCATCTAACGGTGTTAATGTTTCACTGTAATCAATCCAAGCTATTGTGCAGCCTCGCACATTGTGCTCGGTAGGTCATTGCAAACATCCGCGAGGGTTGAACTCCACTGGTCACTGTTGATGAGTCCCATACTAGGACAAAATGGTCATCCAGTGCTTCAAGGTTTCTAACGATGGTCTAACAATGATCGATTCATAATTTCAAATAAAAGATTTTCAAACAGTCGGTAATCCGAATTTCCGAACCACGAATGTAAACTAAACATCACAAAGCCTGTATCTTGAGTAGCAGATTTATGAGGACACTAAAAAAATTTATAAATACCCATGGCTTTTCATTGTATCATAGTCATTTAGAGTAGGAATAAATCTTCGGCCTTCGTCTGTCTTAGTAATAGATGGAAATCCTAGCATTAAAAGTAGTCAAATTTTCGAAATGCTTCCTAGCGAGTGGTAATCATCTCAGTCACCTGGTTAAATGTTCAAGAAAAGTGAACAGATATACAAGCAATGATATAAATGTGTAATCTTAAGTCAAAAATAGACTTTATCTATCGGTAAGATCAATAATAATAATAATTCACTTTTTGTACAGTTATTAATTTTTTAACGAGGGTTGGAACAGTATTAAGCTTCTCTACAGTAATTTTCATGAAGTATTGTTTAGTCATCAAGATAGATTTGAAAAACTTACTAGTCTATTCATTAAACCAACAAAACACCAGAAAGAATCTTCTTCATCTTTCATAACATAAAGTATCAATGCGAGTAGATCGTTCATTCCTTGAAAGTAACCTGTAACACAGATATACACGAAACAAAACATGATTGTAATAATTATTAGTGAGATTATCATGAGAACAGATCTACAATAGTTAACAAGAATCAAAACAAATGTTCTGGATTGGTTTTAAAACAGTACCTCTTAGATATGTCCCGAGAAGACTTAGAGAACTCTTACATTTTTATCTTCAGTGTGAATATCTTAGATTGGATAAAAAGTGGAAAAAACAGCTGACGAACAGTTATAAGAATGCATTTTGATAACAATTAAAGGATATTCATGAGGATTGCATGAAACTACTCATTTCATTCCATTTAAGTAAGAATTTTTAAGTGATATTTTAAAACTATATTTTGAGTGAATAATGTAAAATGAGCGATCATAGTGTTTTTTTAACAAATGTAATCTATTTCATTTTATTGATAATTTGCATGATCCTATTCTCCCTTTTGTTTGGTGAACTTTAGTCAAGACACATAGGGGGAGAATGTGATCACATAAACGAATCATCAGAATAAAACCAACTATTTAAAAAACAAATCAATCATATGCATGAACAACCAACCAATCAATAATCTAATCATTGTTTGATAACAGTAGAAAATTAGTGAAAAAGAACCCTATACCTAATTACGAAGACATACACAATCATAGAGTGACTGATACTGTCTGAAGATTCGAATCCACATCATCTTCTGGTGCCATAATTATCTTGGTTGTGATTGGTATTCAGTGAAATGGAGATATCTACGTCAATCAGCGACTGAATTGTAGCTTTCTAATTTGATCTCCATTATATTCACCCAACCATTAATTCATTAACTAATGATCCCCATTATCTATTCAACTTCAAACAGTGAAGCCAAGTTGCTTTTCTTAGTAGTAAAAGTTTCTTTACAAATTCTAATCGATATTAAATACTAGACAATATTAATGACCGATAATATATGTGTCGCATCTCACCATTCATTCATTGTACTTCAATGACTAGTCATTTATATTATTCGATAATAGTGTCGATTATATTTTTGTATTTGTAATGATTCGATAACAATATCGATTATTGTACGTTAGGTTAGGTGTGTAGATGCTTACTCGCTTAGTACATACATGTCTAGTCTGTTATTGCCTGGCTATAAATACTTAGTCATTGCTTCAGAGCATGAGAGTTGGCTCACTAGTCTTCTCCAATTCGCTTCGCTTTGCCTGCACGCTTTCCATTCTCATGTCTGTCTGCTCAAATGAATGCATGAAATAAGTTCATCCGGGAAACCGTATTCGGTTTTCGATTACCGCCGTCCTACAAACGCGGTTTGCCTAAGTATGATCTACAGAAATGGACAGGAATATTTATTTCACTGCATACTCGATTATTCGTCAACATTGGAGTCCGGTCGTGAGCCGCTAAATATGCAACAATTCACAGGAAAACAATAGTAAAATAAATGTTGAAAATCGTCAATTAAAAAAAATGCATTTCATTTAGGGCAGTGCATAGAATTTGATGCAGTTGATAGAATAGTAAGTTTAACATGAGTAAATATGACTTATTTTGCGAATACATGCGCTTACTCTAATATATTGTTTTTCTGATACAGTTGTTTATCATTTTTAAAGCGAATAAGTGTATTTTTGATTTATCCTACCAATTCGGCTCGAACAAAGCAGAATTTAATGATACTCTATTGATTCACTTAAAACCGATAGAGATCGATTCGTGAAGAAAATCATACAGAATAGAGAATCAGTTAATGCTCAGATGGTTCTTTAGTAAAATTGCTTCAATCACAAATGACAAAATCCATATTTTTTGAATTTTAAGGAGAGGTTTGAGCCCGATCTCTTTAAATGTTTACTTTAATATGTTTGACACATCGATAAAAATTCTCATGCCGATATCGAATCAATGGATTCGTGACTAATATAATAGTCGGTTACGAATAAGACAAGGTTAGCATCAAATACAATTAATCAGTGGAATATGCATAGTTAATTTAAAATCATGTAATCAATTCTTACCGAAATCCATATTATATACAGTGTACGTGATAAGTATATCTGAAAGACGTGTCAAATTTCCATGACTATCATCTGCATAAAAATCAGTTTTTCGATCTGTACGTGGAACATCTTTATCTATACAGATTAGTGCAAAACAAAATAAACAACATATGTATCAGTTAAGTTTTAAGAAAAACCAAGTGTATTGTAAACAAAAATAAACTAAAACCTATTTAGTCAATGTTAAATATTAAAACAGAGTTCATCCGATTGAAAACTTATTCTCATTAATATCAAGAAGTAATTTAATCACAACTTGGATCAGTCAGTCAGTCAGCTAAAACAAGGAACTTAGTACGTAATTACATCAGTTCAGGTTGCTATACCACATTAGTACAGAGATGCAATTGTCAGTTACAATACCATAGTGGTAGAAATGGTAGAATTCTTAGCAGTAATGGAGAAGATATTATTCAATAAATATAATTCAGTGAAATAAATTTTTTTAAAAATATAGAGGTTATGAGGAATTCAGAAGATTGAGACAGCCTACCCCAACACCACAAAACATAGAGCGTCCAAGTAGTCGGTGGTTGGGCATACGTAACACATGTCTCAACCACCTAAAATGATGAAGTTCCAATATTTCATCTATTGAACTGCCATCCTTGCACAGTGCCAGTTTCCTAACAACAACAATCCTTACTCAATTGCCCCACGATATACAAGTAATGCTTCAAAAACACCAATGATCAAAAATCAGTAACCTACGAGTGTACTCTGACTGGCCATGTTTCACAACCATAAAGTAAGACGGAGCTAACTACTGAGCAGTGCACTCGACATTTAGTCAGCAAACAGATATCTCGCCTTCGCCATAAGTGACGCAGGTCGGCAAAAGCCAGTCGAGCCCTCTGTATCCGTGCTGAGATCTCGTCAGTCACCATTCCGTCAGCACTGATGAGACTCTCGAGATAGCCGACGCAAGCCAATCTTGAAGCAACATTTTGCATTTCGAGGGGAAAAACCGCATCCCGAACTTGCTTGCATTGTCGATCAGGGTAGTCAGAAGAGTCTGAATTTTGTCAGCGTCAGTGGACAAGACTGACGAACACCACTTGAGGTGATCAATTTAAATGACAGTAAGCCATTAGCTCTCCCTCAACTAGTAATGTTCGATTAGAGGGCTTGTATAAGGTTAATGTACTTCAATAGTACACCTTTTAATAACAGACACTGCCATAGAACCTCACGGACACTTGGATAGGTAACTCAGATATGGCTTATATGGTATGAACTGTATACAAATAAATATCATATGAAAAAAGTGGAATCCAATAAAAGCATTCGGAAACAGTTGAAATAAAAAGTAAAGAGTTGATCCATATTGAAAACAACGCAACTAAATACAGAGCAGCAATAAGAAATTCTAGCTGAGACAAAAACATGAATAAAAGCTCTGTCTTCACACTTAAAGGAAAATCAACTAAATAAAGGTCAGATATCTATGAGATTATATGTGAAGAATCAAACATGAAAACAGCAGATGAAAGCTTTGTTTGTAACAGTAAAGTTAATTCTGACATAACGTACATTAATTGACAAAGGATTACAGTTATCTAAATTAAAATGATCTTTCCTACAACTTGTTTGAAATAACAATAATTTACTCAAAAATATCAAATATCAAAAAAGGTTGTGTGATAATCTAATGACTGATGAGAAAAAATATTAAGATGAAGATGCTCTATGAAAGTATAGAAACTAGGAATGGAGATTGACACTATGGTAAAGTGAGAGATCGAATAATTTGCCTTTGTATAGAAAAGAGTTGAATTAGTGGATTGTCTTTGATTTAAATAAGTTTCGTATTTGTACTCCCAGTGGAGTGATTTGTTTGGCTGTATGGATGACTTTGAAAAAGGATTTTGATGGAGGGATGTGACAAGAAAGGGTTTGCTTTGCGCTTCACAAGAACAGGTGAAATTCAATATGCATATTGATGTAGCCAAAAGCAGTAGCCTGTCTTTCACATAGCAAACAAAGAAATTCCGAATGGAGAAGACAGTGAGAAGTTTGGAACATTTTTCTCAAAGACCTCGAAATGTATTTTACTCCGACAATCGCATAAGTCCCAACCAGATAGTCTGTTACTAATACGACATTTCAGTCCAATAGTCAATGATTTCATAGACTGATCCCATGTCTTGATTTACAGTTCCTTAGGTTTCTCCTAACTTTCTCTTAAACTAGGCAGTATTGCACCTACAGACAAGTAGATGCTAATTAGGAAAAGATAATACATGCCCCAGTCGATGAAGATTGTTAACTTCACTAACTGGTTTAGTATTTTTATTTCGAAAAAATCTAACCCGAGCACTGCTCGCTACGTTGTTTCATCAAACGCTTGCAATGTTTTTAAGATATCTATGATCAAAGGTTTAAAGACTACCTAAGTTTCTCTTTAAAACAAATGTTTCACAGATGCAGAATGGTACCATGAAGAAGAATTAAAAGTGCTCACGAACGTTATGTAGTATATGAGCCATTTAGAGGAATCTTGCTTACGCCGAATTCGATTTAATTTTAGTGAGATTTCTAAAACCGTATGAACCAACCACAACTGATGAGACTTCCAAGATCAATGAGGTGGTCAGAGTACTCAACTATTCTACCCGAACAATCAGCTTAGGGGTTAAGGCATACCAGTTCTGAGGTAAAATTTTACACATAGGAAAGGAGTATATCCCAATTATGCTAGTATTAATATCGAGGATGCTTGTTATGCTACAGATTAATCGTCTTACTTTTTTTCGTATTCATATTAAGACTGCGTCATTAGAAGGATTAAGACTACAATCAGCAGTTGATGAAAAGTGAAATATGCGATTGATTAGTTAACCGTTAAGGAATGTCGTACAGGATGTTACGTTTATTGGCACAGTATCCTATAAAGATAATACATACTTGTTGGTGACCAACTGATTTCAATGATCTAGCTTTTTTACGTTTGTCTTTTTATTACTATAACATGGATATTAATTAGATAAGAATGATATTTCTGACTATAGATGCACACTTTTAAATAACATTCAGAGGAAACAGCAATAAAAAAAACGATGATTGTTAAGGAAAAGATAAGTAAACCGTACAGAAATATCACAGTTTTATTTGTTATATTTCTGAAATTCACGCTTAGTTCACAATGAATAGTATCTTTTGAGTTTTGAATAGTGTAAGAGAAGTTAGATGCATAGGATGAATTGGGTGACATCTACAGTAATTATTTTCCTTCAAAGGAAGAAAAACAATCTTAGATTTAATAAACACAACAATTAGAAAACGAAGTAGTAATCCCTATTACGTTATTCAAAGGAAGGTAAAAAACTACAAGAAAGGACTTACCAATAAAACATTTACGATCACGAAACAATGCAAATCTGGCTTCTCGATCAGGGGTCATTGATATCCAAAATGTCTTTAACATGTGATATTCGCGACTAAGAAAAAATAAAAACGTAAAGTATACCATAAATAGAAAAGTGAGTCCAATAAATCACTGATAATTCAAGGCTTATGACAAGGGTGAACCAATGAAAACGAATATCCACATGATATCCATATCACTATGTAATGACGAATACGATGTCAAACCTTGCATCATCTAAAACAAAACTAGCTGTATTGTTCAAAGGCATAACTGTGAAGGAACGAAATGGTGACTTCAAAGATTGATAACACTTATTTCTTGTATACAGTTGAGTCGCTTTATACATTTAAATCAAGAAAGCATGAAAATGTTTTCAGAATACAATTTAATTCATTGTATTTCGTTGCTTTTCTCTTCATCTATACATAAGCTAGTCGATTTAGCCAAAGTATACTAATATTGTGCATTAGAAAACGTGCTTTATTAAATAGTAAAGTAAGGATCTATGAAGAATATAGTTACAAAAATGAAATATTTCGGATTAAAATCATTGATTAATAACTATCATGGAAAAAAAGCAGAAATGAAATGAGAAAACAAGCTATTTATGCTTGTTCATTTTTGATGATGACGCGAGTTGCAGGTTAATCAATGCCATTTTCTAGGTTACGTTTAAGTCCTCTTGATAGCCATTGCTTTTGTTTAAAGTCTCATGGGGAATAATCGTTATTTTAAAATTCAGTTTCATCTTCATAACGAATTACAAGTATTTTAATCTTCACTTGAAAGTACGGTAAGTTGTTGGCAGTAAAATAATAATATATTTGTGATATTCTAATGAGCGGAAAATTGAATTTCTGGAGTTTTATAACTCCAGCGTAATGAACGCTCCAACACACATATGGAACAACTTGACTTATTATCTACTCTGAGTAGTACACACTGAAGTTTTTGAATAATGGGATTCAAATTTACGATTCGTTGAGAACATTCGTACAGAAATGCTATAAGACTTAGCTAGAGAATTCCAAAAATGGAATGCATTACATGTTACAACTTCTACAACGAGACGCCATATTTTATTATGATAAAATGAAATATCATTCGGACATTCGTTTGACATAAAAATACTGAAAAAACTCTCAATGTTAATATAGCTTGAATTATCGTAAACAATGGTTCAGTGGAATATCTCATGAATAGTACATTATAAGCATTCGAATATTAGACTATAAAAGACAAATAATTGATTCAACCAATAATGAAAGTCGATTTGAAAGCGTTAGATCATGAAGGAAAAATTAATGACCAACAATGAAAGTCAACAACATGAACATTTCTCTCTCTATATATATATACACGACTCGAAAGGTCACAACAACACTTTTTAAATGCTTTGAATCATACATCTACACACACGTTTATTTTCTCTGATGATTTCCAAATGAATAAAAACAAAACCAAAATTAAATAAAACAAGTCGTTTTTGTCTTAATTAGTAAACAAAACTTGATCATATGCGAAATCGATAAAATTAACTGACGAAAAAAAAGCAACAACAACAACAACAATAATAACAACAAGAAAAACTATCATCATTAATACGGATGACTCATGGAAAGTTGAAAAATTATTTTTATTTCCAGTTTAACAAATAAATTCTTATTAGTTTTAATGAAACCTTTGACGCGGTGAATCAATCATATTGAGAATATTGATTGAAAGAAAAGAAACTTTTGACTGAAAGAAAAGAAAGCGATTCTAATTTATTAAGGTTGGTTCAATGACTAGCAGTGTCATACAAAAGACGTACATTTATGTTATTTGAAACTTATCAGCTAAGTATCACTTAAATCAAACTATTGATGGGACTTGAAGCGATCACCTTTAACTTTGCACTTTAACATATGATACACTAGGCTATAGAGAGACTGTTCAACTGCAGTTCTCAATATCAACAGTAACAACAGGAAGACACATACCATAATAAACTAAATCATTTTAACTGTTTATACTTCATGGGATTTTAATTTGAAAGCTTCAAGTTCAGATATACACTAACTGAGAAGAGAAGTATAAATAGGCCTTGAAGTTTTATGAAAATATAACCTTCTGCTAGCGTAATGCTACAATATGTTACCGATAGTATTGAAAGTTATATACGGCTAGTGATAGTTTTATTTTTGATTATTAGTATTGGATTTCTACATATTGATAGCACAAAGTGTATGAGAGGCGCATACAATCAGCAAATATTGACTAGAATGTATGTGTGACTGCTATTCAGCTATGCATCTTAAAATTTCTTATCCGTATAGCAGTGAAAACGTCGAAGAAGGTAAGTCATAATGTAAGGATCCTCAGTGGAAATACAGGTTGATAGAGGGAAATATATACCTTTTCTCAACTTTCAATCTTTCATTTTCTTCTGCTGTGTAGGTCCATTGATAATAACCAAGTAGATACTTCCATACTATCGGTTTTAAATCATCCTCAATACCCTGAATGAAAAAACAGTAAGAAGAAGAATGGTAAAAATGCAAACAAAAAACGCTGATAAATGTACACTATAGAGTAGGTAGCTCGGATAGTTAGATGGACAGTAAGAAATTGTTTGTCTGTCTGTGATTATAATATTTCTGTCTTTGTGAAGTGGGTGTAGAGGCTTTTAATTCTTCTTTTGAAATATTAGGTATAACGAGTTTTCGCTTTATTAAAAATACGAGTTGTTTTTCTTTTACACAGTAGATGAGACATTTTCCAGCAGTTTTTACAAATAGTGGTTGTAGCATTGAAGCGAATTCTACAGTGCTAAATGATTTCCCATGTAAATTAAAGTTTTAACAGTGAAATAAAACGGATGCATATAATTTACTTGAAGAACATGCTGTATGAGAACTATTCAGTTTTGACCAATATTTTTAATAAAGTAACAAATCGGTTTATTTTTGCTCTGAATAAAGTTTATTTCTCGAAAGGAAGAATTATGGATGTGATACTTTTGCCATTAAGTTGTTTAAGTTAGAAAACCTTGTATTGAAGATAAAATTGTTATTTAAAAAAAATAAATTGTATTTTCATCGAACTGCTGACGTATAATAGTAGTAAGTTGTTATTTATAGTTAAAATAGATGACTAATATGTTTAATGATGAATATTGTTTTAATTTTTAAGAATTTTGATAAATAAAAGCGTAAGTTTCTATTATTATGTTTTAAAACAGATGGCTAATATTATCTTCATTCAACTACCATCATAAGAGATTACAATAAAACAGTAATATCATACGGAAATTGCAGATTATTAAAGATGGATTTAAATAGTAATTTATTAAAAATCTATTGAACCGATTTATAGTTTGATACTTGCACATGGTGTACAATATATATAAAAAAGATGTAACATGTGAGTAGAAAATTAAATAATATGAAACGTTCAATGCATACACAACATCATTGTAGTTAGCATGGAATAATTGATTTTTATGAAACAAAATTATTATCACATATTAACCCTATGAATTATATCAGTGTGATACATTTAATTTCCGATAAAGAGAATCATTTTTATTGGGCAATCTAACTGTCTAGAGTGTGAAAGTAGTAGAAACTTTGTGCAACTATACTTTTCACAAGATTTCGTGAAACAAGTCACAGTTTCATTGAATAAAATTTTTTTGATTAGGATATACTACAATCAAGTAAGATTTAATGTTTTCATAATAGGAATAATCAAGATGCTAGATAATAGTAATAATAAAGCTATTATTATTTAATTAAATTAGAAAAAATTCAATTAAAACGAGCTTAATTTCATTAGATAAACAAAAAGTCATTACATTTAATTGAAACTAATAATTTCTCTGAAATATTAACGGAAAACAGAACATTTTATCTTATGGAATATGAAATCACATGACAATACGATCAGTAAATAATGAATGATAGTAGTCGAATTACTTACTAAGACTCTAAACATGATAATGTAACCTAAGAGATAAATTTCAATAAAAATCAATTTTAAAGAGAGCAATAGTAATTGACTAGGAAGAGAAATATATTCGAAGCTTTATAATAGCTATATCTTAACTGATCAGTTTGTATGCTTGTAAACTGTTGTTCGATGGCAGTTTTTCTAATTAGTCCTTATTGGTAGGTTTTCCTTTAGAGTTAACACTAATGATTATCATTTGTCTTTACCAAAAAGAGCGATTATCGTCTATTATTATAATAAATGCAAAGAACGACCGCGGTGAGTAATTTATCCAATAAAAATAAAACCTCAACCCAAATCAACAAAATAAATCAAATCAATAGGCGGATTTCCAAGGAATCGAACATTCTCAGTAAATATAATTAACTAACAAAGCAAGGTTAACTCACACCATTGAATATTATTTCACGTAAATTTTCCGGTCGATTTACACGACCTTCTGGATCCAATGACTTTTTCCATTGAGTCATATTTAGTGGAGGAGAACGTTGGACAGTGGGCATAGGTGGGAGGGAAATAGGATATGGTCTCTAGAAGGATAATTATAATTGAAAATAATTTATCATCACTTTTTACAAGTGTAATATTTGAAAGTCTAACATGTTGAAAAATCAAATCTCAAAAATTTAGAGTAAGACTTTCCTGTTTCACTTTTTTATCATTATTATTACTAGTGTTAGTGATATTATTAATAATAAGATTCAGATAGAATGGTTGCAGATAGTTAGAAAACCTCTTGCAGTGGTATTATATATTTTTCCATGAGAATTTTCACCATACATGAAGTATAAACTACACGGAAACTATTATTCTTAGCTTTGTGTAAATGGGATTCGACTTTTGATTATTAGGTAAATGATTCCTGTCCTATTTCATTCACATTAACATTAAATAGTCACATCAATTCTCGTAAGTAAGAAGTATGAACTGTTGTAGTCTAGTATTACGAACAGTTAAGTAGTTAATCAGTTAGAAAGATTATTTAATTACTTCGAAACCATAAATGTCATAATTTTAACACTACTTCGAAGGCAGTAAGACAAATTTTTAACGTGGTGTCAAGTCTTCAATGTGTTTATTCTGGATAATTAACACCTAAAATAATGTTTTTTTTTAGATTAGAGATGATTATTTCCCACTTCAATTATAAGTGAAAGATTTACTGTGATAATACAATCACATAGCGATGAAAAACCTTTTTAATTTATAGATAAAAATATTAATAAAAGGTTGATAACTAAGATGAATGAAGTAGCTGAGAACACAATTCTACAGTGAACTTAATGGAAGTGACGCTTCTTCGAAATCCCTTTATAATCAACATCATATGGTTAGTGAAAATGACCAATCGGCTAAAATTATCAAGTATATTATGCAAAGAGAATTATATCATATCAACACAAGTATGAATATCCTGTATCAAACAAAAGCATCACAGAAAATCAAATGATATAACCGCTAAGGACAATAATTTACTTTATTTGTAAATATCTTGAAATTAAGAAAAAAAAACGATGGAATATAAAACGAAATTTAAACTAACTCGTTCAACAACAGCAAATCCTCCTTCATCATCGGTAGTTCTTAAACGTGTAGCTTCGATTTTTTGTAGATCTTCAGCAATACATTTTGCTAAATACTCTTCAGACGAACCATTATCTGGAGTTAAATTTTCATCCATGAAATTAGGTGATAATATAGTACTGACAATTGAATTGACATGTATTCCAAAATTTCTTAATGAAGCACCAAACTGTCCGGAAAACGGTGTTCCAACCAGCCCTGCTTCTCCTACCACTCTTTCGGAACTAAATGGACGTTTGTTATGCACAAAACTAGCAATATAATACAGGTATATTTTTGGTTTCATAAAATCATCATAAACAAACATATGTGAAAGAAGTAAGTAGAAATTATCACTATCTAACATCTTCTTTAAATACTAGCAATTTACCCAGTTTTTATCAGACTAAACAAATTATTCATTAACAATGGATATCTATCTTTTAAATAACTTAATTTCAAAAAAGGGTCTCTAAAATCAATTCGGACTGAAAGTAATTATAATTTACTTTTATTATGCACAGTAATAATGTATAGAAAACGTTTGATAAACTAAATAACAACAACAATAATAACAATCTCAGCAAACTTACGGATCAGGAAGATGGTAATTAGGAGTTAAATTATATTGTGCACGAGGTTTCACAATGTACCGATTATCATCATCAGGACATCTAAATTAAATAGATGGGAATCAGTCGATTAATAAAGCTGTCATTTATTAAATACTTAAACAATAAGATAATGAGCTCATAAACAAAGTATAAAAGAGATTACAGAAATAGTTATGCGTTAAGCCGATAGAGAATAGGATAAAATTGGGTTTCAATAAGTTGAACTATCGACACGTTTTCGGCAGAATATTTGATTTATTGTTACCTATTTGGGTTTTTATTCGATTAAAGCTGATGAAGAACCTATGAACAATCCTATGACTGATGACAGACGTATATAACGTACAACTTGACACAGATATATGTTAATTTTACATTAACATAGAAAGAGACAATCAACAGGATAACAAGCAAAGATCGAAGATAATGACATTTGCGCTAGCGCGAACTAAAGTGAACAAAAAGGCAAGCAATTAAAAGGAGAAAGAGAGAACGAAGAATGTGAAAAATGTGAAAAAAGAAATATATGACCAGTCATGTCACTTGATAGCGTCAAACTATGAATTTTGATTATCTCGTGAACTCTGATAAAGTCAGCATCCCATGACATGTTATATATCAATGACTGGTGATTAATGTGAAGTGAATGTTTTAGTAATTGTGGGATTTAATTTTCAGTGTATTGATTGTGAATTACAATTTTATACATCCAGTAAGATAGTAGTACCAGTCTAGTTCACCGTAAAGATGAGTACACGGGTTTGAGAATGGTTAACGAGTTGTAAGGTTACTTAAACGACTTGGTAGGTAGACTAAGTGAGCAGGAAAGACAACCAGGTGTTCTGCCCATCGACCCAATCTCCTGGATTGAGAATAAATAATAGTCCCCTCATTTTCCGAGATAGTCTCACTTACAGTAGGATTCCAAATACCAGTTTCCTTGATAAGTCGGAAAAGTTTTCTACTGTTGCCTATCGCCACTGCCTTTTATATCGCTTTCGCCACCCACCCTGTTCACGGTCGTTGCGTAGGCTTTTTATCAGCCTGCGCCGAAGCTGACCTCGTTTTTCATCATGTTCAGAGCCAGGTGGGATGAGTTTTCGACCATCCATCAGTTTGGTGGATGAGCATTAAAGTCACCAGCCATTATTACTACGGCAGATCGCCTAACATTTTGGAGGAGGTTCGAAAGCTTTCTGTAGAACGCATCTTTCATCTCGTCTGAACTGCAGTCAGTGGGGGCATAGGCAGATACGATGAAGAGGCAATGACGGGTGGTACCTATGGCGATGGCGCGAGATTCTATTGCCCTAGCTAAGGAAGCTTGTTGCCCTACTTGACACAATGTCCGTACATCAAATGCTCCAACATGTAGATTAGAACGGGGTTTCAGGAGACCAGAAATGACGTTTCTTGAACTCGCATCTTTTGCATTAGCTGCGCAGTGAGCTGAAGGAATGCGGCTAGAGTTTGTCGTGGAGATAAGAGAGATATTAGGGGGTGTAGGAAGGATTTGATTTTGACCAATGCGGTCTCGGGTGCTGTTACGGGTATGAGGGCAGTTGTCACTTCCCGGTTGTTCACACCGTGGAAGGTTGTTTCTTGAGGGACCTGGGAAGGAGGGTAGAATAGTGTTGGTCTTAGAGACCTGGATGCGTGACCGCAGAGCCCAGGGGACAACTGCTTGAGGCCGGTCACGCACGGCCTTTTTATGAAGGGTTATTTGAGTATTAGCTTCGCTCTTAAAAGCCCTTAGTGGGCACCCTTACCACCGGGGACGGAAATCCGTGAGGTAGGGTGAAGTGTGATATTTTTAGGGTCGACATTTTCTAATCCTTCATTCCTTGTGAGAAGGTAGCATCGTTGCAGATGCTGGTTGGCCGATGGAAACACCTTACTGCTGTCACACCTCTCTGATGTCAGTAGTACGACTTCGTCCTCAGACCTTGAGTAGCTGCTTTTAGTCTCATCGTTCTCCAATCGACCTGCCTGTCATGGTAGAACCTTCAGGAACATATGTTCCAGCCAGTATAGCTTGGCTGGGTCATCACGATAGGCAAGCCTGACCACCACGTCAAGGTAGCAGCTTCGGTCGGGAGATGTAGTATTGAAACTTCATCAGTTGAGCAGGTTGAGACATGTTTTACGTATGCCTAACCACCGACTTCCTCGACGTGCTTTGTTTTGTGGTGTATGAGTAGGTTGGAAGAAACTTAGGGGCGGCCAGACCAAAACATGGCAGAAATGCATGAGGTCACTGAAAAGTGGACTGAGTCATGGAGGAAGATGCAGGCTACCTGGTTAGGGTGCACGAGGCGAAAGTCACCAATGGTTAGAGACCTTGAACGACATGGCTCAGAACGGTTCGCAATGGCGCAGGTGGATCCACTCTTTACGTTCTTCAAAATCCCAATCTTCTGGATTTCTCAACATTTCTACCTTTGCGTTTCTAAACTTATTTCACTGAATTATACTTCTTCAATAATGTCTTGGAACCCTAATCTTCTGCTTTACCAGTAGTACTTCTAATATGTCTACCACTATGAGATTTGAATTGACAATTGCGTCTGTGTGCTAATGTGGTATGGCAACATGAACTGATGTACTTAAGTACGAAGTTCTACGTTGCAACTGACTGACTGAATCAGGAGTAATGGTACGGCTATCAGCACTCCATAATCTAGACAAATATTGATTAAATAACCATAATAAAAGTAGTTGGACGTTAAAATCACCAATCGATAACGATTCTCAGCGTTCATGTAAGCTTTAGACTTTAAGAACCCGACAAACATTTCTTCAACATTTGTATCGTATGGTTTCATTGATTTAATCGCACTAAGAGTCTTTTTGTGACCGACGATATGAAGCATGAAAACTCATTACTCAACGCACGAAAGGTGCTTTTGTAAGGATTAGGATGTTTCTCACTCAACTTTTCTCAGTAAAAATCATGCTTTATTCCTGTTTTAAGGCCTAAGTACAAAATCGAATCAGTTCATATCTGTTGAGTTTCACCGATATGCTTTTAGCCGACTTCTAACAAAGATATACTAAAAACCACTTTATATTGATCGAAATACGAAAAGTGGCAGACTAACTACGATATCCAGTAAACAGTGAGCTTTCCAATATAATTTAACTGACAATGTAGAGTGAAACTGACTATAGTAGCAAGGTACGGAGCAAATTAAAATCGTTTAGTCCACTAAATAACGTAACTAGGTATTATGAAGTCCAGGAAAGGTTGGGGATTCCAAATGCACTCACCTTCTGACATCAGCTAAACTACTTAAACTTAGCAAAAATGATTTTGAACCACCTTTACGGAATTCAAATGGCCCATGATGTTTTCGTGATTTTAAGGATAAATACACTCCAGAGCAAGGAAAGCATGGGGCCTTCCGTACAACAAGAAAATCCATATCCCTAATATCAAATTCATAACCCTTTCTATCTTCTTGTGATAATGATGAGTCTATAAATAAGATTATCCAAATTAAAATGACAGTAAAATTTACCTTGATCATGATGGGGTACCCAGTGAATGCTTACTTTTGATCCCTAAGAAAAATCATAATTATAGATGAAACATATACTAACATGGTCAGTTAAGAACAATGTTCCTTTGATTGAAACACTGTCTTCTGGGTGTTGGTTGGAAATATGCATCAAGTAGACGTCCTCCCATTTTCTACATTCACTATTTCCAGCTCCGTTCTAAAAAATTAAGAAATTATCCACATAAACTGAACCGTAAGAAAAATGAACGAACAACTGACAATATTGATAACATGGGAAAACAGGCAAAGAAATTAGTAGTGCCCTGTGATCTTATGTGCTATAAGAAAAGTTACTTTTATGATTTGGTAAGTTTTTTAAATGCCTAAACAAAAATGCTTTTGTCAGAAACACAAGTGGTAGCAGAATAGGCAGAAATTTTGGAATAAGAATGGTGCAGGTCCATTCATTCTTTGTCTTCTCTCATGATTTTTTAATTTATTTATAACTAAATTAATTTCACTGGACTAAAATTCTTGAATAATATCTTCGAACCATAATTTTTTCCATTATCGCTAATAATTTTGCTACTTTGGGATTTAAATTGACCATTCGATCTCTGTGCTCATGTGGTATGGCAACTTGAACTGATGTACGTACGTACGAAGTTCTACATCGTTAAAGCAGCTTAACTGATTACTGTTGAGCTTATACACTATCCTTATTATGACTGCACTTTTATACTCTTAGATGCATTAACTTTTGCTGATGCTTTATCCCATGCTTTTAGTTTAAAACTTCAAAGAACATTAACATTTGCTATTTTCATCCTGGTGTGCATTTAGTCACCCGGGATTAGACTCCCATTTGGACGAACAATTGAACATGGTAAGAAATAAATCTTTCATTTGTTTTCCGTACTTTATTCTAAGGCTAACACCATTTGTGAGACAGTGGTAATAAAAAACCCGATACGGTAACGGTTGGATAAATTTATTTCATATATTTGCGTGAGCAGAGTGGATTAACTAGTTTGTTTAAAGGCTGGGACAAGCCACATAGGCTCGACATAATAGTGCACATGACATGCCTTATGTGATAATATCTTGGGTCCCCGCATGTATGTAACGCGTTGTGCGCTGCTGAAATTAGTCTAATAACCCAGTTGTAGCGGTATTTTTACCTTCCTGATTAGGAGTTATGGTTGTCTACTGTCGCTCACCATTTCAGATACCAAAAGGTTTCCCAAAACAATTCACTTATTTCCAAAAGCGTTAACTGTTTGAAGCCTACCATAATTCCTTGCACAATTTCGTTTGCTATGCAGGTATGAACTATGTGCTAGACCATGACAACATCAATTTTTCCTCTCATACATCTCATCTGTCATAAAAATTAGCTAAATCCATCATAAGTCAGCTACTCATCCTTTTTTAAACGTAATAAAAAAAAAATAGGAATTGATTTTTTTGGTAACATTTTGTTATTGATGAAACAAGAGAACGATAGTAATAACGTAAACGATAACTGCTTCCATACATAATCTAACGACATTTTACCAATAGAAGATGAACCAATTATGTACTTACAACAGAGACCTAACAACATACGAATAAAATGAGCTCTTATTATCAAAAAAGTGGGAAACCCTGGAGAATTCGAGCTAAACGTTGCATGATTTTAAATATGAATGGCTCAAATGTTAGTCTAGTTAATAAATGAGGAACTGAAATGCTACTTAGGTAAGTAACGAGGACAACAGACGGAATCCTAGTAATATTACTAACATGTAACATGTCTTTTTGTATAATTTTTGGTCACACTTAATGGACATATTTCACATCCGTATGGTAGGACGGAGTAAACTGGTACACAGTAGACTCGTCTTTCAGTTAGTAGAGGAATACCTGAAAAAGATGTTGGATTAGCGTTTGTCTGAGTGACCTGGGAGCGTGACTACAGGGACAATTTCTTGAGGCCGGTCAAGCACGACGTTTCCATGCGAAATTTTTAACGTGTTAGCTCCGCTCTTCAGGCCTTACTGCTGGAGACGGGAATCCATGCAACAAGGTGGGGTGTGACATTTTTGCGGTTAACCGTATTAACCCCTAAATTCCATTGTGAAGGCAGTGTCACTGTCGATGCTAGTTGTCCGAGGGGAACACGTTACTTCTATTACATACATCTACAGTCAGCAGTACGGCTTTGTCCTCAGGTCTTAAGCTGCTGCTTCTAGTCTCACCGTCCTCTGAACGACCTACCTGGCATGGTAGGATCTAAAGGAACATATCTGCCAGTCCAGTTTGGTAATCACACTAGGCAAGCCCGATCATCACGTCAAAGTAACAGCTGAGGTCAGTATATTTTGCTATTGACTTGCAACAAAGTTTGTGTACTAAAACTCACTTTATTGTCCCTGATTATTTTTCGGTACGCAACTTTAATGCCTCGTTTATTTGATTGGCTGCGTTTAATCATATTCTAGCAATAATAACGATATACAATTACATATATAACGTGGAACAGCCTAGTTTACTACGCAAATTAATCAATACTTCATGAGAGGAACGTAACAAACTGTTGTATACAGTTTGTAAGGGATTTTTGTAAAACTTTAAAGGCATACTAGGCCAAACCAAAGATATTTCTTCAGCATAAACGAAGATCTGAAGGGGACATCTCTCTGTTTGCATCAAAGTTTTTGGTCAACGACGAGTGACGTGAAAACTTTCACTCAAAATCCGAGTATATGCTAAAGAATTTTTGCGGTATGATGTTGGATCAATCGGAACAAATTAATTAGTCCATTATTTGTTGTCATTTCCGATTACTTAAAGAGTCGATAGAAAGTAGTTTAGGAGATAGAAATTCTTCGGAGTCATGGGCCAAGTGTCGTTTGCGCGACTTAGATTTTAGGTTTTGAGATCAGAGCACATACTCTGTTGATTCATATTTTCAGCACAAATCTCTTTCTATTACAACTTTAATCCATCTTGCACCGTAAGTTGCAATTAATGACAGCACTCACTAGATTTTATAGTGAAATTCCGTCTCGCATTTCTTGAATAAAGCTTATGAACCCAACTCCACTGAGGTGCAATAATTCAAGCGAAACAACCAAAATGAATTACTGACATGTAGAGATGTAAAGAGAGAAAACAAGACTGTGGTAATGGAAACGTCAGGGTTGAGAAAACCAGACCAAAGAAATCGGTAAAGTTCAAGGGCACATCCACATTTATGAATATACAAAAATATTTGATCACGTTTTTATGTAACTACTTATAAATCACATGGAACAGACTGGTAATTTATACAAAGCAGTTTATTCAAGCTGTAATGGAAAATAATGTTTCAAGTCATACAAGTAGGTGAAGAAGTTAATTTATGCTACTGAATTTAATAATGCTACGCATAATTACCATATGTTAATAGCTTAATCGACGAACCACCCGCGCTGATCATCTGCTAAACTTATTAATCTAATAACCAATGTCCAATATCTTTTCCACGAGCGAGCATAAACTATATGGTTTATTTGCGCTCGACTCTTGTTCTTTCGACACAGTTCCAGGTATCTGGTGGTGTCTAATGCACAAATGTCAAGCCACTCAACTGAACTAATTCTGGTCAAGTAGCAGTTATCTATGAATTTGTACGTCCTGTGATGAGTGAATATGTTTATTTCAGGGCAGCCTGATTTTGGAATATCAGCAGCTATCATATTACCAGGTTGTAAGTCAGTTATTTGTTATGTGGAGAATAATGAGAAAAGTTTAACGCTGCTAAGATTTGAGAGCGAAGTAAATAAATGGATAACATCATGATTGGAAATTGAGTTAATCCAAAAAATTGTTGAAGAAATAGTAATTTTTGGCCAAGAGGTTTCCTTTTCTAGTATACCTTCAGTTATATAAGACATGAAGCGACATATATGAAAACGAGTCGGAAACAAGAAGAATTTTGTCAACTGGGTGTTGCGAAGAATGATTGAATTTTTAATTTACTAACTTCAAATACCTAAGATTGTCAAAAAAAAATCAGAAACATGGAATCCAAATATAAGGAGAAGAACCAGTCCAGGAGCTTGATATCAAATACCTGTCTTTTGTTTTTCCACCTCCTTTGCATACCATTGTTTCGTTACTTTACAAACGCGGTACGAACTATTGTGACTTCAGAAGGTACTTTTCCGCAGTGAAAATCACGTGTAGGTTTCCTCACTTGGGGGTTGTAACATCTATAAGCTTGGATATAGGAACAAATCAGAAATGTAACCAAAACGTTCCATGCTGTGGATGGAAGATGACTATAAACTCCACCGCAAACCAATTATTTTCTAGTCTTAACACGTTCTCCTGTCATGAATTAAAAACAGGGAGAAAACGATGGTCCAGATTAAAAGGAAAAATTCGCTGGAGATTCCAAGGTGTCGAAAGAATACCGACACGGTGCCAGAGAAAATGAGCGAAGTTTCAGAGCGCCAAAAGCAAGATTGCAACAAACCAAAACAGAAAGTGAACGTACAAATGTTCAGTAAATCAATCACTGGTACAATCGGTTATATTAATGAATGTTTATATTTCTTCGTAAAAGCAGAGTAATTTGAGTAGCCCCCCCCCCGTTAGAAAGGATTTACACTGTGGATACGTAGCGGCTTGATCGCGTGAGTGATCGGCCGAATTCTGTAATATGAACTTCACAGGTGTGTTGAACCTGTTACCTGCAAATTCAGAACACCATTTAACTTCAGTTCATTCCGGGGCCAGTGAAATATACTGCTTACCTCCGAGTTAGCAGTGAGAAAATTGAAATCCATGTGCCCTGGAAAATTTACCATCCGCTGAAGCACTTAGATTACCCGTATGTCATCTTTTCAATCAATTTCATTTCTTCAACATTCTAATCACAACTGTCTCCTCAGGACGCGATCTCGGTTTAGTGACCACAGAGCCGTTGGACACCAGTTCAAATGACGTAGGCATCTAGACAATGCGAACGTAGCCCCTAATTTTATGAAAGACATTTTAGCTCGGTCACCTCAGAAACGTTCTTAGCTCTCTTTCAGACGTACCGATAGCTTCACCATGGAGTTTAAAAAATTGTTGAACCGTAGTTCCTTCTCTTGCACCAGGTGCAGAAAAGTGTAGCTAAATAGGTGATAGGATTACAAAGTAAACCTTATGAATATCAGCTTCAGAATTTTGGATTGTTCTCTCGGGGTTACATGATAATAATATGTGCTTTGATAATTGCACACTGCACATTAGGTACGATGATTTAACCCAGCATGGGCATTATGCTAGAATACCAGCATCACGTCCCTCGAGGTTGCTATAGAACTATTACGCATCAAAGAACAACCAACCAGGTACGCTCCTGTTCATTCTCATTGATAGTTATCCATAGTTGGAATGCTCCTCCAGCCAAACTCGCCACAGCGCTCTCTAGCTTGTTGTCATTTTTTTATCCCTACACATCGATTCTCCCACACAGTCTAACCTGTAGTAATATTTATCTGCTTTGTTTTGAAACATTTTTCCGATACTTAACATCAGCATTTTCTCTCTGTCAATCTTCACATTGCAAATAACTAATCTCCGACCTGGTAACATGATAGCTGCCGGCATCTCAAAAGCAGGCTGCTCTGAAATAGACACAGTCCCTCAAATCACGGGACATACGAATTCCTAAATAACTGCTAATTAACTTATTGATGAAGTCGAGTGGCAAAACTAACATCCATTGGATATTACCATGACTTGGAACCGTACCGAAACAACAGCAAGCGAGCGCGGAGAAATTACTTGGTTTAGACTAGGTCATGGAAAAGTTCTTGGCTATCCGAAAAATAATTAGGGACAAGATGAATTGAGTTTCTGTACGCACAGAAATTGGTACAAATCGATACCAAAATATATATTTGCCAAAGTTCAGTGGACCTTTATTCTTTTCGGAAGGCTATTCCCTTGATTTTTCACCCAAAGATACAATCCAAAAAGAAGTTTATCATTATTAGGAGATATGGTTTCATAGTGGCCAGTAGGTCCATCTTCTATTTCTTCCCTCAGGATCTTGATTCAGATGTAAGCCGTGAATCAGAGTTTTCTGACTCCGTTAGACAAATCGTCGGTACCCACCTGCCTGGTTTAAGTATCCGACGTTAGCGTTAGTCCTCTGACTTTTTAAAAATGAGTCTCGCATCGCAAAATATCGTGTGTTTCATTGATTCCTGCTATTTTAAGTTTGAATGGTCGATGAACATATTTATAATCAGCTACCTGGTCACACTTCATGTAAGCTGAGTATCATATACTTCTTGTTAACTAATTTTTAGAATGTGTTAACCTTTGAGAAATCATGGGCTTGTGAGAATACTGGCTAGTGATCATTGTCTTCCTACTTCAACCGAAATTTATCCTTAAAATTGAAGAAATTATTATCCTCCTATTATAATCAAAAAACAAATTTCATTGATAATCGCTACATCACGATAGTTCTTTTGATATTTTGTATATTGAAGAACCTTTCTCGCAAATACGTCCATAGAATATCTTAGTATGCCGTTTCTATATTTTCATCACCTTCTAAGTGATAATTTTTTATATATGAGGTAATGATCATAGAAGTCGTTTTTACAACACGACCTTCGACTCCTCACCAGCTGTTATCCGTTCAGTGTAATTGAGAAAGAAAAACAAATCTCTTAGTACAATAGCTTTCTATGGGCAATGAAGGGTACGTATTGCTTTTTGCGATATAGTCTTATTTGTAATAAGCATACGGTTCATATAAAAAATACAATATCCATGAATCTGATAAGTATGCAACTGAATGATGCGGGAAAAATTGCCGACTTGTTTGTTTTTATAGTTAAGTAGATTTCAGTTAATCTTTAACACTTCTAACCACTAAATGAGGAATAGAACAATTCGTTGTTCTCCATATTTAATTGTTCTTTGAATGGATTCAGCTGAGAGTGCAAGCTTATCAATAAACGCCCCGTAGCTTTCCATTCTGTTTCCCGTTCTTCGTTGGTTTGTCGTCTAAAAATAAATAGTTTTTTAAGTAAAAAATACTGCCACGCGAAAAAATAAACAGATAAAACAGATAAATGACGAATAAGTACTTTATCGTTCAGATGGATATTTTTCCGTGGGTGTGTTTTAACTGAAGTTGTTCGTTGCTATGGATGATACTTGTTTTAAAACTATTAAGGACGAAAAATTATTGGTAAACTCGTTTGTCACGGTTTAAGATTCCTTATCAGTGCGCACCTACATAAGCAATGTCAGAACCTTCGAGCATGATACCTTTAAACTAGTATTTAGAATCGCATTGATCTGGTATTCATTCAAATGATGACATACCTCAGTCACCATGTGACACTGCTGATGATAGCCGCTTTATTCACCAGTACTCACAGAACCTCCAGGTGACGTCAAACAATGACGAAATACATCTCGAAGAATCTCAGTAATCTTATATCAAGTTCAATACATTTATTTAGTAAAATACTTTATGCTTATAATTTTGTAAGAAGAAATAACTCATATGAAGAATAAATTTTTAGAAAACGGAAAGGTTATGAAGTACTTATCTGAGGCTCGATCCGATAGCATTTTAATCACTTGATTATATTTTGAATAGAGTTTTCGGTAAAAATCACTGTGTCTGGGTCCTAATTTTTTTCTTTGACACAGTTATATTATTATATCAATCATATAATTACTACTTGGATAACATTCACACAGTTTTGATAATCTTGGTCCACTGAGGTTTGACTGAGTCTTATAGTGATTTATTATAAACAATTCAATTCAATCTAGTTGGTTACATTCAAGCTGTATAAATATTTCAGATAAATGGTAAGTGGGCGGGAAAATGCTAGATATTGCATAAGTATTGAATATTGAGTAGTAGCTGCGCTGGGAATTCTTAGATATGTATCTTATCCAACAATCTACTATTTGTTATTTCGATGTTTAACAAATAACTTGACTGTGCACGTAAATAGAACTTTGGAGAAATATTATTCATGAAATATAATTAGCACTACGATTTAAAGAGTTACGTGCAAATAGATTGTCGAAATGAAGTTACTTCTAGGAATTTAAATAACTGGCCACTTACTATAATTAAAGTGAACTGTATTTTTTAGCATACTATGTGAACAAACTTCTAGAAACATATTACTATAAACTTCTAACCTCCATTTAGTACGACGATTTTGGAACCATGTTTTCACTTGTACATCGGTCATTTTCAACAAGTCTGCTAGTTCATTCCTCTCTGTTGAAGCCAAGTACTTTTGTTGACGAAACTTCCTTTCAAGTGTTGTCACCTGTCAGAGTGTCAGTAAAAACAACCAAAAATTTACTATTTGTTTGAATTATCAGCAGTTAATTTTTAACAAAACGTGACAAGCATAAACAACAATTACGTTAAGCGTTCCATCTTTTCATTTATTCATTTAAATGTTGTTGATTGTGCTAGAATAGGTGTACGAAATGAGCTGGAAGTATCAGTTAATAGTTATCAGTTAAGATTATTGAATGTAAAACTAACTTACCTCTCGTACCATATCCTTTCGCCTATCCATTCAATTGGTATTCTTATCTATACAAATAACTTAGAATAATTCTAGGACGAGTGTATCAAGAAATTTCATCTTCTGGACTGAATTGGAGTGGTGACGAAGAGTCATTTCACCACCGTTTAATACTAACAGCAGATGATTCAAATGAAACACTAGTAATTTTTGACTTCTTTTGGAAGTGTACACTGATTGGGTTGTCTAAGCTAACAGTGTATGTGCATTTATTAAAGGTCAAAGTATTTCAATGGAATTTAGAAAAAATGTTATTCAGCAACTGATCATATCGTATTCTAAAAGAACTAACAACATTTCTGATAGCATAGGGAGATACAGTATCCTTAATCAGAATAAGAGAACGTTTGCTTCAACATTGCTGATGAGTCACTATGGAAGCTATGAAAATTTATTCATACATAAAATAGAAGGAAATGGTTCATAAAATAATGTAAATTTGTAGATGATAAAATCACATATTGAGATATACCTATAAATGTTGCATTTGAATATATATATATTTTGAAATACACTTTTTAATACTCCTATTTCAACCTCTTTTTATAGCGATTTGTCAAGCAGGAAACTATGACTAGGTATTTCAGTATTCCAAGTTTTATATATTTACAGCACCCTTCACAATCAACTTCCAGTCTTGATCAATCAGCAAAGTATATAGGATTTCAAACTTCATTAATTAATGTAGTTGGAAGACATTTATCAATTCATCTCGCAATGTTATGTTGTTAAAGTTCTTAAAAAACACATTGATAATAAAATGCTGTGAAAATCTATAAAGTACAATTACCAGTTACCCTACAGAATGAATGTTAATACTCATTTATTGAAATGGAAAGTGACAAAAAGCGATGTAATGAGATTACTACTACTACTACTACTACTACTACTACTACTACTACTACTACTACTACTACTACTACTACTACTACTACTACTACTACTACTGTGGTGCTGTGGTGCGAACTACTTATAAGTAGTATATAACGTGAGTGTCAACGTAAAGTCTGGTAGCATAATATGGGGGGAAGATCAAGAAAGGAAGAGTTAGAAAACAATGGAATTTGTATGAAACGCATGAATAGTGATAATGGATTGATGTTTGGCAACAGGAACAGTCCAGTTCCGTAGGATGAACTGATCTTTTGCAAATGAACAATTTACGATATGGTTTTCCGATTTTACTGAGTTACTCTGTAATTTTCTTTAAATACAATTCGGTTGCCCCACCTGTGTTCTCATTCACTACACTACTACTACTACCACTACTACTACTACTACTACTACTACTACTACTACTACTACTACTACTACTACTACTACTACTACTACTACTACTACTACTACTGAAAAACACTTATTAACTCCTTCGTAATAATCGTCTTCCTGCTTATCTACCCATTAGTGTATTGATCGAATTTCAAACATTGTTTTCATATAGTCACTAGTCTAAGTGGCTCAGTATCACTTGATCGAATTAGAATGGAACATTAACGGGTCATTCTTGTCCAGACAATAATAGATCGCTCACGATTTTGATGAGGACTGAAGAACGTTTTTCAGGTTGACTTGTGCGTATTCCATTAATTTTCAGTATCTTCACTGAAAATGAATCTCAGTAGCTTTTTCAACAAATCTAACGAACTATAGTTCTTCTCGATTGTGTTACGAATAGAGGTTTCAATTATGTTGGGCTTTTATATTCACGAATTCGGTTGTTTATAACAATGTGTCGGAAATGAATTGTTGTGTGGTGGATAAAATGCTGGGGTTGATAACCATTACTAGATGACAGTTAACAGTGCATGAAATCCAGAAGACGAAAAAGAAGCGCTGATGGAGTTTACATCGCACCACACTGATCACAAAACCACAGGGATACGAAATGAAAGCCAAATGACATGGAAATGCTGAGGAACGAATGAATAGGATTAAAATGTTCACTTATATGTGGGAAAATGAATGGGTCAACGAATTATTTAAGTGACTAACATCAAAACTAGTAGAATGGACATGTGTGTAGGCTGTAACCAAAAAAACAAGCATACATGCTCATGCAAACGAGGAAATAATAAGAGTACAAACGTACAGACAAGTTACTGCTGCTTGAATGTCTTTCTTTTAAATAAGTTAAGAAAAGGGTTTCGCCAAATTAAATATAAAAAGAACTTAAATGTATATGGAGTGCGATAGTTGCAAGTGGCTACTTTAGAATCTGAGACACAGCAGCTCATTTAGGTATGTGCTTAAAAAAAATAAAAGTCATAAGAAACGACCTTATTTTATACGAATTACCAAAGTAAAGAAAGTTTATTTTATCAAAATGAATATGCACACATTGCTTACTTGATATCTTGTGAATGATGCTCTTGGTTTCTTTCGTTTTCGAGGTATTCTACTTTGATAAGGATGTCCAATTCGTCTTGGTTCTGCGTAAATATTATTAGGTAAATTAATAAGCGATACAAACGAAAATAGTGTTTTACAGTGCAGAAACCACAAACATAAACTCCTACTAGTATAGTTTCGAGCTTAAACACAATACAATGATGTGTATATTTTATACAGTAACAGTCTGTACTACTGTTTCCCTCCACAAATTTCAACAAAGCAAGAACAACAGTATTTAAAGAGTATGGTAGATTGATTGCATTTTGTGCTTCTTCTTCTTCATCTGCACACAAGCTAATAAGTACGACAGGTACATGGAACCACTTTATATCAAAATCATTTGAAACTTTCTAGAAGTACAAACTGTAATGAAAATTAAAGTTTTAGAGGTTATTTTTTATCAATAATTCCAATAGTACAGAGAATAATTAGACTGCGGATAGCAGTAAAATCCAGGACAAGCGTTTCATCCTATATAAGACATGTATGTTGGATGTACCTGCATCTTGTCGTTGATATTTAATCCAAAGTCCGATCCTGGTAGATTTAGCTTCAAATGCTCGAAGCATTATCTTATTAGCTACTGAATTTAGATAACTATTGATTTGTGAAATGGTCAAAAATTTTAATTCGACTTGTAATGGGCTTGTATTATCCCATTGTTGGTAGTTCAAGTAAATTTTATTCCGAAAACACTACTGACTGAAATGAAATTCTGCAAATACTGTTATGACTGGTTTGTTTTGAATAAGCACTGATCGTAACAACTATACAGAGTAAGATATTTTTATACACTAACAGTTCTCTCTTATCGAAATGACAAAAATAATCTTAAATGTTGGAAATATTGTAGGTGAATATGTGCGCAGCGCTATCATATATCTTGCAAGGATTCATTGTATTTTAGAGGCTAACAGTTCACTACCGCTTGTAATTATCAAAGACATATTACCTATAAAAGTAAAAAAAATTTACACTTTTAGATTATTGAACAAACATTTTTTTTCGAATAAATAATAATATCATTATTCTGAGCATTGAAATCCGAACAGTATAAGAACCTACCAATAATATTATCTTTGGATAATTGATTTAAAATATCTTTTGGATTATTTGTAAATAATACATGTGTTAAATATTTCATAATTACCGGATTCGTTAGATTATATTCTTTTATATATCTTGTAATTGCTTCATTAAGGAAATGATTACCAGTGGTGGGGTATTTAAATGACTTTAATATGTTTATAAATCGTTTAAATTGTATAGAATTGAAAATTTGTTGAATATTTTCATAATTATCATCACCTGTTGTTGTTGTTGTTGTTGTTATCGACTGAAATGCTTGTTTTATGCTAGAATCTATTGTAAACTCTTTCAAAGCAGATGAATTCAACGAATGAATGAAACGTGAATTGTTTGACATCATTAATGATGATGAACTAAAATGATTATTATTGAAATTTGAATCGTGATTATTTGAATTTGATAATGTAACAGTTGTCATGTTTAGTGTCATTTCTTCAGATTTATTTATATCTGTTGGTGTGAAATGTTTATCACAGTTTGATTTGAGTATTTCATTGATACTAAATTTATCCGACATTATTAGGATGTTTTTTTTTGTTGAAGTTAGTTAAGTTTTAATTTTTTCCAAATAAGGGTTTCAATCCACAGTATTATTTAAATTTTTAAAATGATCTTTTCTTTTTCCTACCGTTTTATTGACTTTTAATTGGATAGCAAAACATAATTGAACTGCGAAGCATAGAATATCAGCGGATTTTTATGTGATTGGTTTAAGTTTTTCTCATTAAATATATATATATATATATATATATATATATATATATATATATATATATATAGCTTTATAAAGAATACAAGTATTTGAGATAGACATATTATGATCAATTGGGTGACTAGATAATTTTTTTTGTTGCCGAATTATAAATCAAGACAGGAAAAATTAACTAGAAATTCACAAAATTCAGTGTTTCATTGAATGAACAATATTTTGAATTATATGTCATATGTAAATTAGATACCCGCAAGACGTAGACTGTATATCGAGTTGTTTTTGAACGTTATATCAGTTGTTTCACTCTCTAACTCATTTGATTTTATCATTGAACGATTAAGGAACTACACACACTATTTATTCGTCATATTCAGATAAATACAAAATCTAAAATTTAGAATGACAATTAACATAAAATTTCGATTCAAAACAAGATAATATTATTCTCAATTTAATCGTCATCAGGCTTTACTCGAATACAAAGTTATATTTATATACATTTATATATATGAGAAAAATTAAACCACTGAAGGTAGTTTATAAGTCAATGATAATAACGAAATCAACTACAGAAATAAATATGATATGTAAAAAGCACAAACAGATAATATGATGACTGGTGTATTAGTTGCGCTAAGAATAATAATAAACGCTTGTATCAATGTTCCTTAACATAAAGTAGGTTTAAGACCTGAGAGATTAGAGTAACATTTATTAAATGTTATTCAGATAACGTAATGATAATTAATGTATGTGTAAAACAGGTGAAACATACCAGATTCACTGTAGTACCAATACATTAAAATTTTATATATTTAAGAGAAATTCTTATGTTTTCAATTACTCATCTAAGATCTGTATACTCTGGTTGCTTACAGAAAACTCTTTATCTTCTTACTCTACAGAAGTTTACTCAACTGATACACTAAATACGAAGAAATATGGGAAATAGTTTTCGACTGAAACAATTTCCAATGATAACTCATGATAAATCTTCATTAATTGCTTTTTTGTTCCTTCTAAACCTCAATACACTGAGATAAATTCTTTCAAAATGACAGCCATAAATACTTAATAATTATATTTAGGATTTATATGATAGTGACATGATCAGACCTATTTTGATTGCACTTAAAATTCTGCTGTGTTATATCGCACTATTTAAACTTGTGTAAATTTAATTTTGGTAATTTTATTTACTTATTTTAAAGAACTGGTATGCTTACAGTCATTCAACCTGAAAGATATGAATCCTCATTCATTGGGATATTACAAAGACATTATTTTTTATCATTACACCTATGATAGTAGTAGTGTAGTAAAGGAGAACACAGGTGAGGGCAATCGAATTGTATTTAACGAAAATTACAGAGTTACTCAGTAAAATCGGAACACCATATCGTAAATCGTTGATTTGCAAAATATCAGTTCATCATATCGAACTGGACTGTTCCTATTGCAAAACATCAATCCATTATCACTCTTCATGCGTTTCATACAAATTCCATTGTTTTCTGACTCTTCCTTTCTTGATCTTCCCCCCATATTATGCTACCAGACATTACGTTGACACTCACGTCATATACTACTTATAAGTAGCTGGCACCACAGTAGTAGTAAATCTCAGTTTCTGTATTTTGCAATATTTTTTCCTTTATTATTAAATTAATGAATTTACAAAGGTCAACTTGTTAGTTGTTATTCGAAAAAAAACATGTTAATGATTGAAATGTATTTTCATCGGGAACAAAAATCAACCAGTCGGTTCTGATTGTAATAACAAAACAATATCCACACATAATTAACTAGGTGGAAGTTAAATTATTGGAATTCTAGTAAAGAACTATGATCATTCAAGTTTAACCATGTTTATAGTGAACAAGACATCATCTTAAGCCATTGGATGATATAAAAAATGAGTTGAATTTGTGCATTCAGTTGATCAAACGCTGACTCGCTGTTATAAACCATAATATTCACTGTCAAATATGAAGGTGAATATATCGATTACCAAGCGGGAGAGGACAGCAGTTGTACACTAAGAAAGAGTAGAAAATCATACATCTGATAATTATCAGTTTTCAGTGGCGCTTCGGCTAATGTTATTTCATGAAAAAGAGTTCAATGTTTCAACAAACTTCAATTTTGATATGATACTGAAAATTATCAAATTTTAATTGAGCACAAAAGATTATTACGACATATCTGATAATTGATGTCTAGATCTTGATTATCTAAACGATTTGGTTCTTAAATTCTAGACAGTTTAATTTTATCTCATTTTTTTTATTAATTCAACAAATCTCTTTGAAATTGTCTATAAATTTTGTTAAATCAAGATGCATACCAACTAGCACAAAATGAAATTTTACAATAGTTCCTAATATATTGATTTTATTTGTGTTCATAAGTTGTATAATATTTAAAAATTCAACGGCACCATGCTTTAAAATCTAACTCAAAGAAAATGAAAGCGAATCTACACTTTCAGAATGAAAGACTGATCATCTCAATGACAGTCAGAGAGAATGAAACCTGTAGTAAATTTTACTCCTGTCCTATACAATTTATTCAACTTAGAGTATAGTAGAAGATTATCCAAACACTTAATACAATATTATATCTCACTGGTGTGGTGGCAGATCATGTAAGACTGGTTTTTGGTTAAAGATAAGAGTGACATTACTTAGCTAATTTACCACATACATAGCAAACTACTTATAAACTACATAATTTGAAAACCATGTATGTCATCCCAGTTTTAGTAATTAGCCTTTCTGCAGTTTTTATTTGTCTAAATAAATTATTGTCTAGATGTAGTAATATATACTATGTGTTGTTTCAACTACATACCATTGATTCATAGGTAGGATTTTGACAGTAATTATTTCTAATGCGTTTACATGAATGTACCGTCTATAAAGCCTTTAATTACTATGGACCACTACAATACCGTACAACATTGTTTTACACTTCATGAGATTACACACTGTTCACTTCATCTTTGCAATAAACAAGTTTCCATTGAATCCGGTATAGAATAGAATAGTCACTAATTGTAGACATCTTGATAATTTTTCTAGCAAATTTTTTTGAAGTTTTATATTTGCTTATTATTATTATTATTATTACTAGACTAATTCGAGTTACGCAAATTTGAATTTGATTTTTTAATGAATGTTCACAACTTTCTTTTTATTTATTTTGCTTTAATCTATCCAATGGATAATGTTAGGTAGTAGTAGTCACATTCAGACATATAAGTATTAATTGTCGAATATATATATATTTTCATAGTATGAATAGTTTAAGCATACATTATTCTTTAATGGGATAAACATATTATATATATATATATATACATATATATATATATATACATATGTATATATATATATAGTACCTTATATAACTTTATCACCATTAAAATCTATTGCAAAACACTTAACGCTTGAATTATTTCTTTAATTTCTTAGTAATACGTGTATTTTATGATAAAATGGAAATATTTTGATAAAAGTTATAAAATATTGTGCTGTTACTGTGAAAATAAGTCAACTATATAAATGAACACGAAATGAAATTTCTTGTTTTAAGCATATATATATATATATATATATATATATGTATAAGAAAACTTATAAAATTAAAAATAATTAAATTAGACAAGTTTAATTAACTTATCTGCAATCGCGAAGTGAACAAGAAAAACACGAAATTATGGTCTATTAAATTAATTAATTAATTAAATTATTAATATTTATATATATATATATATATATATATATATTCCCTAATATGCATTCAAGTAGAATATTTATTTGTTTTTAATTAAGTCAACTATTTTTCATCTGATTGACCTAAATAATTTTTCCACGATAAATAAAATGTAAAGAATAAATTGATTATTAGAGAGGGGAGCTATATAAACTAGTTAATATGACGGTATATGTATATAAGGTGATTTAGAGCGTTCAGCAACCTTTTTTAGTTTGTGTGTGTATGTGTGTGTCTTCAGAGAATAAATTCTCTTCGTTTTGGAGATTGACGCCTTCGTTTAAGTCATAATTCATAAAACAATTAGTCTTGTCAATATGCTTAAATATCAATCTAGTGATTAGTGAATAATTGATTTGATTATGTGAAAGTGAATTTATTTTTATAGTTTTATATATGAAAAAAAAAGGAAAAGATAAATTCCAGTATTAATTGATATTGAAATTTAAGGTGAGATGAATGTTAGTGTTTATATTCTGACTGCTTATTGGTTTTTGCTTTCATAAATTATAAGTGGTGCGAATTCATTAAACATTCAATATTCCAATTTATGATAAAATGAAATATTGAAACAAATGACACGGATGATTAAGTTTGAATTTAGTTGTGTGCCACAAGGGCCTAGTTTGTACTGTTCATTGAAGGATGTCCAAAATAAACAAAAATACTTAGTCAAACATCTGAGAAAGAATTAATCAAATGACAAATAAACGATGATGAGATGAATTAAAGATTAAAAAAAGGGAAAACAAATAATGTCTTATGAAAATACATAGTAACTTGAAACCTTACACTCATCTACTACAATCCAGTAATTAATAATTTTTTCGTAGGAATATTTCACAATAATTTTTTTTAGTTATATTTCATCACGAACTGATGAAGTAAACTTTGCAGTTCAGTAATTTAATAATTATCATATTTAACCTTACTGTCCTAATATCAATTGTTTCTTTAATAAATACTCATCACTAATCTTATCTTGTAATTACCTTACTATGATAGAATATTATTATTTTTGGTTGGAA